CAGGTGTTGTTGGGTGAGATGTTCAGGCGTTGTTGGATGAGACGTTCAGGTGTTGTTGGGTGAGATGTTCAGGTGTTGTTGGGTGAGATGTTCAGGTGTTGTTGGGTGAGATGTTCAGGTGTTGTTGGGCGAGATGTTCAGGTGTTGTTGGGTGAGATGTTCAGGTGTTGTTTGGCGAGATGTTCAGGTGTTGTTGGGTGAGATGTTCAGGTGTTGTTGGATGAGATGTTCAGGTGTTGTTGGGTGAGATGTTCAGGTGTTGTTGGGCGAGATGATCGGTTGTTGTTGATCGAGATGATCGGTTGTTGTTGGGTGAGATGTTCAGGTGTTGCGAGATGTTCAGGTGTTGTTTGGCGAGATGTTCAGGTGTTGTTGGGTGAGATGTTCAGGTGTTGTTGGATGAGATGTTCAGGTGTTGTTGGGTGAGATGTTCAGGTGTTGTTGGATATGTTCAGGTGTTGTTGGATGAGACGTTCAGGCGTTGTTGGGTGAGATGTTCAGGTGTTGTTGGGTGAGATGTTCAGGTGTTGTTGGATGAGATGTTCAGGTGTTGTTGGGTGAGATGTTCAGGTGTTGTTGGGTGAGATGTTCAGGTGTTGTTGGGTGAGATGTTCAGGTGTTGTTGGGTGAGATGTTCAGGTGTTGTTGGGTGAGATGTTCAGGTGTTGTTGGATGAGACGTTCAGGCGTTGTTGGGTGAGATGTTCAGGTGTTGTTGGGTGAGATGTTCAGGTGTTGTTGGATGAGATGTTCAGGCGTTGTTGGATGAGACGTTCAGGTGTTGTTGGGTGAGATGTTCAGGTGTTGTTGGGTGAGATGTTCAGGTGTTGTTGGGTGAGATGTTCAGGCGTTGTTGGATGAGACGTTCAGGTGTTGTTGGGTGAGATGTTCAGGTGTTGTTGGGTGAGATGTTCAGGTGTTGTTGGATGAGACGTTCAGGCGTTGTTGGGTGAGATGTTCAGGTGTTGTTGGATGAGATGTTCAGGTGTTGTTGGGTGAGATGTTCAGGTGTTGTTGGATGAGATGTTCAGGTGTTGTTGGGTGAGATGTTCAGGTGTTGTTGGATGAGATGTTCAGGTGTTGTTGGGTGAGATGTTCAGGTGTTGTTGGGTGAGATGTTCAGGTGTTGTTGGGTGAGATGTTCAGGTGTTGTTGGGCGACATGTTCAGGCGTTGTTTGGTGAGATGTTCAGGTGTTGTTGGGCGAGATGTTCAGGTGTTGTTGGATGAGATGTTCAGGTGTTGTTTGGTGAGATGTTCAGGTGTTGTTGGATATGTTCAGGTGTTGTTGGATGAGATGTTCAGGTGTTGTTGGGTGAGATGTTCAGGTGTTGTTGGGTGAGATGTTCAGGTGTTGTTGGGTGAGATGTTCAGGTGTTGTTGGGCGACATGTTCAGGCGTTGTTTGGTGAGATGTTCAGGTGTTGTTGGGCGAGATGTTCAGGCGTTGTTGGGCGAGATGTTCAGGTGTTGTTGGGTGAGATGTTCAGGTGTTGTTTGGTGAGATGTTCAGGCGTTGTTTGGTGAGATGTTCAGGCGTTGTTTGGTGAGATGTTCAGGTGTTGTTGGATATGTTCAGGTGTTGTTTGGTGAGATGTTCAGGCGTTGTTTGGTGAGACGTTCAGGCGTTGTTTGGTGAGATGTTCAGGCGTTGTTTGGTGAGACGTTCAGGCGTTGTTTGGTGAGACGTTCAGGCGTTGTTGGAGATGTTCAGGCGTTGTTTGGTGAGATGTTCAGGCGTTGTTTGGTGAGACGATCAGGCGTTGTTTGGTGAGACGTTCAGGCGTTGTTTGGTGAGACGTTCAGGCGTTGTTTGGTGAGATGTTCAGGCGTTGTTTGGTGAGACGTCCAGGTGTCGTTGGAGATGTTTAAATGTTGTTGCAGATGTTCAGGTGTTGTTGAGATACTACTGTCAAACGGCACTCACTCCTGGTGATACGAGTACATTGCTTTTAAGTACGTACGTACGTTCGATATTTTATGAGAGCTTTCAACAGGGCTGATTTCGCACAAACCAAGGGTAGCAGAGCTACTGGAGCTCACCTTCATTATGTGATATCAAAGTTGGGTGGTGAGGATGTGATAATCCTCGACTATCCAGTCTGTCCCCTTCTATTATGACAAATAGTCAAATAAGATGGGTCCATTCACCGCCATAGCTTCGTTTCCCACCTGACGTATAAAATAGCCGACTAATCAAATTAATCTCACGTGCGAAAAACATTATGTGCTGTCAGAGACAAAAGGACCGCCTCCGTGGTCTAGTGGTAGAGTGTCCGCCCGGAGAGCGGAAGGTCCGGCGTTCGATCCCCGGCCGCGTCATAGCAAAAGACGTTAAAAGATGGTACTTGTTGTTATCCTGACTGGCGCTCGGCATTGAAGGGCTAAAACAAGGACTGGTCGGCTCGGAGTCAGTATACTGTGTCTGAGTGGGGTATTCATGTTAAATTGCGGCATGGTATCTCAGTGGGATAGCACCATAAATCGGCATCAGTCCGGACTAGTATAAGCAGCCACACAAACACACGTGCATGCACGTCGCTATATAAGTGCAATAATCTTGGACGCAACGTTAAACCCCATTTCACCCACCACCTCACCCAGAGACAAAAGTGATAGATGCGGCGACGTTACTTCCAAAATGAACCTATAGTGGCGAAAGGGCATTTATCGACACAGAATGGATTTATAAAGTACTAGACACTCAAAGATGACGTATTTTTGGCAATACGAGATCGATTCTTTTCACATGCAGTGATAGGCCATATTTAGACTGGTCGTCTTCAGACATGATGCATAGATTAAATCATATTCCCTTTTGCCGCAGGTGCTTGAAACTAAGGAATAAGTGACACACGTGACTCATCTATTGCCTCAATGTCCATGACACATCAATTTCCGAAAGCCCTTCGGAGCATGATAAATGTTAGATTTAGTTTAAAATATTTATTAAATTGGGCTGAAAACCTAAACCATGTTTCATGTGCTCGGGTGAAATCACATTTTTGTACTGTCCATCGAGAAAAAAATGGCAGTTGCTACCTACCTACTTCCGGTTTGGCATGGACAGCGCTTACCCCCCTGTGCTTTTGACATCAGAATTATCGTCTTGGATATAAAAAAACAATGAAACCTCGATAATTCGAACTCAACTTTATTGATATGTATTTTAGTATCACTATGATCCGACAGTCCAAACAAATTTTAAACAATTCTCAAAGGAGTCTTTTATTTAAATGAAATGAACAAAACCTTTATAAAGTGTAATGAATGTTATTAGATGTGTTCATATTTATCAGAATTTAACTTGTTCTTTTTAATACGTACACATATATTATATATATGTCTTCAACTTTAAGAACCGCCTCCGTGGTCTAGTGGTAGAGCGTTCGCCCAGAGAGCGGAAGGAACTGACACTAGTTCATTGTTATTTGCCTTTCTGTTAAACAAATACTTTTAAATCTACAGGGTGTGTACAGGCTACCCCACTACCTCTGTTTTCTTTGAAAATCGCCTCCGTGGTCTAGTGGTAGAGCGTCCGCCCGGAGAGCGGAAGGTCCGGGGTTTGATCCCCGGCCACGTCATACCAAATGACGTTAAAAGATGGTACTTGTTGTTACCCTGTCTGGCGCTCGGCATTAAGGGGCTAAAATACTGTGTCTGAGTGGGGTATTCATGTTAAACTGCGGCATGGTATCTCAGTGTGCTAGCACTATAAATCGGCATCAGTCAGGACTAGTAAAAGCAGCCACACAAACACACACACGTACATGCACGTCGCTATATAAGTGCAATAACCTTGGACGCGACGTTAAACCTCATTTCACCTCACCTCACCTTCAACTTTAAACATGTTTTATTCCCTTTATGTTGTCGACTAATCTGGCTCAAATTAACAAATTTGCACAGTGACAAGTTTGTGTTTGTTGTTTAACGCCGCACTCGGCAATATTCCAGGTATAGGACGGCGGTCTGTAAATAATCGAGTCTGGATAAGACAATCAAGTGATTGACATCATGAGCATCGATCCACGCAATTGGGATACGATGACATACAGCGAGCCTGACCTAGCGATCCCTTTGGTCGAAAAGCATAGTCGCCCGTTACAGCAAGCATGGGTTGCTGAAGACCTATTCGATCCCGGACCTTCACGGTTCCAGAGACGACCTGTCACACAAGACAGTTAATGAAGATGATGATGATGATGACGATGACGATAGCAATAACAATAATAATGCGTTAATAATGCGCCAAGATCTATTCACCAAGTGAATGCGCGTGTCCCTTCATTATTGTTACCCTGGTCAATGGATCAGCATGCACTTGATTTTCATTCTCAGCTCCCTGGAGAGTATACACTCTAAGCTGCCTTTGAGGCGCTTGGTGAAGAGTCATTACGATCCAATCCTACCGGGGACCCATTCAGTCACTTGCCTAAGGAGACACCACGTGTGCTACTGCATGCGCTTACGTTATTACAATGTCATCACTGCAACCAGAAATGCAATCTCATTAAAATCAGATCTTAGTTCTCGCTATCGCTAAACAAAGATCTGAGGACATCCCATTATGAGTCACACCAGAACGACCTTTCATCCGACCAATCAAAGCGTAGATCCAGATCATGAAAGTGACAGTCGGAATGTGTTTTCTCATCATGCAACCTCGAAAACGTTAACACGGGGAATTCCGAACAGTACGGCTGATTCCGTCAAAATCATCGTCTATCTCTCGCTTCTATGGGATAAATATTTGAACGGAGGAGGCGTTGCACAGTACGTGGGAAGCACTGCCATACAATCTCAACCATATATTAGACATTCCGGAATCTTCGTTTGCTCAGTTGTCAAAATCTTAATCGAGAAATGTGTCAGCATATTTTTCAAGCGTAGTCTGAAATGGAAGTCGCCAGTGCCATAAAGCTCGAGAAAGCTGCTTTCTAATAGGCTGATGTCGACTTCTTGTTAGTCATTTCAGTGGTTGGTCAAAGTTCGCGAAAGATCGTTCTGACGTGACCCGTAATGGGATGTCCTCAGATCTTTGTTTAGCGGCAACGAGAACTTAGATCTGAGTTTAATGAGATTGACCAGAAATGGCGCCAGACTGTAGAACGGAGTGCCTCTTTAAGATGATGTAACTTCTTGGTACAAACTATCAGTCAAAGAGGTATTGATTTCATAAAGTCATTATTAGCCCCAAAACCCAAAAGGTCATTCTTGCGCTGATTTTGAAGATACGAGACAAAGGGTAGTTCTTCTAAACGTAGTAACGTACACTCGCGTCTGGTCACGCTGAATCCACGTGACCAGTTGCTGGGTGGGATCTCAAGTTTAGGTTTGCGTTGCCAACGAGTGCAGAAACTTGCAACGTTTTCTCGCAATGTTCGGAAATATTCCACCTCTTTATGAAAATCAGGACCTTCCTGTTCAATTTGCTTTCTGAATCTCTTCAGGGAGAAATCGTAAAGTTTTTTATCTAAATTTGACACCTGATAAAAATTCATCATTAACTTTCCTTCAATTCCAGGAACCCTTATTTTAAAACGAGCTCTGTTTTTAATGGTATATATCACGTCCTTGAGGCTCCAGTTCAGAGTTCGCTTCACCAGGACAAGCGATTCGTCGAACTGCTCAGCAATCATCACTACACGAAACGTTTTGTTGAGAGATATCAAGTATTCATCGAACAAGGACTCGTTGCGCAAGAGCTGAGCAGGAAATCCAAAATCTATGGCCATTCTGTTATTAGTCATGGACTGCATGGGGTTTTCCGGTTCCCAAGCCATCGGGTTCTCGAGATAGGTCTTCAGAATCGCACCGCGCCTCCCAGGAATTCGTTGAAGGTATTCTTTGGGTTGTGTAAATCTAAAATAGTGTACAGCCGAGACGAATCTTTGAAATGGTTCTCTCACAATGCCAATGTATTCTGTGTCAGTTGGGAGGTAGGACGAGAAGGATGTGTAGTTAAATAAAGCATGGTTGCAGAGAATGTCAAACTTCTTCCCTTTAGGCGGCGGAAAGATCCTCGTCTTGTTAAGATATCTGCCTGTTAGATAGTTACCCACCTTAGGTAGAATAATTACGAGGCCTCGTTCACTTGCAAACCGGTAAAGAATGTTGAGGACAGTGGAACTGGCAGCCTTGTGCGTTTTAACGAAAGCAACGTGTTGCTTTTCTGGCAACCGTTTCGTCTGATTGGCTGTGTGAATGACGGAAGGTTGCGGAGAGGGTCTTGGCAGTGTCATTTTGCGCTCTTGACAGGAACAGGTAGGTCTAAAGGCTGGGGACCGTTCACACATACGTTGTATTACATTTGTCATAACTGGTTGTCGAGGCCACTGGAAAACAGCTAACACGGAAACATACGCCACTGCGCCAAAACACACCAATCTGAAAGCGAAGTTTAATATTAGTTTACAAATACAAGGCACAAACGAAATATTTCTGTTTGAATAATTAAAACAATAGGAAAGCAATATACACAAGAGAATTAATTAAACACAGTCTGGCTTATTCTTTTGAAGCATCACAGGGATGTCAATCACGTCTATGACATTGGTGCGTTTTGGAGAATATAGTGAGTGAGTATGGTTTTACGCCGCTTTTAGCAATATTCCAGCAATATCACGGCGGGGGACAGCAGAAATGGACTTCACACGTTGTGCCCACGTGGGGAATCGAATCCGGTGTTCGGCGTGACGAGTGAACGCTTTAACCACTCGGCTATCCTACCGCCCTATTGGTAATGAAAACATTCAAAGAATGATAAATAATGTGTTGTGGCCCTAGATGATGAATATGAGAAATATTTTCTCCCGATGTATATCTGTAGAGAGATATATTAGAGTGAGTGAGTGAGTTGGGCTTAACGCCGCTTTGAACAGTATTCCATACATATATCAGCTTCATGTGGGAGGAAAGCCCGAAATGATGCAGGTCTTAGACGTTTACCATTTTGGTGAAAACCACGAGCAAGGGTATGGTCTGACAAACCTAGAAACATAATCGGGTCGAACTTGGATTCGCACCACGATCATAGATTTCTGGCATACCAAGGGACGCAACTCTGCAAAGTGAACTTCAACAACTTGGACGACTGGACCACCATACGCCTGGATATACCACAGATCACGATACCCAGGGATTTACAGGACGCCAATATCACGTATACTAATTGCATGAGAATTGACGCAAATAATTACTATTTGAATAATTAAATCTAAAAAGGCGACTATGCTTGTCGTAAGAGGCGACTAACGGGATCGGGTGGTCAGGCTCGCTGACTTGGTTGATGCATGTCATCGATCCCAATTGCGTGGATCGATGCTCTTAATGTCAATCACTGGATTGTCTGGTCCAGATTCGATTATTTACAGACCGCCGTCATATAGCTGCAATATTGCCGAGTGCGGCGTTAAAAAACAACCAAACAACAAACAGCGTTAAACTGCGGGTTATACACAACTGCCATTTTAACTGGTAACAAGCACACTCAAACTTCATGGCGTTAATGGTTGATTTTCTTCAATCTAACATTGAAATCCCCATGTACAATAGGCATTAGGCTTCTGATCATATGGAGTGTTTTGACATCAGCAAAATTCATGGACATGAGGTCAAGTGTGCCACGTGTCTCCAGCCTTGGATCCGCATGTTCATTCCGTGGACTCCTTAAGTGTATTACTGAGAGACCCTTGACTCAGAAATAGTGAGTGAGTATGGTTTTACGCCGGGGGACACCAGGAATGGGATATGCACATTGTGCCCATGTCGGGAATCGAACCCGGGTCTTCGGCGTGAAGAGCGAACACTTTGACCACTAGGCTACCCGACCGCCCCGAACTGAGAAATAGAGAGACCCAGGTATGTCCCTGAACACAATGATAAAACTACACGGCTTATCACATGCATAACAGTACATTGATGGAAGATAACCCGTGGCTCTTCCGTATGACCCTGACAGTAATCTGAAGGTCACGGGCGCATTGTTGCAGCCAGATACATTATGATGTTAGGGTATTTTTCCAACCAATATGTGAAAATATAGGTCGTCATCTTCATCATGTTACATAGCCTATTCTAACGAAACGTGCCATGCTTTCTTTTCGGTCAGCAGGTTTTTGTTACAGCCAGTGTGGAATCAGTCAATGTGTACAATGACTGATATTTCCACTTATGAGATTTACAAAACGCCAAATATTTCATTTTACAATTATTTTCTGTCAGATTGACTAAACGTTATTTAGAAGTTCTAAAGGGCTTAAAAACATCACAGCAGACTAATTATGCTTAAATTACAGTGAGTGAGTGAGGTTTTACGCAGCTTTTAGCAATATTCCAGCAATATCATGGCGGGGGACACCAGAAATGGGCTTCTCACATTGTACCCACTATAATTAGACGCCAGAACGTATACATTGACTTTCGTTATGAAATAGAACATAATAATGTTTGGAATTCGCTAGTGGTTAGAGCGTTCGCCCGGGTTCGATTCCCAACATGAGTACAATGTGTGAAGCCCATTTCTGGTGTTCCCCGCCGTGATGTTGCTGGAATATTGCTAAAAGCGGAGTAAAACTATAGGTGAGGTGAAATGAGGTTTAACGTCGCGTCCAAGATTATTGCACTTATATAGCGTCGTGCATGTGTGTTTGTGTGGGGGGCTGCTTGTACTAGTCCGGACTGATGCCGATTTATAGTGCTAGCTCACTGAGATACCATGCCGCAGTTTAACATGAATACCCCACTCAGACACAGTATACTGCCTCCGAGCCGACCAGTCCTTGTTTTAGCCCCTTAATGCCGAGCGCCAGACAGGGTAACAACAAGTATCATCTTTTAAAGTCTTTTGGTATGACGCGGTCGGGGATCGAACCCCGGACCTTCCGCTCTCCGGGCGGACGCTCTACCACTAGACCACAGAGGCGGTGAGTACAACTATACTCACTCCCTTACTTAAAAACACCATATATGAGTTACGTTTGCTTTGACTAAACACCTACCTTATCATGGCCCGTTTTGAAATCATGGAAGAGATTTTGCACAATTTCGCCATTTCAAGGTTGCTGAAATGCAAGTAATTAAACGTGAGATTGTGCGTCATTGAGAACATTATTTCAGTCAGATCACGGCGTGTCAGTTGTAATCTGTAATCCCAAGTTTATCAACCTTGTAAACCCAAGGGCGGGTATGGGGCTGAGAGACAAAGGATCACAATTGGGCGTATTTGGGATTCGAACCTACGACAAGCGGATCATGGCTAAGGGGCGTAACTCTGCCTAGCAAACAGTGGCACCATATAGTCCACCAGTCTCCGGTGGCATACAAGTATCAAGGTTATACCCTCAAGGTGATTTAGTGAGTGAATGATCTTTAACGCCGCACTCAACACAATATAAACATTTTTTTACTTAGAGCCGACCAGTCCTTGTTTAGCCCCTTATGCCGAGTGCCAGGCAGGGTAACAACAAGTACCATTTTTAACGACTTTTGGTAAGACGCGGCGGGGGATCGAACCCACGATCTTCCGCTCTCCGGGCAGACGCTCTACCACGGATTATAACCAGTGTTAATCAATGACAACTAAGTGCAGTTCCCGAAATAAAACGCAATGTGGTAACCTCGGAAGACTCGAACCACTCAAATTATACAAATCTAAAGTGACCCGTGAAGATCCGGGGTAGAATAGGTCTTCAGCAACCATGCTTGCAGGAAAAGGCGAATACGCATGTCGTAAGAGGCGACTAACGGGATCGGGTGGTCAGGCTCGCTGACGTGGTTGATGCATGTCATCGTATCCCCAAAACGTAGAATCATGATCATGATGTCGACTACTGGATTGTCTGGTCAAGACTCGATTATTTACAGATCAACGTCATATAGCTGGAATATTGCTGAGTGCGGCGTTAAACAAGAAACAAACAAACAAACTAATCGAACGCACGTACTCATATCCGGATGTGGTCTGAAGCCCTGATTTCCGTTCCACGTATCTAACCAAGCGGCTATCGTAAGTCTATGTTAACGATGGGGAGTTAAGGAAGGGTAGCTTTTTCGAGCGGAATCCTGGTTCTACCAAAGTCTTACTTACAGTCCTTGCCTTGCGACCTGAATCCAACAAACACCTCGTTGCCGTGTCACCAACCGAATGAATAAATCGCAAATGGAAACTGCACAAGCGTTTTCATATCTCCACCAGAAGATAACCCACTATACATAATTTCAAATAGGCGTAAGGGGTGTTATCTTATGTTATCGCACGTTTGTATGATATCGCAGTCTGTATCTCAAGTGTGCTGGCGACGGGCATGATTGTAATGAATTATCTCTCCACCCATGCCTTGACCAGTCGAAAGAATGTGAGACTTGATTTCATCTTGTGACCTGTTCAATGCGCTGTTACCAGTCGCCACAACTCGCCCCTTTCCGTGACCCGCAAGCACTATATGAGAACCATTAAGCAACGAGTTGACAATTGTTTTAGATATGCCCGTTTGCGCTAAGAGGGAACCCAGTCGCAAAAGTGGCCACGCGAGGGGCACGAGTCGCTATTCGGCTTGTCCCGGAATAACACGAGTTGGTCACGACTGCGCTGTTACAAGTATGGGTTTTACGAGGGGAGGCTGAGGTTCTGAGCCTAACTACGAAGGATGTATCGTACACCCTCAGCAGTTTGCATGTATTAAGTACATTACTTCCCACTCTTAAAGGCTACATTTGAACCAAAAAATACAACCAAAAAAGCATATTTCTACAGGCAACTAAGTGAAAAGGTATTCTTTGTTGCTGAAAAAATATTTGTACAAGTATCACTTGTCCCCAACTGGATTCAAATAAAATTGTTTTCTATTAAAAACAAAGGGGACTGCCCCCCGGCTGGCTACGGCAGTGGTGTTGATAAAATATTATACTGAACAACAAAAGTTCCTGTGACATTGAATAAGATTTAATGCAAAGTTATGTTTTTTACCAAATCTGAAACAATTTCGGTTTGCAACAGATAAAAGACTCCTGTAAGTGTTCAAATGGTTTAATTTGCCATACTGACTTCAGAAAATGCGTGATTTCATAAGAAAACATGAACATGCCAAAATGTCAATTTACGAATCAATAGCGTGTGTGTCCACCTCTGGTTGCGGTGCAAGCAACCCCTCCTCGTCTCATGGAATGGACTAGGCGTCGCACAAAGTCCTGTTGGATATCTGTCCATATCTGCTGGAGCATGTTTCGAAGTTCCTGGAGTGTCTGTGGAACACGTGGTTGACGTCGAAGGCGCCGATCCATCTCATCCCACATGTGCATGATTGGTGAGAGATCAGGGGAGCGAGCCGGCTAGGGGATGACATTCACGTTGTTTTGTTGAAGAGAATCCTGAACAAGTCGAGAAATATGAGGCCGGGCGTTGTCATGTTGAAAGGTAATGCCTGGGCCATGACGACGCAAAAATGTTAGAACAACAGGGCCGATGATCTCGTCGCGGTAGCGCTGTCCATAGAGATTTCCCTCTCCCACTATCAAACGGGTCCTCTGTCTTGCTGTAATCCCACCCAATACCATAACGCTGCCGCCCCCGAACCGATCTTCCTCCATGACACAATGATTGACGTAACGATCACCTCAACCTCGGTACACTCGAATCCGCCCATCGCTGTGGCTGAGGTGAAAACGAGACTCGTCAGTGAATAGTCCCTACTGCATGGCCGTCCAGCGTAGACGCTGTCTGCACCACTGTAGACGTGCTTGACGGTGGTTTCCTGTCAAAATGGGACGTCTGGCGGGTCTTCTAGCGAAAATCCCTGCACATCTGAGGCGACGACGTACGGTTTGTGAAGAGGCCGAAGGCCAGGGATGCTCTTGCAGTCACTGTTGCTGGCTGAAATCGATTTCGTAGGTGTGTTGTTCGAATTCAGTTGTCTTGTCGATGATTGGTTACGCGTGGCCTGCCACTCCGAGGATGGTCTTTGACTGCATTCGTCTATGGTGTTTATGTGGACGTTACATTGTCTTGCAACATCACGTTGACTCGATCCTGCTTCAAGCATACCAATGGCTCGCAGACGCTCATTTTCGGACAGGCGTGGCATTTCGTAATGTTGGATAATTGCGTAATTTTGTTGTTTTCTGAGTGATTGTTGTCAGCACGATGCTAAACAATGGATATGGAATCCCGTTAACGCACGTTTTTATACCCATTCTTGGGTAGTGAAATGCATGGGGCTTGCATAAAAGTCAACTTTTGCATGAAATGCATGCTTTTCTGTATCAGTTGCGTTTTTGTGACTTGATTCCATACAGGTACTACAATATTGAAAACCAAACTTTACTTGTTTGAAAAATACACTAAAATATTGGTGTCACAGGAACTTTTGTTGTTGAGCACATAATGGAGGAACGACGACTCACATCGCCGATATAGTAGACATCTCTTGTGAGGTGAGGTGAAATTGGGTTTAACGTCGCGTCCAAGATTATTGCACTTATATAGCGACGTGTGTGTGTGTGTGTGTGTGTGTGTGTGTGTGTGTGTGGCTGCTTGTACTAGTCCGGACTGATGCCGATTTATAGTGCTAGCTCACTGAGATACCATGCTGCAGTTTAACATGAATACCCCACTCAGACACAGTATACTGACTCCGAGCCGACCAGTCCTAGCTTTAACCCGATAATGCCGAGCGCCAGACAGGGTAACAACAAGTACCATCTTTTAACGTCTTTTGGTATGACGCGGCCGGGGATCGAACCCCGGATCCGGGCGGACGCTCTACCACTAGACCACGGAGGCGGTCCTCTCTCGTGGGAGATGAGAATATTCGGAAGAATGAACATGTCATGACAAAAGTTTCAGCACGCTGGGTTCGAGTGATGCTGACTCCTTATCAGATTTTGTTTGTTTGTTTGTTTGTTTAACGACGCACTCAGCAATATTTCAGCTAGGGAGGAGGGCATGAAAAAATGTTACATAAAATGGGGGGTCGGCATAATATATACAGTGAAAGACCAATTTCACAACCCTCTGTCATAAATGACCCGACCTCAACTGTGGGTTGTTCCTCCTGGGCAATTCACCTGTGCACAAGTCTGTTGTTGGCATGGCTGCAGCGCATGATTTGGTTTGTTTTTTCAGCAATATTCAAGCTACATGACAGCGGTCTGTAAATAATCGAGTCTGGACCATACAATCCTGTGATTAATGTCATGAGCATCGATCCACTTAATTGGGATCGATGACATGCATCAACCAAGTCAGCGAGCATGACCACCCGATCCCGTTAGTCGCCTCTTACGACAAGCATAGTCGCCTTTTACGGCAAGCATAAGTTGCTGAAGACCTATATATTCTACCCCGGATCTTCACAGGTCCTGCAGCGCATGAGTGTGGCTTTGAACTCATTGAATATTTACCGTATCCACCACATTAAGCACCTTAAGATTTCCTCCTCTTCCCAAACTTTTGTTTTTAGCCAAAAAGAACCGCCTGGATAGCATTTTGCCAATGATGACGTCATTTCTGCTGTGGCAACATTTTATACCACCCGATGTCTTTTACACAAGTGGGGGTCAATCATCGTTGGTAGATGTGTGGACATCAGAGGGGATCAAATACATTAGTTACCAACTCCATCACCCCTGTCTATAACTTTTCAGCCATCCCTTTATACATGGAGTTCTGAAAATGAATAAACGAGCTAACACCCTGTCTGGTTCACAGGGTTTGATGGCCGTCCTGTTGACAGGGATAAGTACGTGGTGATGTCGGTACAATCCAATTATCCAGTGTTTTACATCTCCATTCTATTTTGATAATACGGGGGCGGTCGGGTAGCCTAGTGGTTAAAGCGTTCGCTCGTCACGCCGAAGACCCGGGTTCGATTTCCGACATGGGTACAATGTGTGAAGCCCATTTCTGGTATCCAACGCCGTGATATTGCTGGAATATTGCTAAAAGCGGCGTAAAACCTCACTCACTTTGATAATACCTTTTGCGTTCACATTTGGTCCAGGGATGCGGCTTTGTCATCCTGCCTTACTGAAGTCTCCATCTTGGTCTCCCCGAAAGGTCTCTGATGGCGACCATCACCTCGTTGTTACTGGTAGAACCTATGCCACACGAGGTGCAGTTTGAGTTAACGGAAAAGATCAGTCAGAAGTTGCCTTGTAGGGTTTCATGGGAAGCAATCCACAGCCACACTTTACAAATGCGGCCATCACGGCTTGTAACGTTATGCACAGGTGCCTTGTCCTGACACGCCTCATCCTGAACTGAACCTTCTGCCGACGTATTGCCCATTAATAGTCTGACCTGGTTGCAGATAGACAAGCATGATGATCCCCTTCCTGTCTCAGAAAACCAAAGCCATGGCTTTGCCAACAGATGCCACCCATTTGTACGTCTTTGGTGGGTGTCAGGCCAAATGTTTCCAGTGTTTCTTCTGAAATCTTGAGTCTTATCCAGGATTACAACGTGCAACAAGAATTTGTCAAGGTTCTGCTGGTGTAAAGGTTGCTTCATATGTTCAATCTGTCAGCTTTCAATCTGGAGTCAACATTCATCTTGCTCATGTGCTCATTTTCTCACCCTGTTAAAGTCTCCAGTTGACATCCAGAAAACAGATTCCCGTGAAGACTACTGGTTAGTCTTCTGCAACCCATGCCTTTTGTACTAGGCTACTAAGGGAACTGGGTGGTCAGGCTTGGTTGAAGCCTGTCATCTTATCGCAATTGTGTAGATCGATGGTCATGATGTCAGATTTACAGACCTCTGTCATAAAGCTGGAATATTGCCAAGGGTGGCGTCAAACAACAAACAAACAAATCAGAAAACAGACGCTGTTATCAGTTTGTCAGGCGGCGTTGGTCTCCTAGGATATGATTCTTCATACAGGTTGAAACAGGATATTACAGAAGCAATATCTCAAGGCCACAAACCTTTCAATTAACCCTCTAAATCGTTTCTGGTTCTACCCTACTCTGGCGGTGGGACCTACCAACTTGGTGAAAAAGCTTGTTATGTCTGTTTACAATCATTTTCGCATTTTTCGACAGTAGTTGGTGTCTAGGTGAAAGTTTGGCTGGGGACCCACATTCCATTCGTGACCAACTCGTGTTATTCCGGGACAAGCCGAATAGCGACTCGTGCCCCTCTCGTGGCAATTTTTGCGACTCGGTTCCGTCTTAGCGCAAACGGGCATATCTAAAACAATTGTCAACTCGTTGCGTAATGGTTGACATATATTTCCCCATATATTATATATATTTCAGATGCAATTTAAAGCACACCGGGACGCGCGCAATTATACAGTATGATTGAACATATTTAACTGTGTCTTGGGTATATTTTTAGATGCAAGACATATGTAAAATCAAAAAAAATTTCTGAGGGATTATTTGACAAAGAACTCGAAATCATACGCGCCTTCTGATTGGTTTGTCGTATTTTCGCACATAACATTCATCGATAGGGGGATGAGTCTTCTTGCAGGTCCCGGAAAGGGGCAAGCGGTGGCGAATGGGGGGACCCACTGACCCGATTAGTTTTTACAGAATCCAAGATGTCGCCACACAGGATGCACATCTATATTTCCTCATAACTTCGGACCCGGCCGCGTCATACCAAAACACGTTAAAGATGGTACTTGTTGTTACCGTGTCTGGCGCTTGGCATTAAGGGGCTAAAACAAGGACTGGTCGGCTCGGAGTCAGAATACTGTGTCTGAGTGGGGTATTCATGTTAAACTGCGGCATGGTATCTCAGTGAGCTAGCACTATAAATCGGCATCAGTCCGGACTAGTACAAGCAGCCACACAAATACACACACGTACATGCACGTCACTATATAAGTGCAATAATCTTGGACGCGACGTTAAACCCCATTTCACCTCACCTCATAACTTCGGATCTGTTTTTGAGGGCGAGGAGAATGATTCTGAAGTTATTTTAATATTTTGTGGCAATATTGATGACATAATACTAATATAACAGTGTCTAGGCTGAAAGTGATGAAGGAGGTACAATGTTTGTAAAGTTGATTGTGTGTGATCACGTCATTCCACGGATCCTCATTCATGCTTCAAATATTATATCATATTGTTCACAGTTCACTGTAATTGTAGAATAAATGTTAAAAAAAACCCAACAACTCAAGAATCTTGCTTGCATGTTTATTGATGAAATATGTACAGTGGTATGTTATGTACAGCAATTTCAGTATTCACAATTCATTGTTGTCAAACAATTCAGATTGCAAACAATATAATTTCCATCTGAGCAAATTGAGTTCATTGCAAAACCAATTCTTGCATACATTGCCTGAAATCACCACACAGACTCTCACAGGCAGAACATGTCATAGCAAAACAATCTCTCAGCACTAGGATGCATCCATTAACTTACGATACAGATGAAACTGAGGCTACAGCAGAACCACAAACAAGGCAATGGATGGAACATTGATAGTGGTGTTGTAATCAGATTCAAATATTTGGCTGAACCAAAATTTACCAAAAGGGCAAGTATGACAGCTGCATGAAATACATTCCCCCAAATGAAATTATTTATTAAATTGGTCGAGTTTCCTCAAAAATGAAAATTCTCACTGAAATTTATTTTCACATTATTCATCGATATTTTGACATAAACAAGGCACTTTATAAAAGAGTCGACAGTCCCGAAATGTACACATAAACTGTCTCACATTTTCTGTCTTGCAATGTGTTTGAGACAGAGATCTAGTGCAGCCAAACAGAATCTACTGAATAGTGGGTAGGTACTCTATACACGGAATTGTCATTTGACTTCTTGCTTGAAACACTTGAAACACATTGACACCTGAATACAGGTCAATGGCACAACGCTGCCTCCGTGCAGGTCAATAGCACATCGCTGCCTCTGTGCAGGTCAATAGCACATCGCTGCCTCTGTGCAGGTCAATAGCACATCGCTGCCTCTGTGCAGGTCAATAGCACATCGCTGCCTCTATGCAGCAGGTCAATAGCACAACGCTGCCTCTATGCAGGTCAATAGCACATCGCTGCCTCTGCGCAGGTCAATAGAACATCGCTGCCTCTGTGCAGGTCAATAGCACATCGCTGCCTCTATGCAGCAGGTCAATAGCACATTGCTGCCTCTGTGCAGGTCACAAACACATGATGACCTGCACACAGGCCACTCTCACAACACCAGTCCTGCAGCATGGCCACTACCAAGTCGGCACCCCAAATCTCATGATGAGTTTGTCCTGATCAGCCAGGTCTTTCTGAACCTTCTTCCTCATGTAGAATATGGGGCAATCTCGACTGAAAACAATCAATATCATCTTTCAGTAAAAATGAAACAAAAAAAGGCTGAACTTGTTTCAAAATAATGAAGGTAGAAAGATACAATTGTAACAATGTTAGACATTTTGAGGGTGGCCATTTATGGGATCATCCATGCAAAGGATCATGAAAGGATCCCATGATATGTGAAATGAATTTGTTTTATACCTATCCAAGGACATGGATCTAGCCATACACAGGATGTACCCTACAAGCACTGGGCCCTCAGTCAGGAGAACTCATCTCGTACACAGGATGTCCACTGCTACGACTTGACCAACTTTTGGATAACTCACCCAGTACATGGGACCTCCTCTCTCGGCACTAGATCAAGCCAGGAGAACTCATCTCGTACACAGATGTCCACTGCTATGACTTAACCAACTTTGGGAGAACTCACCAAGTACACAGGATGTCCACTGCTACGACTTAACCAACTTTGGGAGAACTCACCCAGTACATGGGACCTCCTCTCTCGGCACTAGATCAAGCCAGGAGAACTCATCTCGTACACAGATGTCCACTGTTATGACTTAACCAACTTTGGGAGAACTCACCAAGTACACAGGATGTCCACTGCTACGACTTAACCAACTTTGGGAGAACTCACCCAGTACATGGGACCTCCTCTCTCGGCACTAGATCAAGCCAGGAGAACTCATCTCGTACACAGATGTCCACTGCTATGACTTAACCAACTTTGGGAGAACTCACCAAGTACACAGGATGTCCACTGCTACGACTTAACCAACTTTGGGAGAACTCACCCAGTACATGGGACCTCCTCTCTCGGCACTAGATCAAGCCAGGAGAACTCACCCAGTACACAGGATGTCCACTGCCACGACTTAACCAACTTTGGGAGAACTCACCCAGTACACAGGATATTCCCTACTTAGCACTGGGCCCACAGTCAGGAGAACTCACCTTGTACACAGGACGTCCTCTATGTCTCAACCAACACTTGGAAGAACTCACCTCAGACACAGGACGTCCTCTACAAAGACCTTACCAACACTTGGGAGAACTCACCTTGTACACAGGATATCCTCATGTAAACTTCCCTGACACCTCTGGCACTGGGTCCAAAGTCGGGAGAACTTCTCCTCCAGAACTTGCAACTGCAGGATCTCCTTCTGGTAGAGTGCCGACTCCTGACTCTTGCAGTGCTTGCACACAGACACACCTGCAAGTAGAATGTCAGTTAGAACAGCCAGTGCATACTGTCCACCAAGTATTGCATGGTTGGTTGGTTGGTTGGTTGGTTGGTTGCTTGGTTGATTTGTTTGTTAGCAATATTCCAGCAATATGACGGCGGTCTGTAAATAATCGAATCTGGACCAGACTATCCATAGATTGATATCATGAGCATCGATCCACGCAATTGATGACAACTATTGCATGGGTACCCAAGTAGCATGAGATGGTTATGCCAATGCAAGGATGGAAAAGCATTATTTTTTTCCAAGTGTGTGACAGAGCATCTAGGACATTTGGGCGTGCCCAGTGAGAGTCTAATTAAAATCCAAGTATTGCATAGTTGGTTGGTTGGTTGGTTGATTTGTTTGTTAGCAATATTCCAGCAATATGACGGCGGTCTGTAAATAATCGAATCTGGACCAGACTATCCATAGATTGATATCATGAGCATCGATCCACGCAATTGATGACAAGTATTGCATGGGTACCCAAGTAGCATGAGATGGTTATGCCAATGCAAGGATGGAAAAGCATTATTTTTTTCCAAGTGTGTGACAGAGCATCTAGGACATTTGGGCGTGCCCAGTGAGAGTCTCATTAAAATCCAAGTATTGCATGGTTGGTTGGTTGGTTGGTTGGTTGGTTGATTTGTTTGTTAGCAATATTCCAGCAATACGACGGCGGTCTGTAAATAATCGAATCTGGACCAGACTATCCATAGATTGATATCATGAGCATCGATCCACGCAATTGATGACAAGTATTGCATGGGTACCCAAGTAGCATGAGATGGTTATGCGAATGCAAGGATGGAAAAGCATTATTTTTTTCCAAGTGTGAGACAGAGCATCTAGGACATTTGGGCGTGCCCAGTGAGAGTCTCATTAAAATCAGATCTTAGTTCTCGCTACCGCTAAACAAAGATCTGAGGACATCCCATTAGGGGGTCACATCAGAACGACCTTTCATCAGACCAATCAGAGTGTCGCTTACCAGATCATGAAAGTGACAGTCGGAATGTTATTTCTCATCATGCAACCTCGAAAACTTTTAAACGGGATACTCCGAAAGATAATTATGGGCTTAACGACTGAATTGATATAATCTAGACCATCTATTAGCCATTCGAGAATGTTCTTTTGTTCAGGTTTCAATTTTTTAGGCGAGAATTTGCCAAAATATGTTTCGAAGCGTAGTCGCCCATTTTAAATTTGTGCTGTAAAGCATGAGAAAGCTGCCTTCTGATTGGCTAATGTCAACTTCTTGTCAGCAATTCCATTGGTCGGTCAGAGTTCGAGAAAGGTCGGCCTGACGTGACCAGTAATTGGATGTCCTCAGATCTTTGTTAAGCGCCAGCGAGAACTACGATCTGATTTTAATGAGATTGGCCCAGTGAGAATTTCCAACCCTTAAAAACAACCACTCTAGTACCTTCAAGGCAGCTTAGGTTGTATACTCTCCAGGGAGCTGAGAATGTAATTACAACATCATTATTATAAAATTATTTCAAGAAAGTCAATTGTAGTTTCTTCTGACGTGCTTGAGGTGTTACTATTGTTTCCCCAACAGCACGACTCACCTTCCACACTGAGAGGTGTCTTACAGCCGATGCATGTACTCTTCTTCTTGGTGAAGGCAGCCAGTCCGCCCACCTTGGATGCTACCACAGTCTTCGTTCGGGTGTGGTCACCCTCTAGGAACACACAAACATTGAAATACTACTGTAATTAGAGGCTATGGCATGTTCCACAGAGCGATATTAGCGCTGTTGTCATCAGTCCATCTTAATGTATGGGAGTTACCACTGTCTTGTTATAAGTCAGTATTAAAATGAGGGAGCATGACTGTCTGGTCATAAGTCAGTGTTCAAGTAAGGGAGCATGACTGTCTGGTCATAAGTCAGTGTTCAAGTTAGGGAGCACGACTGTCTGGTCATAAGTCAGTGTTCAAGTAAGGGAGCACGACTGTCTGGTCATAAGTCAGTGTTCAAGTAAGGGAGCATGACTGTCTGGTCATAAGTCAGTGTCACAGTAAGGGAGCACGACTGTCTGGTCATAAGTCAGTGTTCAAGTAAGGGAGCACGACTGTCTGGTCATAAAGCAGTGTTCAAGTTAGGGAGCACGACTGTCATAACTCAGTGTTCAAGTAAGGGAGCATGACTGTCTGGTCATAAGTCAGTGTTCAAGTAAGGGAGCACGCCTGTCTGGTCATAAGTCAGTGTTCAAGTAAGGGAGCACGACTGTCTGGTCATAAGTCAGTGTTCAAGTAAGGGAGCACGACTGTCTGGTCATAAGTCAGTGTTCAAGTTAGGGAGCACGACTGTCATAACTCAGTGTTCAAGTAAGGGAGCATGACTGTCTGGTCATAAGTCAGTGTTCAAGTAAGGGAGCACGCCTGTCTGGTCATAAGTCAGTGTTCAAGTAAGGTAGCACGACTGTCTGGTCATAAGTCAGTGTTCAAGTAAGGGAGCATGACTGTCTGGTCATAAGTCAGTGTTCAAGTAAGGGAGCACGACTGTCTGGTCATAAGTCAGTTTTCAAGTAAGGGAGCACGACTGTCTGGTCATAAGTCAGTGTCACAGTAAGGGAGCACGACTGTCTGGTCATAAGTCAGTGTTCAAGTAAGGGAGCACGACTGTCTGGTCATAAGTCAGTGTTAAAGAAAGGGAGCACGACTGTCTGGTCATAAGTCAGTGTTCAAGTAAGGGAGCTAGGGTTGTCTTAGTGCAACCTGGGAATTTAGGTAGAGACTGAATACTGTTTCTGACAGTGCTTTCAAGACATACAATGTTTCCTCTGTTCTATGAATGTCATGGCTGCCCAGACTGAACTTAGTTAGATTTGGGTGAACATTTAAGGTTAAAGAAGAAAGTTGATGGTAAAATAATTTTAGCGTTACTAAACATTTTTAATTATGTCATAAATATGCAATATATGGGGATACCTGGAAAGTTCAGGAGCATCCCCTGAATGATGGAGTTAGTAAATGTAAAACATCCATCCCAATACTAAAGCTACATCACAGCAACCTGTAGACAAGTCTGACCCTGGCAAACCAGTGGCTGAAAGCTAGAGCAACAATCCACACCATCAGGTCAGATGACACACCCTCAGTTGGGTCATACATGCCCCATCTGATCCTCACCACTCTCACAGCTAGGGGGCACCTGAAACCCCATTGGGTCATACATTCCCCATCTGATCCTCACCACTCTCACAGCTTGGGGGCACCTGAAACCCCATTGGGTCATACATTCCCCATCTGATCCTCACCACCCTCACAGCTTGGGGGCACCTGAAACCCCATTGGGTCATACATTCCCCATCTGGTCCTCACCACCCTCACAGCTTGGGGGCACCTGAAACCCCATTGGGTCATACATTCCCCATCTGATCCTCACCACCCTCACAGCTTGGGGGCACCTGAAACCCCATTGGGTCATACATTCCCCATCTGATCCTCACCACCCTCACAGCTTGGGGGCACCTGAAACCCCATTGGGTCATACATTCCCCATCTGATCCTCACCACTCTCACAGCTAGGGGGCACCTGAAACCCCATTGGGTTATACATTCCCCATCTGATCCTCACCACCCTCACAGCTTGGGGGCACCTGAAACCCCATTGGGTTATACATGCCCCATCTGATCCTCACCACTCTCACAGCTAGGGGGCACCTGAAACCCCATTGGGTTTCCCTGACGACCTGTTATGTAAGTACACAATCCTTATTGTCAATGTTATACATACTGAGCAGGACGGACTCGGCTTTCTTTTCCCCCAGGATGGGCTCGAAGATCCTTAGCAGTGGTTTAGACAGCTGATTCTCCAGGTAGTACTGTGTGTCAATTGGGATGTTGTTTTCCAGGACGTATATTGGATCCTGGGACAAGATGGAACAAGATAAGTGTAACACTTCTTTGAAAAGGGGATACTTCCTAAGGTAAATTACTGTGCACTTTGCATTAAACTGTTTCAGATTTTAGGGATGAGAGATCCTTTTAAATAGAAAAATAGCTTTTATTTATTTATTGATGTGAACTTCCTTATTATGAGGAACACAGCGTTTTGGAGTATATGCTTACTCCTTCATCAGGTGAATGATATGCAGCTCACCTGGATATGCAGTTTAAAGTTTAAAATGACAACAAAGACAGACACTTAAAAAAAGATGTGCTGTTCCGATTAATCAATTTTGTCCACAATTGGTTGGTATCCAAACAAGGAATTGATCTTGAACTCTGTAATCGTTTATAATTCAATCATGACATATGTTAATCAATTTATTTTCAGGAAGAAAATAATTAAATAGAAAATTGAAAATTGGAGTCAAACTCTGTAGCAAATTGGGATGTCATCATTAGTGGTAACAACATGTGAAATTTCCTCTTCAATGTCTAGTGGTTTCAGACAAGATGTTTATGACGGATGATGCATGCCAGACGCCTCACAAAGAGGACATGGCATCACCTCGCTTGACTTTTAGAGGACACCAGAAAAATGGTTTCAAACATTGTACTCATGTGGAGAATTGAACCAGGGCCTTTGGCGTGACGAACGAACGAACTTGTTAACCACTTGGCTACCACTTGACACATCAAAATGACATCAGGACTGACATCAAAATGACGGCAGGATTGACACATCAAAATGACGTCAGGATTGACACATCAAAATGACATCAGAATTGACACATAAAAATAAAGGCAGGATTGACACATCAAAATGACATCAGGACTGACATCAAAATGAAGGCAGGATTGACACATCAAAATGACATCAGAATTGACACATAAAAATAAAGGCAGGATTGACACATCAAAATGACATCAGGACTGACATCAAAATGAAGGCAGGATTGACACATAAAAATGACGTCAGGATTGACACATCAAAATGACATCAGAATTGACACATAAAAATAAAGGCAGGATTGACACATCAAAATGACATCAGGACTGACACCAAAATAAAGGCAGGATTGACACATCAAAATGACATCAGGACTGACATCAAAATAAAGGCAGGATTGACACATCAAAATGACGTCAGGATTGATACATCCATACTATAGCAGGATTGACACATCAAAATGACATCGGGATTGATACATCAAAATGACGGCAGGATTGACACATCAGAATGACCTCAAGATTAGCATACAAAAATGTTACCTCTGACTTCATATATGCTGCTGTGCCCTTAGCTGCGGCGATGATGACATACGGCACTCGGTCTCCCAGCTTGGGCGCATTGCCTGCGTCTCGCTTCTTCATCCTGTCAGGACATTGATTGATTGAATAATTGAGTATTGATTAATGCAGCTGTTTAACAGAGACAATCATGGGCTTGGCAAACTATGTGGTCAAATTGTCCACACACTTGTTAGGAGATACATTTCATAGTGCGTGATAATATTAAATGAATTACATCACTGCAGACAACAGATACTCCTGATGCTGATACAGATTACTCTTCATCCTCTCCTGGATGCAAACACGATGGCTTGATTACCTGACCGAGGTCATCATAACAAGCAGACTTGAAACTGTTAACATATTTTTTAAATACATAAATTGTATGAATGTTGTCTTATGACCCACCTGAATATTTTCAGAATATACAGATACTAAAGAAACAAGCTTAATGTTTCTCTGTGTATTGCTTAGTTTGGGTTCTTGGCTAACCTCAAACATTGTGTAATTAAAATATAAACAGTGTGGTCTTGTGCAGGATGAACTTTTCCAGGGTTCAAAATTAACATGCCTGTTAGTCTGAGTTTTGGACAATTCAATCAGGACTTGTGACGTGACGTAACCTTGGCAACCACCTCTTCTACTGGCAAGATGTCATCTCTACTTGATGTCAGTTTTGGTGACCAGTAAAAATAAGAAATATTCTACAGCCCTGAGATTTGGGATAACACTTTCTTCATAAAGAACAAATTGTTGTACTTTTTTAGGTGGAGTCCGATCTGGGATTCAAACCCACGTTCTCTGAGCAAGTTCGGTTTTTGGTTTGGTTTGTTGTATAACGCCGCACTCAGCAATATTCCAGCTATATGACAGCGGTCTGTTAATAATTGAGTCTGGGCCAGACAATCCAGTGATTAATATCATGAGCATCGATCCACGCAATTGGGATTGATGACATGGTTCAACCAAGTCAGTGAGCCTGCTTTCCTGATTCCCGTTAGTCATGACAAGAATAGTCGCCTTTTACGGCACACATGTGTGGCTGAAGACCTATTCTACCCCAGATCTTGACGGGTCCTCAGAGCAAGGTGCCTTCTGCACTCACTTGTTCGCTAGTTCCACGTGTGCCTGCTTCCCTGCGTAGTCGTCATCAGTCTTGGTCAACTCCTTGGTGATGACAAGTTGCGAGATGTCCACACGATTACACAGGAGGTCTGAGATAGTCTGCTTCACGTGTTGCACAGCGCCATCTGGATCTCTGGAACAAACCCGTATGACAGTCACAGACAGGCCGAGAGTCTGTAGCTTTACGCCACAGTTAGCAATATTCCCGCTGTAAAATTGCCGCCAACGGACAGAATCTAATCAGGGCCAAATAAACCTGGTGGTAGAAATTAAAGATCAACATTCCAGGGTACGACACGTCTGATCTTTCAATCCACTGGAACCACTTCTAACAACAAGCAACAGAGCGTTGAGTCTTATTGAATGCAGCCGAGTTTTTGATGAACATTTTGCAAGCCACTGTTAGCAAATTTTGGAGAACTTGATTCATCATGAAGCCATAATGGGGAGTCTGGGATTTCAAACTAATTGCATGCAAATTGGGAAAAAAACATTATTTTGCTCAAAATTTGGATTTAGTTTTAAATTAATATTTTCTGAATGCCAGAGTGTTTAAAAGTTAAAAGCATACTCTATTAGTCCTGTTATCAGTGAAAAATAAGTCACCTCTACAAGTGAGTGAGTGAGTGAGTGAGTGAGTGAGTGAGTGAGTGAGTGAGTGAGTGAGTGAGTGAGTGAGTGAGTGAGTGAGTGAGAGTGAGTGAGTGAGTATAGTTCTATACCACTTTTAGCTATGTTCCAGCATTACCACAGCGGAGGACACCAGAAATGGGCTTCACACATTGTACCCATGTGGGGAACTGTCTGGGGGGCCTTTGGCGTTATGAGCAAACGCTTTAACCACTAGGCTACCCCACTGCGTCTCACCTCTAAAGTAAGGTTGCTTTCTATTATTTTGAAATATTGTTTGAATTCATGTGGAATTCAATTGTGTTTGGCTACAAGGAGAGCCTCAGAAAGCCTTAAGGGATGCAGGTCATAGATTTTGAACACTTTGTTGAACACCCTCTTATGACGACATAGACCTGCATTTGTCTCAATGTTTTGAAAATGAAGGATTTAAAAAATGTTCAAACAACAGAAAATTGACCGCATCCCTGCAACATTACCATGGCAACGTACCTATCAATCAGCAGCAGCTGCAGGCACATGTTGATGAGGTTGGCCACCAGGGGGCTGTTGTCTCGCCGCACCGTCTCGATACCCTTGCAGTCCATCTTGTCATGTTTGTCTGGGTTCGTCCAGTACAGGCCAGCGTACCGCTTCTTGTTGATCAGAAGATAGGGGAAGTATACCTACAGGAAGCAGAGGAACACGGCGCGTGACAAAAATGAAAGTTTTCCCCAGGTCCTGTGGGCCGAACGGCCTTTGAAATTGTTTTAATTCTCTTACAATGTCACATTAAAACACGTTGGTAAGGTACCCATGGCTCATGGTATAAAACCTAACGCAGGAAGCATAAAACTCCACGTACCTCTCATGATCCTGCTACAACATATATAATGATGCGGTGCCGTAAAATTTAACAGAAACATGTGCACATAATCTTGAAGTCCTCACAGCTTGATGACGTAGTTTAGTAAATTTATACACCTTAGAGGTACCGAGTGTGTTCAAAGATCAATCTTGTGCAGCGGTACAAACTAATATTTTTAGTCCACTCGTCCTTATAATGATAACATGTAGCAAAACTCTTCATAAATGGCAAGTTTCTTCTAGTCCTTATGATACCTTAACCATTGGGCAGTTTGGCAAGGACTAGTGCCAATTTCTAACACTGTTGTGTACACAAGTAAGAGTGTGTGAGTTGGGTTAACGCCGCTTTTAACAGTATTACAGTTATATCATGGCATGTCAGCTTAATGTGGGAGGAAAACCCGAAGTGATGTAGGTCTCAGACATTTACCACTTTGGTGAAACCCACGAGCAGGGGTATGGAGCTGACAAAACTAGAAACATAATTGGGGCGATCCGGGATTCGATCACACAATCATAGGTTTCTGGCGTGCCCAAGGGACGCAACTCTGCACAGTGAATCGCGGCACCTGAGACGACTGGACTGCCCCTACACAAGTAAGAAGTTAGTCAGACACAAATTTGAAATATTTTCGCATGCACTTGGTGCACGGTGACATGAATATAAGGTTGCATTTTTCAATAATCAACTGCACTTGTGCATGTTTTAAATAGCAAAATCGAGCCCTGGCATATATCACAAAGTTAACCATTGACTTAACAAATTCCATGGAAACTACTGATTTACTACGCAATTTCTTTCATATGACAATAGTTAATCTGTCATTAACTATTTTGAGCAGTATATTTTAACTTATCATCATCACAAAACTATTGGCATGAAGCATCCTAAAAGATGCACTCGCTTTACCTTCTCGAACTCTAGTTTGATGGGGCTGACAAACTTGAGAGAGATGACCTCTGCTGCTTCCTTCCCGAGCTCCATTGCCTCGGCAACCGTCTCCACACCGAACTTGCACATCACAGAATCTGTGTCACCATAGATAACCTGTAATAGAGAGAGTAGCGTACATCTCTCACTGCCAACACTCAGCAATAAGATTAATTTTGTACACAAAATGTTATATATCAATGTCACAGTTTTACCATTCACCTTCAGATATATTTTGTGCCAAATGTGTTTTGGTTTTAACAATATTTAAGTTACATCACAGAGAGTAAGCTTATTGGTTGTTTGTTTGTTTGTTGTTTAATGCGATACTCGGCAATATTCCAGCTATATGACAGTTGTCTGTAAATAATCAAGTCTGAACCAGACAATCCAGTGATTGATATTATCAGCATCGATCCACGCAATTGAAATACTGTACATTGCAACATTAAAACAAATGATTTACCATTTTTGCCAAAAGTCTTACCTTAGCATCATGCTTGTATCCATTGGCGATGGTGTATCTCTCCTCCACATACTGCTTGGTCTGTTCAATCATCATACGACCAAAGGCCGTCACACTCTGCAAGCGACACAGTGACAGAGTGAGTGAATGGTAGTCTCAGGCCACAGTCAGCGATATCAATGCTTAATGTGTGGATTGCCACTCAAACTATTCCTATGCATAATTAATGAATGGGAAGTTTAAAGTTTTGTTAAAAATCAAAGCAGAAGACTTTTAATGATTGAACAACTGAAACAATTGAAAATAATGAAATCCTTGTTTGTTTGTTTGTTTATTTGTTGTTTAACGCCACACTCAGCAATATTCCAGCTATATGACGGCGGTCTGTAAAATAATCGAGTCTGGAACAGACAATCCAGTGATTGACATCATGAGCATCGAACCATGCAATTGGGATACGATGACAGGCATCAACCAAGTCAGCGAGCCTGAACACACAATCCCGTTAGTCGCCTTTAATGACAAGCATAGTCGCCTTTTACGGCAAGCATGGTTGCTGAAGACCTATTCTACCCCGGATCTTCACGGGTCACTTTAGATTTGTATAATTTGAGTGGTTCGAGTCTTCCGAGGTTACCACATTGCGTCTTATTTCGGGAACTGTTAGTTAGTTGTCTTTGATTAAATCCATGACTTTTGCAAGCATGTCATAGGCTACTCCTTAAAAGTTGATGAATGCTGGTTCATCATATTTTAATGAACATTTCCACAAGAACACTTTGAATAAATACTCTTTAGTGTGCCCTCAAGGCACCAGGATAGGGGAATTACTCACACTCCGGCGCAGTGGTGACACAGCATAACACCACTGCCACAGGCTAATTTGCATATCACGTGACCGTACTTATCCCTTGTTTGTAAACAAACACGCTTTTTCAGAAATAAGTATAGAATGGACTAATGCAAGTATTTGGGGGCGCTTCACATATTGTTTTGCATAATTATATAGATATGCTACTACAACTGAGACAGTGAGTTGCATGACAATATATATTTATGCATCAAAGTGACCGTATCGCTAGCTCTCCGTTGGGCTTCGATGACAGCACGTGGAGTCGTACAACCAATGTAAACAAAGGATAACTACGCAAAAACAAGTAGATTTTCACGTATTAGCATACTTTCTTAATGAACCGTAACCATTCTTTGACATTTGTTTATGAAATGTGTAGACTTGTCAAACATGAAACGTATTAAAAGCATATGCAATGTCTTGAATGGACTGTGAAAGATGCGACGAATCGTCACATGGTGCTGGCCTGTGGCAGAGGTACTATGCTGGCTGGCTGCCGGCCGCATGGAACTCTGGGTAGGAGAGTGGGAATAACTCTAAGGGCAATAACATAGCCTAAAGTTCTCCCAAAATCAAGATAACTGACTACATGTTGCTGTCTTTGTTCGTTGTTAAACGCTGTGCTAAATTACATTCCAGCTGTTAATAAGCAATTTGTAAATAATCAAGTCTGAACCAGACAATCCAGGGATTGACATCATGATCTACTCAATTGGGATACAATGACATGCATCAACCAAGTCCGCAAGCCTGACCACTCGATTCCGCTACAAGCCTCTTACAGTTTGTTTTTGTTGTTTAACGCTGCACTCAGTAATATTCCAGCTCTATGACGGTGGAAAGTAAATAATCGAGTCTGGACCAGACAAACCAGTGATTGACGTCATGAGCATCGATCTACGCAATTGGGATATGATGACATGCAGCAACCAAGTCAGCAAGCCTAACCAACTGACCCCAACTCGGCTCTTTTGACAAGGATGGGTTGCTAAAAACCAGTTCTAACCTAGATCTTAAGGGTGTACACGTTGTTACCTGAGATATCTCCAGACAAGGCAGCTTGCCGACTTGAGCACCTGTGAATCCATACACGGAGTTAGCACTGATCTTCAGTGCGAGCTGACGGCCATCCAACACCCCCTTCTTGAACGGGTCAGTCTCCTTCTTCAGATCAGCCTTAGCTCTACAACAATGAATGATGGGTATTACTGGTGCCACTTGAAAACTACAACAATTACTGGCAATAACATAGCCTACACTGAACTCTGATTAGAGTGAGTGAGTGAGTGAGTGAGTGAGTGAGTGAGTGAGTGAGTGAGTGAGTGAGTGAGTGAGTGAGTGAGTGAGTGAGTGTCTGGGTTTAACGCCGCTTTGAACAGTATTTCAGTTATATCACGGTGGGTCAGCTAAATGTTGGAGGAAAGCCTGAAGTGAAGCAGGTCTCTGATGTTTATGACTTTGGTGAAACCCACGAGCATGGGTATTGTGCCGATAAACCTTGAATCATAATCAGGGCGAACTAGGATATGGACTCACAATCATAGGTTTCTGGTTGCCTAAGGGACACAACTCAGCAAAGCAACTTGCGGTGCCTCAAAGAGGTTATGAGGTTATATTGTCACTCAGCTATAGAAAATGAAATTAATTTTACTTTTGTATGTGCTGATTATTGTGATGTATTGGCGAAAACACGCTCACGAGGTTTTGGTAGACAGAGCATGCCCTGGGGAGAGGGAAAAACCAAGAGGGCCAAGCCCCCGCGATTTTTCCCGACCCCCAGGGCATGCTCTGTCTACCAAAACCGAGGGAAAGTGTTTTTCCATGCTTATAAACTGAAAAAAGAAACTTAAAACAACATTTATCAACATTTTTATGTTTCGAACATACTTTCCATGAACCTTAGGAAACGCGCGTAAAATATCTGTTGCTGGCGTATGGATCTTGAAAAAGGACATTCTAAAAACCAGTGAGGCTTATCAACACCTCTGTAGCCTCGTGGTACACTCACTGGGCTACAGATATGAAGGTTGCGAGTTCGATCCTCAGGAATATAAAGAAAACATTTGTCATTTGATTTTACATTTCATTACATGTTACAATCTGAACGGAAGTTATATTAATAAAATACCCAGGACATTATATAAAATCCCAGGGACATTACAACGTCCCTGTTTATGAGATTTAACCCGACTGGAAAGTAAAACCTCACAATAGGTTTTAATGCCTATGGAAAGAAGTCTCTTACTTAATAGAGATCCCAATGAACAGGTTTATAAATAAGAAACAAATTTACACTAGAACGCTATCTGTCAAATTATCCTGTACCTGCCTTTATATCATATACAGTGGTCCCTACATCGCTACCTATGGGGTTCAAATAATTGGTGGGCGTTATAGACGATGAGCCGTTTAACCGAGGCCGAGGCGGGGGAGCGCGCTCGGCCAATCTCACGATCTTCGCCTTGTCTCGCACATTGCAATGATACAAGTTGTTTACCGTTCATATATATCCATTATGTTTTCGCCGTTTGTTATTATTTACAAGCCTTAACTGTCACATTCAATGTGAACGTAGTCTACTTACATGAAAATATCGATCGATGATGGTAGTAACAGACGCTATGAGTGAAGAGCCAATCACAATTCATTACACAAGTACAGAGTGTTTCAGTGGCATTGATTGGTCATGTTGCTTAAAATACGGGAAACGAGAGTTTTGACCAGCGCTATGCGCATTCATACACATTCATACAAATATAGATACACATTCAAGCCAGATTAATTGGTTTGATACGGTTACTTGATCCGAATCAAAAGAAATGACCGCCGTGTTGTGACAGCAACATGTGAGTTGACAGTGTCGCCTCAAATTGAATTGCCCACTAATTAAGAATATAAACTTCGCTTGTGGTTCTCTTTTATTGCATGCATGCACTTCTAAGATCAAAGGATGTATAGCGTGAAAAGTTAACTAGTAGAACAATCATATTTCCGGGACTTACCGCAGATGTTTTCAAACAGATTATTAGAACTCCATTCAGCGATAAACGGTTGATTATGCAATAAGCGTTATGTGCAAATGAACAACAATACAATCATGTCTGTGTAAAACTCTCAGTATTAAAAGTGTACATAAATTTTGGGAGCCATGCGTTACCGCGCGTAGTAACCGAGGTAGCGCTTTATTGAAGAGCACAATAGCAAGGGATCATTGTATTATAAGATGCTGCTGTCATATATTCAAAACTGGTTATATATGTTAAAATACAATTTCTCTCCGAAAAAACAAAAAACAAAAAACAAAAACAACTTGCGGCACCTTTGAAGACTGGGCCACCTGCGCCCCTGAATATGGTTACCATGGATACAGGCAGAGACCTTCATTCTGTCTATATCCACTGGGCCCTTACACGCGGTTCAAACATCACTTCTGACCATTAGGGGCTGGTCAGGTGACCCCTTTTCGAAACCATACCATGTGTTATAGATATATGGAAAGCTCTTTGAAATCGGTATCTTCGATGGTATCACAAAAATACATCAAAACCACCAAAATAATGACTTAATAGCCATTTGAAGTTATTATTTTTGTTTTGGTGACTTTTAACTGTCTATCAGTGACACCTTAATCTTCAAGACCAATGATGTTTGTTTGTTGTTTAACGCCATGGATCCCGCCTTCATATAGCTGAAAATAGCTGAGGGCAGCATTAAACGGAAAAAAACAAAACAAACAAAACATCACTCACTTCTTCCTGGCAGAGAGCAAATGCTCCAAGATTTCTGGCAGCAGACCCTTCCTGACTGTGGACTTGCAGAACAGGTTCCCGCTGGGTGTCTTGATGTACTGCTCTGCCGTCAACCTGCACACAGAGAACGTGGAGGTCAGGTGACCAGGTCACCCAGCTACTGGTAATACGGGGGCATTGCAGGGACACAGGGATAGGACGCAACACACCATCCAGTTCACATATACTCAAAGTCATTATTAAGGGATCACACAGGTAAGAGATAAAACGTTTCAACACCTGGAGTGCAATTCAGATGCATCTAAATTTTATACCCATATTGACGATTCTTACACAGGTAAGAGATAAAACGTCGCATTTTCAACACCAGGAGTGCAATTCAGATGCATCTAAAATTTATACCCACATTGACGATTCTTACACAGGTAAGAGATAAAACGTCGCATTTTCAACACCAGGAGTGCAATTCAGATGCATCTAAAATTTATACCCACATTGACTGTTCGTTATGTATTGCACAGGCGTGGGTTTCAGGTGGCTGGTACCTTCGCCTTCAATCTTGCACTTTTCATTGTTTTTAATAGTTGTCTAGTTTTCTAGTTCATAAAAACATCCAATGATTGTGAGTGAGTGAGTGAGTATGGTTTTTCGCCACTTTTAGCAATAATCCGGCAATATCAAGGTGGGGGACAGCAGAAAATGGGCTTCACACATTGTACCCATGTGGAGAATCGAACCCGGGCCTTCGACGTGACAACGCTTTAATCACTAGGCAACCCCACCGCCCCGCTAAATGTCATAAAGGGATATGGTGGTCAACTTCAGTGATAGATGAAGCTACAGTACACTACATAATCTTGAAGTACCCACAGTTTGATGACGTCAAGCCCAAGAAAGCATGACAAATCACATGTAACACTGGGATTTGTGATGTAGTAAGGTAAATAAACATTAGGTGTTGAGCGTGTTCAAAGATTGATATCCTGTGGACAACTTACAAGGGTTAATCAAGACACAAATTTGCACATATTTTTCATGCATTTGGTGCATGTAGACACAAATATTGGGTTGCATTTTTCAATAATAGGCTGCACTTGTGCATGTTTAATATAGCAAAATCGAGCCCTTTAAAATACCTCAGCAGTTTCCCATTGTACAGATTACCACTATAAAATATCTCAGCAGTTTCCCAATGAACAGATTACCACTATAAAATATCTCAGCAGTTTCCCATTGTACAGATTACCACTATAAAATATCTCAGCAGTTTCCCATTGTACAAATTACCACTATAAAATATCTCAGCAGTTTCCCATTGAACAGATTACCACTATAGAATATCTCAGCAGTTTCCCATTGAACAGATTACCACTATAAAATATCTCAGCAGTTTCCCATTGAACAGATTACCACTATAAAATATCTCAGCAGTTTCCCATTGAACAGATTACCACTATAAAATATCTCAGCAGTTTCCCATTGTACAGATTACCACTATAAAATATCTCAGCAGTTTCCCATTGAACAGATTACCACTATAAAATATCTCAGCAGTAGATGAACATGAACCATTTCTGTCCACAGTCGTATCGCTTTCTATATTTTTTGGTTGTTTGTTGTTTAACGCCACACTCAGCAATATTCCAGCTATATGATGACAGCCTGTTAATAATCGATTCTGAGACAATTCAGTGATTGACATCATGTGCATCAATCTATGCAATTGGGATACAATAACATGCATTTACCAAGTCACCAAGCCAGACGACCCGATCCCGTCCCGTTGCTGAAGATCAATTCTATACCCAGATCTTCATGAGTCCTATAAACGTGTGAAGAGTGTTACTATGGTTACTTACCCTTCCTTCTGGATGACCGATGGGTTGAGGAGGGAGGTGTAGCAGAGGTTGTGTGCCATCATGATTGACGGGTACAGCGAGGAGAAATCCAGTGTGGCTATGGGAGCATCATAATACCTGCCAAACACACGTGTGTATCAATTTGTGGAACAGACACATGTGTATCACTTTGTGGAACAGACACATGTGTATCAATTTGTTGAACAGACACATGTGTATCAATTTGTGGAACAGACACATGTGTATCAATTTGTGGAACAGACACACGTGTATCAATTTGTGGAACAGACACATGTGTATCAATTTGTGGAACAGACACACGTGTATCAATTTGAGGAACAGACACATGTGTATCAATTTGTGGAACAGACACATGTGTATCAATTTGAGGAACAGACACATGTGTATCAATTTGTGGAACAGACACATGTGTATCAATTTGAGGAACAGACACATGTGTATCAATTTGTGGAACAGAGCAGCATCAAGTGATCAATAGCATAGGTGCACCCTGTCACCCTTTACTGGCATCCACGTGCCAATTCCTCCTCAAACTGGTGCCAATGGCACTCTCGTACCAACACCTTCCCAAGACCAAATACCGGTGCCACCCTCATATCAACCCTTCTGAAGCTCTATGCCAGCGCACTCTCGTATGAACCCCTTCTGAAGCTCTATGCAACCACACTCTCGTATGAACCCCTTCTGAAGCTCTTTGCCACCACACTCTCGTATAAACCCCTTCTGAAGCTCTATGCCACCACACTCTCGTATAAACCCCTTCTGAAGCTCTATGCCAGCGCACTCTCGTATAAACCCCTTCTGAAGCTCTATGCCACCACACTCTTGTATAAACCCCTTCTGAAGCTCTATGCCAGCGCACTCTCGTATAAACCCCTTCTGAAGCTCTATGCCAGCGCACTCTCGTATAAACCCATTCTGAAGCTCTATGCCACCACACTCTCATATAAACCCCTTCTGAAGCTCTATGCCACCACACTCTGGTATAAACCCCTTCTGAAGCTCTATGCCACAACACTCTCATATAAACCCCTTCTGAAGCTCTATGTCACCACTCTGGTATAAACCCCTTCTGAAGCTCTATGCCACAACACTCTCATATAAACCCCTTCTGAAGCTCTATGTCACCACTCTGGTATAAACCCCTTCTGAAGCTCTATGCCACCACACTCTCATATAAACCCCTTCTGAAGCTCTATGTCACCACACTCTTGTATAAACCCCTTCTGAAGCTCTATGCCACCACACTCTCATATAAACCCCTTCTGAAGCTCTATGCCACCACACTCTCATATAAACCCCTTCTGAAGCTCTATGCCACCACACTCTCATATAAACCCCTTCTGAAGCTCTATGTCACCACACTCTTGTATAAACCCCTTCTGAAGCTCTATGCCACCACACTCTCATATAAACCCCTTCTGAAGCTCTATGTCACCACACTCTGGTATAAACCCCTTCTGAAGCTCTATGCCACCACACTGTCATATAAACCCCTTCTGAAGCTCTATGCCACCACACTCTCATATAAACCCCTTCTGAAGCTCTATGCCACAACACTCTGGTATAAACCCCTTCTCAAGCTCTATGCCACCACTCTCATATAAACCCCTTCTGAAGCTCTATGTCACCACACTCTCGTATAAACCCCTTCTGAAGCTCTATGCCAGTGCACTCTCGTATAAACCCCTCCTGAAACTCTATGCCAGCGGCAATCTCGTATAAACCCCTCCTGAAGCTCTATGCCAGCGGCAATCTAGCATAAACCCCTTCTGAAGCTCAAAGCCAGCGGTATTCACATCCCAACCCCTTCTCAAGACCAAATACCACTGCCACCCTCATATCAACCCTTCTCAAGCTCTATGCCAGCGCACACCCTAATATAAACCCCTTCTGAAGCTCTGTCAGCGGCCCCTCGTACCACACTTTTCTCAAGATCTATTCCAACAGTGCCCTCATCCAAATTCCTCAAGCGGCAGTCACATACGACCCTTTTCAAGCTTGATGACAGTGGCACTCTTGTTGTCACCCCTTCTCTCCTTTGATAACAGTCTGCCCTCAATCTCACACTTCCCACACTTCAGGACAGTGGTGCCCTCTCACCAACCAACCCCTTCACGTGACAGTGGTGCCCTCTCACCAACCCCTTCACGTGACAGTGGTGCCCTCTCACCAACCCCTTCACGTGACAGTGGTGCCCTCTCACCAACCCCTTCACGTGACAGTGGTGCCCTCTCACCAACCCCTTCACATGACAGTGGCAACTTGAACCCACCCTTTCTCCGGTTCGATGACCGTGGCACCCTCGTACTCGTCCCCTGTGTCTACTTTCTGCGAGGGTATGACTAGGTCCTGTTCCTTTGCCTGCAACAGACAGGGTTTTTAAAACACAGGAAGCAATAACATTCAAATACCGTATTCGACATAATAAGCGCCCAGGGCGCTCTCAGAATTAGAAATAGGGGCCTCTTATTAAAATATTATTTTGGTGAAAAAACCCCAGAAATTTTGTGGTTTATGCTGACAGCCTGAAATATTTATGTACCGCAGATATTTTTTCCAGAATTTAATTGCCCATAATTAATGGTGCATATAACACAGGAGTGCATATTAACGCGAATGAATAAGTCTTGTTTACATTGATCAATCAGAAGGGGTGCTAATTGGGATTGTTCATGTGCCAATATATTAGCAAATATCGCCGTGGGTGCTTATTACGTCGACTACAGTATGTACCAAACTTCCATGTAAAATGTGCAAGATAAAATGAAAGGTACACTCAATGGCACACTGATTGTTAGTTTAACGCTGCTCTCAGCAATATTCCAGCCACATGATGGCAGTCTCTAAATACTCGAGTCTGGACCAGACAATCCATTGATTGATATCATTAGCATTGATCTACGCAATTTGGATACAATGACATGCATCAACCAAGTCAGCGAGCCAGACCATCTGATCCTGTTAGTCGTCTCTTACGACGACAAGCATAGTCGCCTCTTTCAACAAGCATGGGTTGCTGAAGATCAATTCTAAGGGGATCTTCACAGGTCGACACACTGATACATTATAATCCAATAAGCATCTGAATGTGAATATGCTTTGAAAACAAATTATCATGAATCTTTTATGAAGATAACAAATTTTCTATTTGTATTTAATCAAACAAAAAGTTGAATAGGTGTTTTAAATAAGGTCCAACCCATGGTAACATTTTATACATCCAACATAATTAGAGCAATAACTTTTTGGCAACACACTTTATTTTATCCAATGTGTCCATTTTGTTAAACCTCAGGTTAATTTTCCCCCAGTATTGTTGGGAAAAAAATAATTTTTTTTTTTAAAAATCCATCGTCCTGAATAACATGTTTTGTCCCTGAACACACTGAATCAGTATTGGATGATGGCCAGTGTGTACTCAACTCACCTTCCGTAGCAGCTGTGACATGACCTTGATTTGTTGACCTCGGGAGAGCAGAAAGGGGAGGGGCACGCCGGTGACTCGGGCCATCTCCATGTAGTTGATGACACACATCAACTTGTCCAGGAGTCGGAGCGGCAAGATGGCGTCCTTCAGGCAATACACAGCCAACCGACGCCTTGTCTGCTCGTTACCATTCTGAAGTAAAGGAAGTAGAGTGAGTTAGTTGGTTTTAATGCCGCTTTTACAGTATTCCAGTTATATCACGGAGTGTCAGCTTAATGTGGGAGGAAAAGGTCTCAGATGTTTACCACTTCAGTGAAACACAAGAGCACGGGTATGGTGATAACAAACCTAGAGACATAATCAGGGTGAACCGGGATTCAAACCAACAATCATAGTGAGTTATTTCAGTTATAACACGGAATGTCATGTTCGGAAGAAATACTGAAGTGATGCAGGTCTTAAAACCCAATTGTTTTTGTTTGATAGTTTGTTGTTTAATGCCGCATTAACAATATTCCAGCTATATGATGACGGTCTGTAAATGAAAGAGTCTTGACCAGACAATCCAGTGATTGACATCATGAGCATCGATCTGCGAATTGGATATGATGACATGCATCAACCAAGTCAGTAAGCCTGACCACCAGATCCCGTTAGTCGCCTCTTACGACAAGCATAGTCGCCTTTTACGGCAAGCATGGGTTGTTGAACACCTATTCTACCCCGGATCTTCATGGGTAGAACCCCATGAGTATGGTCATGGCTATGGCCCTCAAAAACAAAAAGGATTAATTAGGGTGAATATTGGAAATATAATCCACGACCATAGTTTTTTCCGTATTCCTAGGTGTCATAAATATACACAGGGCATTGCGGCACCTTAGACAGACAGGGCCAGTGCCCCAAGTTTGTTTGCTTGTTGCTTAACTCCGAACTCAGCAATATTCCAGCTATATGACGGGGATCTGTAAATAATCAAGTCTGGACCAGACAATCCAGTTATTAATGTCGAACTATGCAATTGGGATACGAGGACATGCATCAACAAGCCTGACCACCTGTTTCCGTTAGTAGCCCCTTACGACAAGCAGTCGCCTCTTATGGCAAGCATGGGTAGCTGAAGACTAATTCTGACCCGGATCTTCACAGGTCCAGTGCCATAAGTACAAGGATGAAAGTGTTTTATGACCCTGTCGTACCTGGAGATCTGTGATGATGGAATGTTGGACATCTTCCTTCTGTTCCTGCAGGAAGTGAAAGGAGACGGCGTTCAAGGTGTATGACCGCAGTTTGTAGTCTCTCAGCAATATCTGAAATAAAAGTGATAAAGTGAGTTGGCATGTACCATTGTTTCCAACTGTCTTAATTGTATCATTCCAAACCTCGCACTTCGAGCATGTGCACTGTCTGTAAATAGCAACACAACTTAAAGAAAATTCCAACATTCAAACAGCAACATGCATCAAGATTAATGTGGCATTTTGACTTTACTGAATCAGGTGCCTCATCAATATCTACCTGTATTCATCTGTGACCTAATGTTGTCTAATGAAGTACAATTTAGTCCTATATCTCAACCTACCTTACAAGAAGTTGCACACACTTCCAGTTTAATGACATTACTTTTAGTTGGGAAAGACACATGACCATTGCAGTACAACTTTGAAACAGAAAGTCCCATGGCTTCAGCTACCTTAATGTCAAAGTTATAAGCCCATCAGGTTTAACTACATCTTTTACAATTTGGAAAGAAGCATGCTAAATACAGTACAATTTTTACCCACTTTACAGAAGGACTAACCGGAAAAATAACTAGCTTGCTAAAAGAAGTGCAGTTATGCAAGTTTTTTGCATTATGGGTCTAGTGGTAGAGCGTCTGCCCGCTGTGCAGAAGGTCCGGGGTTCGATCCCCGGTCGCGTCATACCAAAAGACGTTAAAAGATGGTACTTGTTGTTACCCTGTCTGGCGCTCGGCATTTAGGGGCTAAAACAAGGACTGGTCGACTCAGAGTCAGTATACTGTGTCTGAGTGGGGTATTCATGTTAAACTGCGGCATGGTATCTCAGTGAGCTAGCACTATAAATCGGCATCAGTACTAGTACAAGCAGCCACACAAACATGTACGTCGCTATATAAGTGCAATAATCTTGGACGTGACGTTAAACCCCATTTCACCTCTCCTGTGGTATTAAGCAGCATTTGGAACTTGATGTTTACTGGCTACATGGTACACAGAGAGATGGGACTCAGGACACAGGACACAGGACACAGGGCTTGGGACACAGGACATAGGACACGGGGCTTGGGACTCAGGACACGGGGCTTGGGACACAGGACACAGGACACGGGGCTTGGGACACAGGACTCAGGACACAGGGCTTGGGACACAGGACACAGGGCTTGGGACACGGGACACGGGGCTTGGGACACAGGACTCAGGACACGGGGCTTGGGACACAGGACACAGGGCTTGGGACACAGGACACAGGGCTTGGGACTCAGGGCTTGGGACACAGGACACAGGGCTTGGGACACAGGACACGGGACTTGGGACACAGGACACAGGGCTTGGGACACAGGACACAGGGCTTGGGACACAGGACTCAGGACACAGGACACGGGGCTTGGGACACAGGACTCAGGACACAGGACACAGGACACGGGGCTTGGGACACAGGACTCAGGACACACGTACCTGCAGCAGGTCGAACTGCGTCCTGCCTTCAATGTTGATGACCTTGTTCTCCCTCTTCCCCATCTGTTTGCTCTGGAACATGGACTCCTTAATGACAGAGGGGATGTCCTTGATGCGGCCCAGGTACGTGAAGTCGCGCACCTTCAGGTGGGCAGCCCGGTTGATCAGGTACGGGAAGTCAAAGTTCTGTATGTTGTAGCCGGTGATCAAGTCAGGGTCTATATCTCGGACAAATGCTGCCCATTTCTGAAAATATGGAAATCATTTTTTCAATTTATATCTGCATATATTATGTGGATGGATGCCGAGATGAATTCAAGTTGGATGTAATTGTTAAATGTCTTCTTAATTTGAGTTAAGGTCTTTGATAGTCAATTAAAAGTTGGAAGAACATGAATACATGAATTTATTTATGAATAACAACTTCTTCATTCTTTGTCACAATGTTTCAGGACTACATGTTGCCCCTTCATCACGTGAATACTCAGTATTCATATACAGTTTCGCATTCCATGTCTGTTGTAAGAGGCGACTAACAGGATCAGGTTCGCTGACTAGGTTGATGCATGTCATCGTATCCCAATTGTGTAGATCGATGTTCATGATGTCAATCACTGGACTGTCTGGTGGTGATTCAATTATTTACAGACCGCCGTCATATAGCTAAAATATTATTGAATTCAACAAACAAATATAGCACAAGTACCAGTGACAACTCGAACATTGAGTTGGCTCTATTTGGAAGAAAAGTCCTTCTTTCATAGATTTACCAGATTAAATCTCTTAATTGTTTTCACGGTTGTTTACAGAGGTGATAACTGAAATAGCAATTTTCCAGTAGAGTGCTTGTAGTCTATAAACAAGTGAGGGTCAGGAAAACAAGTGGTTGATAGAATGAGCAACAATTCCTGCAGCCAGGATACAACAACCAACTATCAGCCAGGTCACACACTGTCAGCTTCAGTGCGAGTGAATGGGGTTTAACGCCGCTTTGAACAGTATTCCAGTTACATCATGGCGTGTCAGCTTAATGTGGGAGGAAAGCCTGAAGTGATGCAGGTCTCAGATGTTCACCGCTTCAGTGAAACCAACGAGCACGGGTATGGTGCCGACAACTTAGAAACATAACTGGGGCGAACCGAGATTCAAATCCACAATCATAGGTTTCTGGCAACTCTGCACAGCGAATCGCGGCGCCTTAGACGACTGGGCCACCCGTGCCCCTCATCACCAAGAAGGATTTGCATTTACATGTAGAGAATTTACTAAAACCCCATACGTCAACAATTCCATTTTCAACATGCGTATCAACATTGAAAAATAATCAATGATAATGTACTCTACTAGGTTTCTGGCGTGCCCAAGGGGCACAACTCTGCACAGCGAATTGCAGGGCCTAAGAAAACTGGGCCACCTGTGCCCCTGTCAGCTCCAGAATCTTTAGTGGTTGTCTTAGGGTGCTGATAGCCTATTTCTCCCTAGAATTCCTCCAGGGAGATTGGATCTGTGTATGAGCTGAGGTGAAATGGGGTTTAACGTCGCGTTCAAGATTATTGCACTTATATAGCGATGTGCATGTACGTGTGTGTGTTTGTGTGGCTGCTTGTACTAGTTCGGACTGATGCCAATTTATAGTTCTAGCTCACTGAGATACCATGCCGCTCTACCAATAGACCACGGAGGCGGTCGGATCTGTGTATGACAACTGTTATGTGTAAGTAATATTGGTGGCAGTAGAAACTGTTGCAAAAGTATTTGTAGTGTTTGTTGGTTGCAGCAAATGACAGCAACCATGGTAACGCTAGGAAAATGTTGAATGCAGGCCAGATGTTAACATAACAGGAAGCGATTAGAGTTAACACCCTTGGTTGTACATATAGGGCAACAAGAGGGTGATATGAGGCCTTTCTTGGCTTGTGTCTTATCTACTAGCCATGTGTGAATGGGATACCTATTTGAAAAAAACAAATTACTGCCAGTTTCCACCACTCTTCCTGATTCGAGAACAGAGACAGGTATGTCATGTGACTATGTTTTTTTCTGTTTCGATACAAGACGATACAATTGCTGAAATATATTACTTACTTCTAATTAAATTACCCCCCCCAGTGTTTTTGTCAGTCAAATGTTGCAAGATGTTTAGTAATTAGCATTTCAAAATCATTACTAACAATAGAGCTAGCTTTTCCTTTTGAACCTGATCTGAAATATTTATTGTCAAGAAGTTGCCATGCAAATTGACATGTATGTATGCATATCGCGATACATATGGAATGGTGACCCATGTATCGTGACCCTGCTGTTTTGCTTCACCCCCCAACAGCGACAAAATTCTGGACAATCTTAAAATTTCTCTCCTTAATCATACTAAAAGCTGCTGTCACAATTATGACCCTGCTCTGATTGTAAACCTAAAACTGGATCAATATACTTTATGATTATTCATTGATCTTGTGTGGTCATCTACTGATTTCACTATTTAGTACATGTACCCATTTCTTGGTCAACCACTGCATTTCAATTTGGAACCGAGAATTTGACCGATAATTACCTCCAACATTTCTTTCTCGGTCTTGAAGGACAAGACCTCTGACCCCACAACTGGCGCACACGTGTTTAAGGTATACACATTGCGGACAAACGGATCACGTTCCCCCTGTCTTTTCACCATGTTAGCTATCTGTATCACAGGGTCTTTGTCAGCCTCCGGAAAAACACCTGCATTAAAAACAAAAGATTTAACAAGCTTTAAATTTAACACATGCTATCACCAAGAGTGAGTGAGTTGGGTTTAATGCCGCTTTTAACATTATTCCAGTTATATCACGGTGTGTCGGCTTAATGTGGGAGGAAAGCCCGAAGTGATGCAGGTCTCAGAAATTTACCACTTCAGTGAAACCCACGAGCACGGGTATGGTGCTGACAAACCTAGAAACATAATCGGGGTGAACCGTGATTCGAACCCACGATCATAGGTTTCTGGCGTTTCCAGGGGACGCAACTCTGCACAGTGAATCGCGGCGCCTTAGACAACTGGGCCACCTATCACCAAGAAGGATTTGCATTTACATGTAGAAAATTTACCAAAACCCAATACGTCTACAATTCCATTTTCAACATGCGTATCAACATTGAAAAATAATCAATGATAATGTACTCTACTGCAGTGTCTACTACATTGAAGCGCTACCTCTCGCTTGCTAGTTTAGATTGCTAATTTCATTCGTGATCAGCTTGTGGTATTCCAGACAAGCCAAATCACGACTCATTCCCCTCTCATGGTCATTTTTGCGAAACGGGCATAGTTAAAAGAATTATCATCTCGTTCCATAATGATTCACGTATATCTCCCCATTTCAAATATATTCCAGATGCTATTTAAAACACATCGGGACTTCTGGTATTTATACAGTATGATTGAACATATTTAACTGTATCTAGGGTATATTTTAAGATGCAAGACATGTGCAAAATAAAATATTATTCCTGAGGGATTTTTGACTGAAGTACTCACGACATGCATTCTAATTGCTTTGTTGAATTTTCACACATAACTTTCATCGATAGGGGGACAAGTCTTCTTGCTGGTTACGGAAAGGGGAAAGTGGACGAATGTGCTAATTTGTGTGCTGGTGTTTAGTAGCCTCACTTTGAGAGGTTTGGGGGGGGGGGTGGTGGGTTGCCTAATGGTTAAATCAATTGCTCGTCACGCCGAAGACCCTGAGTTTAATTCCGCACGTGTACAATGTGTGAAGCCCATTTCTGGTGTCCCCCGCTGTGGTGTTGCTGGAATATTGCTAAAAGTGGCGTAAAACCATACTCACTCACTCACTGAGAGGGTGGGTTCAATTCCTGGACTGGACTCCACCCAAAGAAGTACTAGGACTTTACTAAGAAAGCGTTATCCCAAACATGACAGTTAAAACCCAGACCTGTTTATCCTTTACTTGATACTACATTTGTTCACTAAGAATCTGTCAAATGTTGCAGCTATTTGTCAGAAGACACTTTTACCAGTGCACGAGCAGACAAAGTCGACCTCACACACATTACAAAGAACAAATGACGGGTCCCTCTTTGAGGAAGGAAGACATGGTCACCGCTGTGTTAATTTAACATGAAGTGTTTACACCTTCGTCTTAGTTGACATCGACAGACGAAGGTCTTCAACTTTTTAATTGACCATTCTGAGCAACTGCTTGATATATATTACCCCTAATGCAATAGGTTTATTTCCATCAAGTGCACTTGGTTCAAAGATGGCGGCACTCATAGCAAAACAGACAATGATCGATACCAATTTGAAAATTTATTAAGATAAAGTAAAGGATGCATTGTTCCACTGGTATTTTGTTTCAAAGTAGAAGTAATATTAATTCATAAGTTAATAACCTTATATACATGATTTTCTAAAATATGTATTTTTTTTCACTTAATTTGTGTTTTTTATTCAAAATCTGTAGAAACTATGGAGAAACCGTTGGAGGAAAGAGGTCTGTAAACCAAACATTTTGTGAATAAATCTATTGAACTGGTGTTACGGTACCGTTGTTCATACCTACAAAAAAAACCTTAAACAACTAAAGCATTTACTTAACCTTTTTTCTCGTATTGTATGTTTTTGAGGCAACGTTTTACTCATACATTTAAAAATTAAATTCTACTTCTAATGTTTACATTGCCTACAGTTATTAATAGGAGTGAGTGAGTGAGTGAGTATGGTTTTACGCCGCTTTTAGCAATATTCCAGCAATATCACGGCGGGGGACACCAGAAATGGGCTTCACACATTGTGCCCATGTCGGGAATCGAACCCGGGTCTTCGGCGTGACGAGCAAACGCTTTAACCACTAGGCTACCCGACCGCCCAGTTATTAATAGGAGTAAACACAATATTGTTCTGTGGCGAGACAACACTGGTATTGATTACCTTTCCGCCCAGCACACTCGATGTCGAAGCTGAGGATCCGGAAAGGGGCGACCTTTGACCACTCCCCCTCTGTAGCATGGGACACAAAATCTTCCCACGACACGTCCAACTCGACCTGACAGCGAGACATAGGCGGAAGTCGGCCATCTTTAGCATCCTTGGTACGGAGGACATATTTCCCCGCGGGAATCTCAATCCAGTTACATCCAACAACATGGGCGTCAACCATAAACCTGGAAACGGGCAGAGGAAATGTGGTGAATTGGGAGTCTTGTGGTGCATTCAAGATTCTTGCACTTACATTGCGATGTGCATGTGTGTGTGTGTGTCTACTTGTAGTAGTCCAGACTAATGTCGGTTTTGTAGTACTAGCCCACTTAGATACCATGCCGCAGTATAACATGAATACACACAGCACTCATACACAGTATAAGACGTTTGTTTGTTTGTTGTTTAACGCTGCACTCAGGAGTATTCCAGCTATATCACGGCGGTCTGTAAATATTTGAGTCTTGACCAGACAATCCAGTGATTGACATCATGAGCATCGATCCACGCAATTCGGATCGATGAGATGTATCAACCAAGTCAGCGAGCCTGACCACCCGATCCCCTCAGTTGTCTTTTACGATGGTATGACGTGGCCAGGGATCGAAGACCAATTCTAACCCAGATATTCACTGGTATATAAACTGGTATATAATGAAATGAAAGTCGATACGGACGTGAAGGTCTGGGTTAGAATAGGTCTTCGGCAACCCATGCTTGCTGTAAAAGGCGACAATGCTTGTCGTAGGCGGCTACTGACGGGATCAGGTGGTAAGGCTCGCTGACTTGGTTGATGCATGTCATTGCTTCCCAATAGCATTGATCGATACACATGATATCAATCACTTGATTGTCTGGTCAGACTTGATTATTTAGAGACCACGGTTATATAGCTGGAATATTGGTGAGAGCAAACAAAGAAACAAAATAAATCACAATTCTACATCTAACACAATGCCTAATCAAGGAAACGGGCTGGTGGTTATTTAATAAACATAACTGGAGACAAACGTCAACACAGGGTGATCTGTGGTTGATATAACCTCCACAATTTGAGACTTGCAAGCATCGACCATACCATAAGTGGACATCTCCTTGCTGCCTCTCACTTCATCGAGACCTAAACCCATGGGTGCGAGATTAACCCTTTTAACATGTTTTGACATTTTACAGGCCTGACTGCCAAATTTAAGGCTTTCTCAAGCCTGTGTGAATTTTGACCCTAATCAGCACGAAATCCTCACAGGTCGAAAATCTAAGCTACTTGGTAAACAAAATAAGACAATATTCCACCACACAAAACTATAAAAAGCAAATTGCAAAGTTAAAGTTTTTAAAGTTAAAGTTCCTAATTTTATATTTGACTATATATATATATATATTCAGTTATCTTCATGTAATCTCACCTGATCTCGAAGTCTATGTTACTTTCGTAGGTCTGGAAGCCATACTGGCTGTAGCCCGGGCACACAAAGCCTTGCTCGAGGAGCCGGCGGGATGGGGCGATAAGACGAGGCAGCGCAACCGTAATCTTCAGAAAGGGAATCTTTCTGTTGCCATGGTAACCATAGATGCCTGAAAACATGACAGAAGGTAGCAACAAATAATTCTCCTTCACTGCAGAAACCCAGAAAACAATCAAGTTTTGACATTAGACGGGTTTTAACATAACACAAAGACAAACAAATAAACATTGTTGATCTTTGTTTGTTTGTTGTTTGACGCGCATTCAGCAATATTCCAGCTATATGATGTCAGTCTGTAAATAATTGAGTCTTGACCGAACAATCCAGTGATTGATATCATGAGCATCAATCCACGCTATTGGGCTTTGATGACATGCATCAACCAAGTCAGCGAGCCTGACCACCCGATCCCATTAGTCACCTCTTAGGACAAGCATATTCTCCTTTTACAGCAAGCATGGTTGCTGAAGACCTATTTGGACCCTAATCTTCAAGGGTAAACATTGCTTAAGTTATATTACAGTAATATCTCACAGGGATAGCTATTTATTTCACCTTACATTAAAATACTAGCTTCTGATTGGTTAAGGAGAAGACAATTATTTTCCATGTAGCCTGCTCATAAAATCAATTGGAACACCTTGGGTAACTTGCTTATCTTGCATAAATATTGTTGAATGAAATGAACTGATGTTTATCTGAATGCATTGGTTCAGGGAAGCAACTATTCCTTTGCGTCGTCTGCTAGCTGTCAAAATGGCTGAATCCATGCGTTTTACTCAGTGAAACTTCAGACATCTTTTCCAGGTCTGTATGAATGAATGTTGATGAGATAAATTTGATGACTACCCAATCTCATAAAAATCAGACCTTAGTTCTCGCTACCGCTAAACAAAGATCTGAGGACATCCAATTACGGGTCATGTCAGACCGACCTTGCGCGAACTTTGACCGACCAATAGAATGACCAATCAGAAGGCAGCTTTCTGGTGCTTTACGGCACTAATTTCAAATTGACGACTACGCTTCGAAACATATTTTGACAAATTCTCAATTACAAATTTGAAACCTAAACAAAAGAGCAATCTGGAATGGCTAATAGATGGTCTAGATTGTATGGATTCAGTCGTTAAACCTGTAACTATCCTTCGGAATACCCCGTGTAAATGTTTTCGAGGTTGTACGATTAGAAATCACATTCCGACTGTCACTTTCATAATCTGGTAAGCGATGCTCTGGTTGGTCGGATGAAAGGTCATTCTGACATGACCCCTAATGGGATGTCTTCAGATCTTTGTCTAGCGGTAGCGAGAACTAAGGTCTGATTTAAATGAGATTGGATGACTACCTATCCCTGTTGGATTCTAGTGTGATGTACACTGCTTGCAAGCTTATGTAATCTGAGCCCTTCACACTCTCCCCGATCATACCATCATCTTCCTTCCTGTTTCGCACACCCAACTTTGAAACCAAAGCGCGATTCAAAACACACTCCCCCATGATTTAAACACAATTTGGCTGGTTCTCAGATACAGGGATCCTCCACTTGGTCTGTGGCAGGACGGGAACTAGTCCAGAGTTTCAAGCGTCACTCATGACAACGTTAATTAAACTATGTTCAGTAATACACTGCGTGAAGGAATCAACTCACGTAACTCGAACAGACAGAAGACAGTCTTACAGGAAGTAACCAACACATTAAAACTCAACTGATAATAATTTTCAGTGGCAATTTTGTTATAGCCAGAACGATTTTTTTCACATTCCAGCACCTTTCAAGAACTGTCAAAAACATTCAAGCACTTTGATCCTAAAATGGCAGGATCAAGTGTGTGTGTGTGTGTGTGTGTGTGTGTGTGTGTGTGTGTGTGTGTGTGTGTGTGTGTGTGAGAGAGAGAGAGAGAGAGAGAGAGAGAGAGAGAGAGAGAGAGAGAGAGAGAGAGAGAGAGAGAGAGAGAGAGAGAGAGAGAGAGAGAGAGAGAGAGAGATCAAGTAGGCACCAGACAATGGAGTGATTGATATTAAGAGCAACGATCCATGCCCACCGATCGGGCAGAAATGACACCTCCTCAGCCAAGTCACAGACCTGACAACCTCATCCATTAAGGCGCCTCTTACGGCCAGCATTGGTAGGTATGGACCAATTCTAACACGCAATATCCACAGGTTCCCAATTTAGTTGCTTGACAGTTAGCAATAGGGGTACATGGCAGTGACGATGACATCACATACTTTCTCGGATGACGCAATCCACAGCTAGCACCGCCTGGACCACGCCCTCTCGGTTCGACCGCATGTCCTTCTTCACAGCCGCCTCCAGAGCATCCTACACAAACAACAATCGTCACAAACACCACATCAGGAGCGGGAACCAAGTTACAGTTTCTTCATCTTATCATGGTTACCATGGTTACTATACTACAAGTGGCTGACAGCCTCTGGTTTAAGTTTTGTTGTTTTACACTGCACTCAGGAATATTCCAGCTATATGACAGGGGTCTGTAAACAATCCGTCTGGACCAGACAACCCACTGATTGACATCATGAGCATCGATCTATGCAACTGGGATATGAATACATGCATCAACCAAGTCAGCGAGCCTGACCAAGAGCCTAGTCACCTCATACGACAAGCACATTCACCCTTTACGACAAGCATGGGTTCCTGAAGACCTATTCTCTACCAAGATCTTGACAGGTCCCTCTGGTTTAAAGTAGTAATTATTGATCTTCAATACAGCTGACTTATCTGATAAATGTATAAATGTCAATGACTTTATTCAGAACTCATTAAGTCTAATCTTTGCCATATCTGAAACATTGGCAATGCAAGTCCCTAAATTTGAACTCATTCGTAACAGGACCAATGTCTTTGAAACTTGAAACGATGGCTGGGCCCCCTGTGTCGGTGCCTTACAACTGACATGCATACTGCAACAAATATACAGTCCATGGATTTATCTAGGATTCTAAATCTAGGATTCTAAATTAGGTGAAGGGATAGGGGGAGAGGAGATATCACTCTTTTGTTCAAAATTGGGATTTTTGTAAAGTTCTGATTTTCCAAACTTCCGAGGTATTTTAACATTTCAATTATGTAAAAACAAGCATCAAAGTCTCTTCCTCTAAATTAGTCTTGTTACCAGTGGGAGAAAGGTATCTCTATCATTTACAATGCCATGACATTATCATCATTAGTCATATACCGTATTCAACGTAATAAGCACCCCGCTGTAATAAGCGCCAACGGCGATATTTGCTAATATATTGGCTAGTGAAAAATCCCAATTATCACCCCTTCCGATTGATCAATGAACACAAGACTTATTTATTGTGTATAATACGTACTCGTGTGTTATATGCACCCATAATTATGGGCAATTAAACTCTGGAAAATATTTCTGTCGTGTATAATATGCACCGCCTTTTCTTTAGTATCATTTCAGGCTGTCAGCAAAAACCACGAAATTTACAATCTTTCAACTCTGTTTTTTCTCCTCACCAAAAGTATATTCTAATATGAGCCCCCTATTTCTAATTTTGAGATCACCATGGGCGCTTATTACGTCGAATACGGTAACTATATAAAAATGAATTGGGAATTGTCTTTATTCCAATGTGGGAATTTTTATTGACATTTGCTCAAGAATTTGGGCCGAATATCATCCTGTAAGCAGGTCCAGATAAACCCATGCAGTTCAAACACATGGGTAACCCAGAACCTGCAGTTTCACCACAACAACCAGCATAGGTCCCATGTTCACCTTAAATGTCCCACAATCCTTCTCCTTGAAGCCCGGCTGTGCTGGGACGTAGAAGTACGGAGCAAATCCATGGATGTGGGCCATGACACTGTTGCCCGCTTGTGTTATCCCGTACATCCGGATGATGGGCACTGGGCCCTGTGTGGCCCCGGGCATGCCGGCCAGATGCTTCCCTGGGGGACAGAAACACCACCAACACTTGTTCTTACATGTTATTTTTCATAATACGATCACCATGCGTATTTACACACCCAGCAGAAGAAATGAGCTTGAACAGGATTTCAGCTTTAACATGGTGTAAAGGGTTTAACTGGAGGAAAAATATACGCATGGATATACACACCTCCAGTCTTTTAGTCTGAGGTGAGGTAATATCAGGTTTAATGTCGCATCCAAGATTATTGCACTTACATAGCGACGTGCATGCACATGTGTGTGTGTGTCTGCTTGTACTAGTCCGGACTGATGCTGATGTTATAGTGTTCGCCACTGAGATACCATGCCATAGTTTAACATGAATATCTCACTCAGACACAGTATACTGACTCCGAGCAGACCAGTCCTTATTTTAGCTCCTTAGTGCCGAGTGCCAGACAGGGTAACAACATTTTTTATGTCTTTTGGTATGACGCAGCCAGGGATCAAACCCTGGACCTTCCACTCTCCGGGCAAACGCTCTACCACTAGACCACAGAGGCGGTCCTTTAAGTCTGAGACTAGTGAATATGCAGATAGACAAGCTGTCTCCTACCAAAATCTAACTACTTTACACAAACAACTAGTCTGAAATGAGTTGAGGACTTATAGCATTTGACCAACAGTGTCTACCCCTGACGTATACATACTGAGCATGCGGAAACAAATAATTTACATTTTTCGAGTTCAGTGGGACATGAAAAGGCACGGCTGTTCGAATCATTAAATTTATAAAAATTGTAGAAGGCATGTCACACATAACTGACATTTCTATTCTGGAAACAAATATGTAAAATATTTTTGACAGCGACGAGACTGTCAGTGTTATAGCATCCTGAGAGTACGTGAATACATCCAGGGCTGTAACGATTCACCAATACCTATGATGTCACTGATACTTAGGTACATGCGATACTTGCATCTTCAGATTTTGAGTTCACAAGACACAACAACTAGAACAGTAACTAATAGAGTTACCTCCCATAATAGCAGATGTAGCATAGCGCCACCTGTAGGCATGGCAAATCATGAGGAAGTGGTGGCTCAGGACACACCAGCTAACTGTTGTATTTAATAACCATCCCTTCACTGCCATGAAGGTGACTCGACTCACCCACATAGTTGTCCACGTCCAACTGCTGAAAGGTCACTGTGTCAGTCTTGGGGTCAAGGTCAGGGGCAGCAGGTCGTGCCCACTTGCTTTTGGGGGCCTTCATTTCGGGTCCTGGTCGACAGTCTCCTGAACCTGAAGCAAAAGAAACACTTGCCTGTTGAGTATATGGGGGCACGGGTGGCCCAGTCGTCTAAGACGCTGCGATTCACTGTGCAGAGTTGCGTCCCTTGGGCACGCCAGAAACCTATGATTGTGGGTTCGAATCCCGGTTCGCCCCGATTATGTTTCTAGGTTTGTCAGCACCATACCCGTGCTTGTGGGTTTCACCGAAGTGGTAAACGTCTCAGACCTGCATAACTTCGGGCTTTCCTCCTACATTAAGCTGACATGCCGTGATATAACTGGAATACTGTTAAAAGCGGTGTTAAACCCAACTCACTCACTCACTGTTGAGTATATCCTTTGTGTTTGTAAACATCCAGACTATGCTCTTTTTAATTTTAATCACATCAATGGTGCAGATCATTTACTAATTGTAAAATTGCTGAGTGCTGCATTAAACAACAAACAAACAAACAAACAAACAATATCAAAACATCAAAAAGTAGTAGGTATTTACCATGTTTACCTGCCTTGATTTATTTGTGAAATCAGCTTGATTAACAATTTTCTAGTTTAACAAACAACTGGTAAGCTCCAATATCTCTTTAACCTTATGACTAAAGAGAGTGAGTGAGTGAGTGGGTTTAACGCCGCTTTTAACAGTATTACAGTTATATCAAGGCATGTCAGCTTAATGTGGGAGGAAAGCCCGAAGTGATGCAGGTCTCAGACGTTTACCACTTCGGTGCCCACAAGCACAGGTATGGTGCTGACAAACCTAGAAACATAATCGGGGTGAACCGGGATTCGAATCCACAATCAAAGGTTTCTGACAACTCTGCACAGTAAAATACACACCACCTTGACTTCGCAATCTCTCACCGTATTCGCTGTACTCAAGCAGAACAATAAGCGCCCTTGACCAAATGCCCTAATGCTTATGTAATGTTTATAAGCGCCCTGTACTTAGTTTGAAAACTTTCATGGCAGTCCATATTTTCTGGTGTATGTTTCTACAATTAATACACACCTATCTTACAATATAGTTGCCTAGTAACAATTATCAAAATTATATGAGTTTCATCGATGATTATTTGTTTTCTACCGCCAAACCTCAGATAACTAATTTAACATAACTTGGCAAATACATAAATAATAACAATAATAACATGAATCGACTGTCATTGTGGGGGTATGTTTTTTTCTATTAAAGCAGCAATATGATACACGATCATGACTGAGTGAGTAAGTTGGCTATAACGCCACTTTGAACAGTGCTCCAGTTATCATGGTTATATCACGGCATGTCAGCTTAATGTGGGAGGAAAGCCTGAAGCAACGCATGTCTTAGTCATTACCGCTTTGGTCATAGGCAGATCCAAAGGGAGTGTCCAGGGGGGTCCTGACCCCCCCCAACCCTTTTGACAACCAAATGTAGAATGTTTTAGGCAGTAAAATTATCTGAGGGAGAATGTTGATATTTTGGACCCCTCCCTTTTACAAATGCTGGATCCGCCCTTGTTGGTGAAACCGACAAGCCTGGTATGGTGCTGACAAACCTAGAAACATAATCGTGGCAAACTGGATTCAACCCACAATCATGGGTTTCCAGCCCGGGTATGGTGCTGACAAACCTAGAAACATAATCGTGGCAAACCGGATTCAACCCACAATCATAGGTTTCCAGCATGCCCAAGCGATGCAACTCTGTGAATTGTGGCGCCTTAGACGACTGAGCCACCATTGTGACCCTACATGATGATGATATCTGACCCCTGACACATAAAGAAGTCATATTTTATCAGTGTAGGTCAGTTATGAAACCTTATGAAATAATTATGGGATATTTGTCTTCCAATTAAGGAATTATTACAGAATTTGTTGTAGATCTGGTGCCAAATATCAGCCTCTGAGAATGCCTGGATACATGCCTGGAACCGTTAACTTACCTCCAGCAGCTTCGTCATCCATCATGTCATTCTCAAAGTCCTCCATCATTGCCAGGTCCGCTTCAAACTGGGACGGGTCATCCTCCTCCTCGAACCTGACGTCATACAAGATATTAGTACCTCAGCAACACATGCATCAAGTTAATACATCATTGGGCATGTTTGAGAGTAATTCAATATGTCACACATCATGTCAGCTAATTAAGGATGAAAGTGTTGCAGGTGATAGACGTTTACCACTCATGGACACGTGAGCATGGGCTTGGAGGCAAAACAATAATCCTCATTATCATAATCAGGGGGAGTCCCAATCAAAGGATTCTATGGGTACAATCCTAATAATAAGGGAGGCAACTCCATAGATCAAATAGCGGTGCCTCAGATGACTGGTCCACTGTTCACCCCAAGGAAATTATTTTTGCTGCACTGACCAACATTAGAAATTGGCACTAGTCCTGTAGTCCTTGCCAAACTGCCCAATAGTTAAGGTATCATAAGGACAAGCAGAAATTTGCCGTTTTTAAGGGGTTTGCTATATGTTATCATTATAAGGTCTAGTGGACTAAAAATATTAGTTTCTACTGCTGCTGACATAACAATGATATTCAATGAACATTGAAAGTTCTATTTTCTCAGTTTGGTTTGTTGTTCAACGCCGTACTCTGCAATATTCCAGCTATATGACGGTGGTCTGTAAATAATCGAGTCTGGACCAGACAATCCAGTGATTAATATCATGAGCATCGATCCATGCAATTGCATTGACATGCATCAACCAAGTCTGCGTGCTTGACCACCCGATCCCATTAGTCGCCTTTCAGGGCAAGCATGGGTTGCTGAAGACCTATTCCACCCCGTGTCTTCACAGGTCTACAAAGAACAAATGACGGGTCCCTCTTTGAGGAAGAAAGACATGGTCACCGCTGTGTTAAATTAACATGAAGTGTTTACACCTTCGTCTTAGTTGACATCGACAGACCAAGGTCTTCAACTTTTTGTTTGACCATTCTGAGCAACTGCTCGATATGTATTACCACTAATGCAACAGGTTTATTTCCATCAAGTGCACTTGGTTCAAAGATAGCGCCACCCATGGTAAAACAAACAATGATTGATACCAATTTGAAACTTTATTTCGATAAAGTTATGTATGTGAGTTAAAGGGGAAGTGTACGCGCAAAAATCACTTTCTTTCTTTTTCTAAACAAAACGCAATTTTAGAATTAATTAGTATCTGTGTTTGAAAATATACACTCATTTTTTTTCACAGTGAAAGTAGGAAGCTCACAATAGTGTGAAAATGATATGCCGTTATGAACTTATGAGGCCTTCGTTTTTCGAGCTAAACAGGCCTGAGTTATCCCCCTTAGATTATGACGTAATTGGTGCCAATTCAACTTGGTTCCTGTCTATTCTCAACGCAAAAGATATCAAGTACCAGTTTGCGTTAAACCAACATGGCCTACGACACACTCCGGCGCAGTGGTGACTCAGCATAACACTATGCTGGCTGGCATCTGAGACGCTAGAATCACACACCTAGACCTACACCACGTGAAGCGGCTCTAACAAAGCATGATGACGTCATAATGTTTATCAATTGGCACCAATGACGTCATATTGCAAGGGGCATAAGCCATGGTGTTTTTGTTGTGGAAATAGAACACTTGGTAAATGTGAAAAATATAAATCGTTTTAATGCGAAAAATATGTTAATTAATTGTGATATTTTTATATTTTTGTCTATGACGCTTCTAGGTTAACACTTTTAATGTGGAAAAAGTACAAGAAAAATAGGTTAATTTCCGTGTGAACTTGCCCTTTAAGAACTCAATTTATATGATATTCTAAAATCCGTATTTTTTTTCACTTAATTTGTAGTTTTTTTAATTAAAAATCTGTAGAAACTATTGAGAAACCGTTGGAGAAAAGAGGTCTGTAAACATGGTTTGCTGAAGACCCACCCTACCCCGATTATCACGGGTCTCTCAGTTGGGAAATACTAAGGTCATTTGGAGCAGATTGGAGTGATGAGGCACAGGCTGCAACAAACATATAAAAGTAGTCACCTGGATTTCTTTTTTGGGGTTGGTCCATTGTTACCCCCCTTTCCTTTCCTCTTGTCCATCCTTGGTACTTCTGTGTCAGACATAACATCAGTAATAAGTGTAAGAATGGTAACAGTCAAGCGTAATGATGCCTTATTTAAGTCATATCATGGCTTAACATAATGTACTTGGCGCTATGATGAAAGTCTGAAGTGATGCATTAAAACCAGCAAGCTAGGCCTATTGAGTATTGTGCTTGCAGACCAAGAATAATATCGGCCAATTCAGGATTCAAATCAGCACTTCGTACGTATTTGTTTGGATTCCAAATTTTCATACATGCACACAAACTGAATATATCAGTAAGTTGGTTTATTGACACTTTGAACAGTATTTTGACTGTATCAGTGTGTTAACCTAATATTACTTTAACTAATGTTAATGTGGAGGAAATAACCAAATTTTATCTTTCTTAGATAATAATAATAATAACAATAACAAATAACAATAATAATAATCTAAGTATAATATATATGTAGAAATGTGGCAGGAATCTAATCCTTGGCTGATTAACCGATCCACGGCAGATTCTCATTGTTATATGAATTCATGTTTGCAGTGATGAAGATGATGAAGTAGTATTCGTGAACGGGCAATCTGTTCAATTGTTATATGATGACATGCTTGAGATGACGTCACGACTCCTTGTCCGTGGTGTCGTCAGATAAGTTTAACGTCCATTACCGACAGACAGCAGTTAGTTGGATAAGATGGAGCTGGACACCATGGAAAATTAAGGGGTTTTTTTATGGCGGGTTCATGTCAGCAGAGGAAGAAAGCAGAACCAAAAGACCCTAATGCCAAATCATTTCAGAATGATTTTACAAAAATTCAAGAAATTATTCACATGAAGACTGTAAATCCAAAGTGGGGAAGACTGAAAGTGAAAATATTCAGGATTTTGTCAACACCGGCAAAACAGAAGATGGGGCTTAATTATGATTTAGAAATTTAATTCTAAGATGAAACTTTGGTCGACGTTTTCAAGAAAAGTACTGATATGCAATCCCTGCACTGACGATGCTGTTCCAAAGATGAAATGATAAAAACAATCCCAACAATTCACAACATTGATCATTGAATGTCCGTCACAATGTATACGAATCTATAGGCCTTTAACGCTTTTTAAATTGCCAGTTCTTAATATTATATGATAATCTGCGAAAGATCTGAGTCAATGTTTGGAATCTGACAGTGGTATACGCCAAAATCTGCCCTATATTTGTGGAATCTGTCTTAGATCTGAGAATCCGCCACGGATCAGTCCAGCCGAGAGCCGCGAAGGGGTCCTTCGTAGGGTCGATGTCTTGACTGTACTGTCCTACCATGCATCTAAGTCGTATATATATTTAGTCAAATTACAGTGCTACGTAATTGACAACATTGAATCAATAGTACAAGTGTGTTACTCTGATAATCACCAACTGAACCTTTTCAACGACGTTTGTACAGATATCAGTGGCGGAAAATGCTGACATTCACTTTCCCGCAATTATTTTGAAGTAACCGAAATGATTACATCCGGTAAACAAAAACGAACTGAGATGTTCTATATTCCGTAAACTCAAACGGGCTTCCGAACTACCGGTGTATCATTTCTGTCTCCTATTACGCATTCAAATTAAAAGTAAATATTAAATCTCACATAGCTTTTAGAATACCGATTGATTTTTATATTAACCTTTATCCAGGAAAAAATCAGTCCGTAGTTTACATAAACCATGTAAACAACGTCGTTGTTTCGCTTTCGCTTTCAGCTGTTTTCTGTAGGCCTTTTCGAAGATCGGTTGACATTATGATCTTGGTAACTACAAACACTACAGACTTTAATTGAGTGTAAGTTCTGATTACATGTCCCCTCACCCAGATACCTGATTCATTGCCGTTATGTAACAAACTTGGCCTCGTGTAGCCTACAGTACGTGTACACTGTAGCCTGCAACCTCGGGGTATCGCGGTACTTGTCATGTACGCTAAACGGAACAAAATGCACTCACTAACCTTTATGTTTATTCGTGTTCTCTGTATCAGTTATCATTCATGTTATCAAACAATGCATATTTTACTGACAAAAGTTCATTATTTACATCAGTAGCTCCGTGTAAATGCCGGGCCTCGCGCTCTGTCAAGCTCCTTCCCAGCGCGTGACACCTTCGTTTCACTCTCGGGAACGTACTATCGCTCGAACTCCGGCGTGACTATCGCTGTGAGGAGCTTGGCGCTCTGTTTGACAAGGGAGAGAACTCCATCGTATCGCGGTACAGAGAAAAGTTGTGTATGGAGGTCCGAATTGGACAAAAAGAGGACATAATTCTACCAACCACTTGGTATGATCATGCCAGACATCAGTGATTTGTCCAGACAAGTGCAAAGACAGCACAAGTAAAAATCTAAATGTGTTATCAGCAATAGGTATTCAATGCATATTTACCGAAAAGTAAGAGAAAAATATTTTTATAAGTCAACATCAAAATATCAGAAATGATATTTTAAGATTGTTTAAAAAAAATTGGATGACAATTATTTGTCACAAAATGGAAAAATGTTAAAAGTCAACAATAAATATATAAAAAGCACTCCTAGTATGCCCAAAGTATGTATTTATCTTTTGGTTAATAGTGAAGAACGTATTTCTAAGTTTGGCATTATGGCCTTATGATCTCCCAATAGATTCTGGGCACAGAGCGGGAAAAAATGTGCGGACTACGTAACTTCCGTTACCTCATTAGTCGCCATGAATATGCAGATGGTCTAGTTCAGGTGTTTTCTTCGCTTCACTCATCGGCTTGTTTAGTGTAAAATGTTAGTGAATGAACAGCCTACCTGTCTTGTTGACACATGTGCAATAAATCACAAAGACAATTTTAAGTACCAATGCAAACTGTTTGGACCTCCAAATTGCTTGGGGCCATTTTCTCCATGACCACTGACTTCATTTCAGGTATACAACTACAGCCCTTTATTGTGGGACCTCAGAAATATTTTCTAATCATTTGTTTCTGATGTCATGAACTTGCTATAAGATCTAATTTCTTTATCTGTCGGGCAGTACGTGTGGTTAAATCGTTAGCTCATCACACCGAAGGCCTGGATTCGATTCCCTCATGGTTCTGTGAAGCCAATTTCTGGTGTCCTCCGCCGTGATATTGCTGGAATATTGATAAAAGCAGAGTAAAAACATACTCACTCGAATCTGTCATGTGGAAACTGGTAAAGTTTAGGAGTAGTGCACTTTACTGGGTGCACTTTTTCGTATTTCTAGAAGCGCCGTATGGAGGATCGAATTCACGGTGCCAGCTTGAAGCAATGCTTGGCTAATGAATTGATCCAATTAGTCAACACTTTACTATGTTTCCTGAGGTACTATCACAAATAATTAGTGCTCGCTTACCAAGTCATCAGCACCTGATTGCTTACCTTAATGCACATGGGCAGTAGCCATTTTCTCCTTAAGACTCAAAACTTGATACAAATTCTAGTTTCCTCAATTCTGAAATTTCTAGATACTAAGTTGAAATTTCTAGATACTAAGTTGAAATTTCAACTTAGTATGTATCTTGAAATTTCAACTTAGTATCTTGAAATTAAAATTCTGTATCTTGAAATTTCAACTTAGTATCTTGAAATTAAAATTCTGTATCTTGAAATTTCAAGTTAGTATCTTGAAATTTCAACATATAGTATCTTGAAATTTCAATAAAAAAATAAAAAACAAATGGCCCTAAAAGGCTTCCGTATCAAATAGTGTTTGATTACTTTGTTATAAGAGATAGCTAACCCATACCCTAACTCACACTGACCCTAAGAATCATAAAGGGGTATTTGATTTGCAAGTGGTGCCCAACCCTTAGGATTGTGAAGGCATATTTGATTGGAAAGGGGTAGCTAACCCTAATGACCTAATGACTCGGGACCTTAAACGGAAAAGGATCCAAGGGCTAAGGGTAGAATTGGGGGTATCCTAACTTTGAGACTAACCCAATGGATCAAAGGACACACCATATCAAATACAGTCAAGTCTCGTTAACCCGACAATCAGTGCTATTTAGACCCGTTAATCCGACAGTCTCGCACTCTGACTCAGACACACCTAATTTGCAATGTATTACCGAAATCATTCATTAATCAGTCTTGTTAATCCAACACAGTGATCAGCGTACTCTGTGGTCATCTGCCCGCGAGTACACAGCCCGTGTTTTGATGCAAGACGAGTCGGCTGGTAGCTGCATATTACAACGGCTGCAGAGATAAACTTGCTTTACAATAAACAATTAATGAACAAATAGTGTTTGTATCGTTATCTATCGTGTAGTTGTCCGATTTTTTATCACAAACATTTATACTACTTAATTTCGTTTATCCGACATACTTGTTAATCCGACAGAATCGTATGCAACCAACCATGTCGGATTAATGGAACTTGACTGGATATCTTATTTGATCAGTCTAGTATAATGTGATGTTTATCAACAACCCGTACTGTTCAGTCAAGTTGAACTGCTGACTACGGATCTGGAACACATGTTTTACACTAGTGAGTGAGTGAGTTTGGTTTTACGCCGCTTTTAGCAATATTCCAGCAATATCACGGCGGGGGACACCAGAAATGGGCTTCACACATTGTACCCATGTCGGGAATCGAACCCGGGTCTTCGGCATGAGGAGCGAACGCTTTAACCACTAGGCTACCCGACTGCCCGTTTTACACTAGGTTGACACAGCCACTATTCTGCTAGGTGCAAGCATGAAAGGGACTGGTCATGTTTTCCCCAAATGTTACATGAACTGCTAAAATCAAAAATGAATTGTGGACTTGTTGGATTTGACTTGTTGCATCTTGAGCAGTACGTCTGTATAATACCGTATTCAACATAATAAGCGCCCAGGGCGCTCTCAAAATTAGAAATAGGGGGCTCTTATTAGAATAAGATTGTGGTGAAAAAAAGAGTTAAAAGATCATAAATTTCGTGGTTTATGCTGACAGCCTGAAATAGTACAAAAGAAAAGTCTGTGTATATTAGACACGACAGATATATTTTTCCAGAATTCAATTGCCCATGATATGGGGTGTATATAACACACAAGTGCGTATTATACACGAATAAATAAGTCTTGTGTACATTGATCAATTAAAAGAGGTGCTAATTGGGATTCTCTGGCCAATATATTAGCAAAAATCGCTGTGGGCGCTTATTAGAGCAGGGTGCTTATTATGTCGAATACAGTATATTATTTTGATGGAAATATGCAGGTATATTTTGATTGAAATGGAGACTCCGTGAGATGGGAGATTCACCTTTGAAAAATCTGGACTTGCTTCTTTTAAGGCTATAGAGTTACAGTTATTACAGTCAGCGATGGGTGGAAGGGAAAATGTGTTCAGAGACTGTGAGACAGACTACAGTTATCTGTACATATTCCTTGTGTTTTAGATCTAATGACATGGTTAAATCGTAATGGCATCGTTAAAATAACTTCCCAATGACTATATTATCAATGTGAGCTCAAGTTATGGGTCTTCGTCCTTCTGTCTTGTTACATCTTTCTGAGGCAAGTGAGTTAACTGACTATAAAAGTCCAGTTTCCACCCTTGCTGAACTAGGCTGGTATTATGTAGTTACATTTTGGCTAGACTAACGGGTCTATGCATAGTCAAATCAAAATCGCGCACTGAAATCAAAATCCGGTTTGTAAAGTGTCATGCAGATTTCGGTCGACTGCAGGATTTGCAAAGCATGTGCACCGCTAACTCGTTGTCAACAGATATTTTCTAAATCTTTTCATGTTTTTAATCAAGGTGCTCACGTGATTTGATGCACTTCGCGATGTAAGACTCGTTTTATCACAATATAGATCTTGATTATCGATCAGATCGTCTTGTCTGGGGGCCACCGTTTTGTTTGAAGCAAATGCAGGTGATACGAGAGGTTGAATCTGATTGGTCAATAGGAGAGGCATAGAAAGGACATAACTCGTAATAGCCACTGGTGGCGCTACGATCGAGCCCAGGAATTCCAGCCTAGTTCAGCAAGGGTGGAAACTGGACTTTTAAAGTCAGTTAACTCTCTTGCCTCGGGAAGATGGTCTTGTTAGCACTGAAACTGTTAATCTCTTCTCTTTCCAAATGTCAATATAATTTTCACATGATAGACTACACTGTCTACAATGAACAAAACTTTTCAGTTTGATAAATAGAAAATGTCCGCCACAGCAACTCATTTTAGTGAAAAGACACCTTTGCACATGCCATTGGCAGGGTTCACTCTAGGAAATTTCTGACATGGGCCTTTATGTGAAAAATTCAAATTTTTCAGAAGGTCGCCCATATAGCACTATGTTAAAATTCCGCATTGTATTTGAAAATGTGGGCCTTTTTTCAAATTTGGGGGCTAAAAGCACAAGGCCCCACCCCAGAATTATCCCAGGTAGCCTTGTGGTTAAAGTGTTTGCTCGTCACGCCGAAGACCAGGGTTCGATTCCCGACATGGTACAATATGTGAAGCCAATTTCTGGTGTCCCCTGCCGTGATGTTGCTGGAATATTGCTAAAAGCGGCGTAAAACCATACTCACTCACTAGAATTATTCCTGCATTGGACATACTGCATGTTTTTAAATTTTCAGAGGATGATAAAAAGAGCTTTGTTTGCATGTTAATAGTATTATGTCTTCATTGATTGAGTATGAAATACAATCCCAATGATGCATATGTGACAGGGTCAAGTATTTGTTAATATGCATATATCGTTTAATTAAGATTAGTTCTTTAGTTAATTAGCTTGTATGACCTTGTTGCATTTAGTTAGTTAAGTACTTTAACATGTTTAATAATTAATTAAGCAATAAGAATCTCATGTTATCATCCTTTTTGAATAAAGTAAATATTAGTTACATTTTATACTTTAGCATGTTATACCTTAGACATTTATTCTATTGCCATGTTACATGAAGTAAGCTTTCTATCAGTTGAACCTCCACTAATTGTCACACTACATGCTTTTGTTTCCAAGCACCCGATGCCCCAGCATGCTCTAGCTCAGTCTATCGTCTCTTTGATAGCCCAAGCTGGCTACAGCTTGACTGCAAACTTTGGATTTTATACATTTTAAAAGCCAGTTTTCTTCTGCAGGAAGGACATCATTGTATCTATTGTAAAGTTCTTTTGTCGTTGTTTCTCATGTGAGGACTTGGAGGGACTTATGAGATATTCATGGACAACTGAGGTTAGTTGATCATGTATTGTATGTGGTAGATATGGATGATTTCTGGTTTATTATCCCCCGCCCAACAAAGTTGGCGGGGGATATAGAAACGGGCTCCGTCCATGCGTACCTCCGTCCGTCACGTTTCCAGAGCATAACTCATAAACCGTTCAATATGGTTTCATGAAACTTTGCAGGTCTGTCAAGTACATGCTGAACTGGTGCCTTTTGTCAGAAATTTTTATTTTTTACGTTTCAATGGCAACAAGATGGACTTAGGTTCCAAACTCTTCTTTTTTAAAAAATTTCCATGACAAGTTCCACCTCAGTAAAAAAGGTTAGGGTTTGTTTAGATTTAATTATGTCATAAATTCTGCAACAGGGGCGGGGGATATAGCCATGTTAATGGCAAATTCTTGTTATAATTCCAAATAGGATGTATTGTGTAGTTCATTTCTAATTTGTTTGATTGGAAATATGATGTATCGTGTATATATATGTATGATTGTAGATGAACTCACACTTCAGTGAGTTATTGATTATCTCTTCAATTCAGTATGACTTTATTGTTAAACTCTAACGTAAATATATTATCAACTTAATATCTGATCCGTAAAGATCCGGGGTAGAATAGGTCTTCAGCAACCCATGCTTGCCGTAACAGGCGACTATGCTTGTCGTAAAAGGCGACTAATGGGATCGGGTGGTCAGGCTCGCTGACTTGGTTGATGCATGTCATCGATCCTAATTGCATGGATCGATGCTTATGATGTCAATCACTTGATTGTCTGGTCTAGACTCGATTATTTACAGACCGCCGTCATATAGCTGGAATATTGCTGAGTGCGGCGTTAAACAACAAACAAACAAACAAACAAAACAAACTTAATATCTAATGTAATAACCTATCTCTACAGCAAGTAAATGTAGTGAGTGAGTGAGTAAATGATTTACGTCACATCGGCAATATTTCAACCATATCGTGACGAGGCAAGTAAATGTATGTTTGATGAGACTGATGTGTAGGATAAAACACGCCTACGTATAATCGAAGTCTTTTCCTGAGCTCAAGGTCTTACATTTTCAACCAATACCGAGGACATGTGTTTTATCCAACTTATGAACCGTCTAAATGCTAGAAATACCAGAAAAAATAAGAAAACATTGACATTCTGTAGAGTGAAACAATACAGTGTGTCGTGGTATTAAAGGAATTCGATCAAAGCGTGTGAAAAAGAAATTAGGTGCAGCATGGAACAGCTGGACCCATGACATGTTATATTGTACAACTTCTCATCACCTTCTCTAGTAGCTCAGTGGGAAAACAGTGGGTTACCAAACTTAACACAATATTTGAAGTTGCAGGTTTGATTCACGTAATGGAATTTTCATGCAAAAAAATTTTATGACTTTTGACTAATCATCAAAAACAATTGTGTTCATATCAAGAGGCAAGTTTATAATACAGTATTTGTAAAACCTAGGTATTACAATTGAAATGTAAAACCTCAAAGCTGGTTCAGAAGTGACCCATTTCAAAAAGGTTTCGAAGAGACCAGCTTCAACACCTGAGTTTCCAAGGTAACTGGTTACAAGGTTCACCTGAGTTTCCAAGATGAGCTGGTTACAAAGTAACCTGAGTTTCCAAGATGAGCTGGTTACAAGGTTCACCTGAGTTTCCAAGGTGAGCTGGTTACAAGGTTCACCTGAGTTTCCAAGGTGAGCTGGTTACAAGGTTCACCTGAGTTTCCAAGGTGAGCTGGTTACAAGGTTCACCTGAGTTTCCAAGATGAGCTGGTTACAAGGTTCACCTGAGTTTCCAAGATGAGCTGGTTACAAGGTTCACCTGAGTTTCCAAGGTGAGCTGGTTACAAGGTTCACCTGAGTTTCCAAGGTGAGCTGGTTACAAGGTTCACCTGAGTTTCCAAGGTGAGCTGGTTACAAGGTTCACCTGAGTTTCCAAGATGAGCTGGTTACAAGGTTCACCTGAGTTTCCAAGGTGAGCTGGTTACAAGGTTCACCTGAGTTTCCAAGGTGAGCTGGTTACAAGGTTCACCTGAGTTTCCAAGGTGAGCTGGTTACAAGGTTCACCTGAGTTTCCAAGATGAGCTGGTTACAAGGTTCACCTGAGGTTGTCAGGAACCTAATGCAATATAGGATAACACGGCCACAGGTCTATAATGATGGATCTGAGTAAGTTGAGGTGTATGACTGTATGTTTGACGTGAGTGATTGATGAATCTGGGTAAGTGTAGGTGTATGTTTGATTTGAGTGATTGATGAATCTGGGTAAGTGTAGGTGTATGTTTGATTTGAGTGATTGATGAATCCAATGAACTCACACAAAGTGAAAGTCATTTCTTATGTGAACTTTATGTGGTTTATAGACATCGCTGTATGCCCCAAACTGGATGAAACAAGACGTATATTTCTTAACTAATATTGACTGCATTAACCTGAACGCAATGGAAAACACATGAAATACATTATAAGTATGTATTAAGTAAATATTACATTTACATACATTTATGTTTTATTAGTAGTAAATTACAATGTCTAGGAAATGATTCTCCCGTTACAGTTACCATGACAACTATGGGAATATCCTCTTTCCATGTACTGACAGATGTATTAAATATAAAGATTATTGAATCTGTCCATTATTATTTTGCCCAACAAATCACTTAAAAGAGTTAAATGTTTTATACCAAAATGATTAAGTTCTGTAAAAAATTGTTTACTACCTCATCATGCTTATTAGAGCAAAATAATACTATTTAAATATGTATATAATTTATGCCTGTTGACCTTTCCAGGTTTTCATTCATGAAAATAAAATAGTGTTTGAATTTTAAACTATGATGTTCAGTATATCATTTACAATAAACATGGCTGAGTTTGGCTCATCCCCTCTTGGTTTGACATTCTCCAGTGTGTCGTGTTTGTTTGACATGACCCCTGCTGCTTGTGAAAAAAGGATTACCCTTAATCCCCTTTAGTGTTGGGCAAGTCGAGAATACCCCACTGGGATAAACTCTGCTCAGTTTATTTTGTACTGCAAAGGTTTCCTCCTGTTTAAGTGCTTCGTCATTTTCTGTTGGGACATTAGTACCCATCCAGACAAACACACACACACACACACAGACACACACACAGACAGACACACACACAGACAGACAGACAGACACAGACAGACACACACACACAGACACACTCACACACACACACTCACACACACACACAGGCACACAGACACACAAGAAAAATCAAGAAAAATATATATAGGTAAATGGCCCTAAGAGGATTCTGTACAATCTCTCTTATTTCAGATCAACATAACATTGATTGCACTGTGAAGATATCTGAGTAAATCCTGCAAACCAGGATGGGGTCATTCGATAAGGATGCCTTTGAAAGACAGCTGAAAACAGCTGATATTGGAAGGCATATCATCTATCTGAAGTCAACTTCATCTACGATGGATGATGCAAAAGATCTGTGTGTTAAAGGTAATCTTAGAATTATAAAAGAGCATTGAATGAAAATGATGAAGAAATTTGATGGGGATTCCAGGGCAGAAAAAAATGTTTCTCATAATATCAATAACTGGAATGTATAGTCCAGACTCAATTATCCCATTCTTGTCTCTCTTTTGGGATTCCAGAGCAGAATTGGTCCCCAGTACCCCATGCTTGTCTGTGTGGAGATTCCAGGGCAGAACAGGTCCCCAGTACCCCATGCTTGTCTGTGTGGAGATTCCAGGGCAGAACAGGTCCCCAGTACCCCATGTTTGTCTGTGTGGAGATTCCAGGGCAGAACCGGTCCCCAGTACCCCATGTTTGTCTGTGTAGAGATTCCAGGGCAGAACAGGTCCCCAGTACCCCATGTTTGTCTGTGTAGAGATTCCAGGGCAGAACAGGTCCCCAGTACCCCATGTTTGTCTGTGTGGAGATTCCAGGGCAGAACAGGTCCCCAGTACCCCATGCTTGTCTGTGTAGAGATTCCAGGGCAGAACAGGTCCCCAGTACCCCATGCTTGTCTGTGTGGAGATTCCAGGGCAGAACAGGTCCCCAGTACCCCATGTTTGTCTGTGTGGAGATTCCAGGGCAGAACAGGTCCCCAGTACCCCATGCTTGTCTCTCATGTATTGTACCCATGTTTTGTCTATCAAAATCATGTTTTGTCTATCAAAATGTTTATCTATCCCAGGGTTTGCAGAGTTTAAAAAATAGGTCCACAGTGTCTGATTCTTGGGGATTATGTGGCAGAATAGGCCCCGGTGCCCAATGCTACTCACTGATTTATAAACAAGCTCGAAAAAGACACCCAAAATGTCAAAGTGACCTGTGTTGTTCCAGGACCTGGTAGCCATGGCAGTGTCGTGATGGCAGACGTACAAACCAAGGCTCGTGGATCCAGAAACAGAAGATGGAATGCAGATTCTGAAGGAAATATATACACATCAATTGTCTTATGTGATAACCCGAACAAAAATGTAAGTTTTCCTCAATACAATAATTAAGAGGTAAGCATAAAATGTATTCAATGAAGAGCTAGGTTATCTGTAGATTTAACCATGCTAAAACTAAATGTGTTCAGTGTGAGGTTTCAAATGTTAAATTTAGGGAATATAGTTTTACATTCTACCATGAATATGAAACTTACTCGATTCGGATTGGTCAATCAGGGGCTATTAAATCACGATAAACCCCCTCTGATTGTAACAGCTGGTTTGACAGCCACATCATGGCGGAAGCTAATATTCCTAGAATAGTACTTTTTTCAGTCATTGTCAGTAGGTGTATTTAAATAATTATACCTACAAAATGCAAAGTTGCGGTTACTACAAAATTCAAAAGTTGCGTGGCAATACATTTCGTGCAGGAAACACAATAGCAATCAACAAAGAGAATGTATTTTAAGTTTTGGGGACAACAGAGAGTTTGGAATTTGGTGCTTTCTGTATACGACAGTGACGAAAGCCTTGCAAAGCTTGCTTAGTTTTCTTCAGGGGTGTCCACCTCATGTTAGCTTTCCAGGTTGCTGTGCTTATATGCTGTCAATGCCTGGTTCGCAGTGAAAGACTAAACTCAGATTAACCACGGACTTGTATAACTAAACATGAACTTACCTTGCAATCAACTAAACATGAAATTCCCCTGTAATCTAATGATCAATGAAAATGTAATAAGATAAAATGAAATGGATTTGAAACTTAAAGTGATGTTGCCATTGATTAGCGTATGTTAACAATGTAAATGGGAAACTCTCTCAACTATTTCTATTCTATTCTATTCCATTCTATTTCTGTACTATTCTAGTTCACTATTTTGTAACTTAGAGAGAGATATCCATTTACTACTTGCACATATGAACGCCAGAAGCCAACTGAAATACACTGTCAAGAGCATGTGCATTTTACGCTCATCCAGCAAGAAGCACGTGCTGCATGCCAACTTTAACGCTTTCTGCGAAGCTGTTGTGTACCCATGAATCAACCACTGTGTCCAGGAACATAACACTTGTTCCGGACACTTCAGATTAATGCCTGTCACGTGTTTGAGTGAAGTATTATGGTGTAAACAAACTGCCTGAGCATATACAGCGCCATATTTTGTTTAAAGGCTGTTGTCGGTGAATCTGTAATTCAAATCGACAACCTACTCAAAAAACACTGGCCTCAATCCATGCCGCTTCACTCAATCTATTTGCTGCGCATTCGGTTCCAAATTCATTTTAGCAGGGTTAAATCTACAGGTAACCTTTCTTCCCATTGAAAACACAGTATGTTTATCTCCTACTTGAAAACCAGTATCTCCATTCTTTGACAAACTTAACAATGTCTTTGGAATTAGCGAGTGATGTGGCAAGGGTGGAGTTCAGTGTTATGGTTGGGTTGTCATGCTGAATTAAGAAAATGCTGATACCCGTGAAGATCCGGGGTAGAATAGGTCTTCAGCAACCCATGCTTGCCGTAAAAGGCGAATAACGGGATCAGGTGGTCAACTGACTTGGTTGATGCATGTCATCGTATCCCAATTGCGTGGATCGATGCTCATGATGTCAATCACTGGATTGTCTGGTCCAGATTCGATTATTTACAGACGGCCATCATATAGATGGAATATTGCTGAGTGCGTCGCTAAACAACAAACAAACAAAACAAGTCATTTAACAAAAGTTGGTGCTGTATATTCTCAAACATTGTTTATAACATCATTATACTGCACTCGCACATAAAATTGAAAGTGTGCAAGTACAAGCCAGTGTAAAATGGGTACCAGTAAGGAAATTAGGCAAGCCTTGAAGGTTTGGTTCATAAATTCAATAGAGCTGTTCTGTGTACAGAGTTTTGAGGGAGTCTTCACAATGGAAGTGGCTGCCTGTCTGTCTGTACGAGAGGCTTTAGTGGAGCAAGGCGTGGTGGGAATCTACACAAAATGGCCGAATGACCTCTGGCTTCGAGGTCACAAACTATGTGGGGTGATGGTAGAACCATATGGTAAATTTTGTCCTTTTATGTCATGCATATCAGTGATTGAAATACCTTTTCAACAACACCAGCCAGCTGGACTAGCTACCCATGTCAATCACTGGATTGTCTGGTCCAGACTCGATTATTACAGACCGTCATCATATAGCTGGAATATTTCTGAGTGCGGCGTTAAACAACAAACAAACAACATAATCTCTTACAAGCCGATTTCAGTTTGAAGAAGCCATCTATTTACCCATCCAAATCTGGTTGCAGAAGAAGAAAAAATTATTTTCGACTTCAGTCTGAGTCAATATCAATTAATTATTCAGGGCAATAGCCACGAGACACTTATGACAATATGATGCTTTCGGATACCTCTCAAGAAAATAACAACCAATAATATTATCGTTCTTGTGTTTTAAGTAGGGCTGTGACGATACACCAACTGTGAATCCAGTACGTATCACGATACCTTACTCATGATCCGATATGTATCACAACACTTGCATGTGGTCTTATCTGTGGTGCGTAAGCATTCTTTTTCATAGACAGGATGGCCAAATACCTGGCACACTGATGATTTACCGTTGGCAGTGTCAAGTGTGGCGCAATGGATGAAAATATTTGTTTTCACTATTAACTTGCACTACTGTTTCGTGCTCGTGAGTTTCACCGAAGTGGTAAATGTCTGAGACCTGCATCATTTCGGGCTTTCCTCCCTCATTAACTGGCATACTGTTAAAAGCGGCGTTAAACCCAACTCACTCACTCACTCACTTACAAGAAAGTGGCGGTCAGGTAGCCTAGTGGTTAAATTGTTCGCTCGTCACGCCGAAGACCCGGGTTCGATCCCCGACATGGGTACAATGTGTGAAGCCCATTTGTGGTGTCCCCCGCCGTGATATTGCTGGAATATTGCTAAAGGCGGTGTAAAATCTCACTCACTCACTCACAAGATAATTTATGAGAAAAAAATTAAGCTAGCAAGTTTGGCTACCTCAATTGCATTTCACTAGCCAGAAGGAAAAGAAAGTAGCCACGGGCTACCAGGCAGGCGCTTATTTGCACACTGATGTATTTACTTGTATTCTTGGTTAGGTCTTCTCGTTGACGTCACAGGAAGGGTAAGGCCCCAATGCCCTTTTAGGGGTCCCTGGATGGAAAAGGACCCAAGTGGACCTACACTGAGGCGGAATAGGTCCAGATTCACTCACTAACCCCGGATAAGGATGCACATTATATAAAAGAGTAGGGGAAGCAAACTTGTTCAATTTATTTAGCATTGGACCAGGTGCATCTGTTCTCCTTCTAGTAGATAATAATTTGAATTTTTAATTTGACATGTTGATCTTAAAACCTCAGTCCACAAGTCTGCAGAATATGTTCATAAACTAGAATTAAGGTATATATGTTTAATCAGCTCCGGGTATCATAAATATTAACTGAATACATTGTGACTTTGCTTGTGTGATATTGCTTTACATCATTGTATTTATATTGAAAGACAATCTTAGAGGAGCTCTGAAGAACATACAAACCATCGGCATATCTCTCAGTTTTATTACTGCCTGCTTGGTTTCCAATCCATTCCGGTGGCCACTGGTGGTCCATTCGTCTAAGAGCTGTAACTTGCTGTGCAGAGTTGCGTCCCTTGAGCATGCCAGAAAACTTTGATCGTTAGTTCGAAACCCGGTTTGCCCTATTATGTTTCTAGGTTTGTCAGCACCATAACCTTTCTCGTGGGTTTCACCGAAGTGGTAAACGTCTGAGATCTGCAAAACTTTGGGCTTTCCTCCCACATCAAGCTGACACACCGTGATGTAACTGGAATACTGTTTAGAGCGGTGTAAAAAATCAACTCACACACTTGATCAAATCCATATCAGTATTTGATGTCCCCAGCAATGTAATATTATTGTTATTAATAAAAGAAACCTGACTATAACTTATAAAATACTGAAAAAACTTCCACACCTAGTAATGATACAATTTATCTCTGAATAATTGACATTTTCTTTAACTTACATCATTTTATTAAAATTATATTTTTATCTTCCTTTGTAGAAATGGACACCCGTCTGTATGTCATGGGAATTGGTCTAAACCTGAACGCAGATTGCAGGAGAAACACTGATTTGTGCTCTATTGCTACAAGCGTAAGATGTGAAAGAAATGGCGTCCCTCTGTCAAGGGAGACAACTCTAGCATACATTTGTAACAGCTTGGAGAAGAACCTGACAGAGACGCAGTCTGGTCTTCGGGAGATGTTTTTAGACCATCTCCTGTATAAACCATCAGATGGTGTAGTGGTTCTACAGGATGGCAAATCGTCCGATGGAACGTATATGAACGTACTGGAAAACTGGAACATTGAAGTCAGAGGTAAGTATGTCGGGTAGAAAATGACTTTGAAAGTGTTCCTGCAGCTTAGTGACTTAGAGCCCTGGGCCGCCCATACCCTGATGTTTTTTTAAACCTTATTGGTTTTTCTAGCACTTACTAGGTCTATATATTAGATGCGATATGAGTATACCACTGGGGTCAGAGTAGTCAACCCCATATTTCCCAACCCTTCCTGTGCATATACCTGGAATATTCCTGAGTGCGGTGTTAAACATCAAATGAAACAAACAAACAATGCCCCACATTTACACATAGTGTATAGCCCATTTCAGGTGCCCCCCACCTTCCCAAGCCTTGATATTGCTTTGATATTCACTCTTCCCAGATTCAGTCCTTCTCTCTTTTAGTTAGGGGGTACGGGTGGCCCAGTCATCTAAGGCCCCGCGATTCGCTGTGCAGAGTTGCGTCCCTTGGGCACGCCAGAAACCTATGATTGTGGGTGTGAATCCCGGTTCGCCCCGATTATGTTTCTAGGTTTTCAGCACCATACCTGTGCCTGTGGGTTTTACCGAAGTGATAAACGTCAGAGACCTGCATCACTACGGGCTTTCCTCCCACATTAAGCTGACACACCGTGATATAACTGGAATACTGTTAAAAGCGGCGATAAGCCTAACTCACTTACTCGCTCACTCTCTTTTAGTTAATGCTGGATAAGCCATTTAGCTGCATGATTATTATTATCATTTACATCATTCTAGACAAAAATGGCGACACAGTCAGTGGAACAAGTCGACAAATGTCAGTTCGCCCAGCACCTTCTCGGACAATTTGTGTGTTGGAGGGAGAGGAACTGGACAGTGCGAGTGCAGGACGGCTCTACCAGACTCTCACATCTCTCACTGACCTGACCAGCGTGTGTGTAGCCCACCTGGACACACGGCAGTGTACACTTCCAGGAGGCCAGCCTCCAGAACATACTCTGGTTGCAGTGGGCGATGTGAAACTGGACAAGCATACAGGAGACCAGGGGGGCAGTTTGGTCTTGACCCCGGCGCTTGTCAAGCTGGGGCACCTGCTGAAGGAACTTCTGTTGGCTGGAGGGTCCGTCCTGGGTGTGGCTGGAGGGTGTGTCCTGGTCCAGAAACTCCTGCAGGAGTGTTGCCAAGGTAATCTTTGCAAATTAGTTGGACCTTCTTTTCTTATTTTTTTAATTCTGCTTTGGCAGATTCACACACAAAAACTTTCCCAGATATGACCTCATAGTTTGTTTGTTGATAAAGCTGCATTCAGCAATATTCCAGCTCTAAGACGGCGGTCTGTAAATAATTGAGTCTGGACCTGACAATCCAGTGACTGACATCATGAGCATTGATCCACACAATTGGGATATGATGACATGCATCAACCAAGTCAGCGAGCCTGACCACCCTATCCTGTTAGTAGCCTCTTATGACAAGCGTAGTCGCCTTTTGTGGCAAGCATGGGTTGCTGAAGACCTATTCTACTCTGGATCTTCATGGGTCTATGACCTTATAGAAAAGATATCTCCTTGTGTTGCCTGTCTACTGGTATTAATACTTACTGATTGATATGAGCATGTGTTTAGAAGCTATTAGCTCAAGTTAGCAGGAGATTGTTATCTCTAAGCCATACATGATTTCATTCATCCAATTATTGTAAAATATATTTCCGACATCTCTTAAAGAGACACAAGGCTGAAACTGTCAAGATGTCATTGATTTTTCAGGATGGTCTCAAAGACATATAGTTTCATGAATTCTCAAATTCTTACTCATTTTGAAAAATGAAATATCGCAATGAACTTGAACGATATTATTTTCTTCAAAACGTATAATTTCATGATTCTCTATATCCCAGGATCTCAGTCTGACCCAATCATCCAACTACAGACTGACAACACTGTGATCTCGGTACAGACGACCAGTGAACCAGCATCCCACTTTTCCCTACCCCTGGATGGACTTCAACTGAAGACTTCATCCACATCACCTGGTAATGTGTTGGCGCTGTATGCCGACGACCTCAGCCCAGCTGTGGTCTGTAGAACCTGCTCTAGAGGCAAGGTCTGCTTCTGTCTTCCCAACATCGAGGTCACCTATGCTGACATTGTCGACGCAACCCTGTCAGACATTATAAAGGAAGGTGTGTTCAACAGAGATGTCCTGGTGCAGAAAATGTTGTCAGAACTTTGCTTTTGAAGATTGTCATAAGTCAAGATTTTGCTTGGTCTGCCGATTTAGGAGTCCAGGAAAATGAGGTGCATAAGTGAAAATCTTGTCAACATGTTTTTAGTTAGATGTCATGAAACAGAAATTCTTTTGTGATGATGGATCATTAAAGAAGATGAAGCTTTATGTTCCTCCATGGACGTGGCAAAATACTTCCTGATTTCCTACTGGTCTTATATCTGCACTATGGTCTAATATCTGCACTGTAGTCTCATATCTGCACTGTAGTCTCTTATACCTGCACTTTTGTCTAATATCTGCACTTTTGTCTAATAACGGCACTATGGTCTAATATCGGCACCATGGTCTAATATCGGCACCATGGTCTAATATCGGCACCATGGTCTAATATCTGCACTATGGTCTCATATATTTGCACTAAAGTGTTATAGCTGCATTATAGTCCTTATATCTGCACTATAGTCTGCTGATATCTGTTTGATGGTCTAATATTAGGACTGTAGTCTCTTATCTTTAATGAGGTCTAATATCTGCACTTTGGGCTAATATCTGCATTAATGTCTAAAATAGACTGTGGTCTAAACAGAATCTGTCTGAAGAAAATTTTAGTTCCAATTAGCAGAATATTTCCATGGTGCTGACCATCAAATATCTACCTTATCTAATAGTCGCACCCAATTACAATCCTGTAGAATATAGGTATATGTAAGGTCATATTTGTAATTGGATGCTTCTTGAGAACATCGACCATGCAAGGATTGTAATCTGGGCTATGTCAAGATACCATTTTCTGTTAGTCTGCAATGTGTATAAAGATCTTCGCCAAATGTAGTTACTCCAGAAATATATGTCCATCATCACTGAAAATTTAATATACTCATGTCTCACCTCAAATGAAACAGTTTTACGATATTTAGCTACCTTTATCTACCATGCAATGAATGTTAGGAAACCTATTGTAATATGATCTGCAAGCTGGTTGCAGAGTTACATTGTAACTGGAATGGGCTGCATACTGTATTGATAATGTACCATTGCCTGATGGCCTACATCAGTACGGAGTAAAGAAGAACTGGACGCTTACAGGTCAGCCTTCTTACAGGCTGTTGTAATTGAACTGTGAATGATCTAGTCGGCAGACAACCTATGTATTCAGAGCTCCAGATAAGCTTTTGGTGTTGTGTGTATTTTACCCATGCATTTTAAAATCATTGGATATCAGTAATTCTATCTGGGTATTCAAATTTCTAGTTTTAACACATGTGGGTATTTAAGTTAATATTCAAAAACACTATTCATCTAGTCCCTGCAAACTGGTGTCGTGTTGGTTGGAGAGCTTTATAGGATTAAAAAATACCACGATACTTTCACAAGAAAGTGTGATGGCAAATGATCATGATGTAACTGTCATAATAATTTCAAAATAAGTTGCTGATTTGATAATCGAATACGCAGGGTTACTCCACAATATTTTGATGATACACACAAGTTCTATTTTTGTAGTGTATATGTAATGTTTGTTATGTATTTGATACGCTTCGATTTTATTTTACTGCGTATTTGTTTTTCTGATGCGTATTTTACGCAGATACATGGAAGAATTATTTAATGTGATTTATTTTGAGCAAAACATATTCTTGTTCTTAGAGGCACAGATGTATTGTTTACATTGGTGTAAGGACATTTAGATTTTTATATCTCTGGTGTCACATTTATTAGTTGCCCTGCAGATATAACTGTTTACCAGTAAAATGAATTTTCAGTATGTATGTCTTACATACCATGCATGTAGATGTGAAAAAAGTTTGAGATTCTCATTTAAACAGGTCTCCCGAGCATCAGTTGTTTTAGTGCATTATTGGATTGCCTGAGCAATTTCTCATTCTTAAATCTCATTTGAAGTTTTTCCAAATCTGATTTTGTTTGATTGTTGTATTAATGATATTTGTGATTGTTATGATATATATAAACATTGTCAGATAATATGAGTATGGTGATTTTTACCAAGTATCATCCAGATGGAGCTGCTGCTTGTGGAAATCCCGCACAACTCTTCAAATACCAGGAAATCCCGCACAACTCTTCAAATACCAGGAAATTCAGCACAACACTTCAAATACCAGGAAATCCCGCACAACTCTTCAAATACCAGGAAAACAGTTTTATTAACAATAATTACTCAGAAATAGGTATATATGTCAATATATAAAAAGTAATCAGAAAGCCACTGATGGTTAACAATCTTGAATGACTGGATGTGTTCATGACATCCAACAGTAGAAAGCTGTAAACATTTATTGTGCAATCAGCATATCATTAGACTCTCCATGTAAAGTCTAGTGGAAAAAACCCAGCTTGAATATGATTTCAAGTCAATATGAAAATAGACAATAAGTAAGCAGTCATGTGTTATAAGTGAGTGAGTATGGTTAAACGCCGCTTTAAGCAATATCACGGCGGGGGACACCAGAAATGGGCTTCACACATTGTACCCATGTCGGGAATCGAACCCGGGTCTTTAGCGTGACGAGCCAACGCTTTAACCACTAGGCTACCCGACCGCCCCTTGAGGTGAGTATATGATGACATTTGGATGTAATATGTATTAGGTAGAGTTCAGCACTGTACAGGGCCCGCCAGAAACCTATGATCATGTATCTGAATCACGGTTCGCCGTTTCTAGATTTACTCCACATTGATTATTTAAGCTGACACAGAATTATTATTAAAGATTCAAATATTGAAAAGTTAATTATCACAGAAATAATGAAGCGATGGTTATCATAAAAAAGTTAAATATTATATATTATAAATACATGATGGATGTTGTTTATGGAAAGTAAAACACCACAGTAGATATTTTGATTAATGACTTGACACCTCATAACAAGAAAACTAGTGAACATGAACCATTACAGACCCATTATAAACCTAATCAATTTTCCCTCATCTTCAGGCGAGGCTGTTTTCACCAGGATTTTAAGAATTGGATTTACTCTTCACATATTCAGATAACCTTTTGCAGAACACACAAAAATATTTCCCCCACACTGACCAGGATTTTTCACTCAAAAAAAACCCTGCTTCATGGGCATTCTGGGCTATCCAAGGTCCCCATGCTGGTTGTAAGTGTACACCAAATGGATCGGGTTGTCACACGAAATCAAACTCGCTAAATGAGATTTTTATACATCTGTAATAATAATTCTAGAAAAATTTTAAGGGTAATAGTATGGGATCACGATGCATGTGAAGTTCGTTAAACTTTCATCCAATCGATGATGTTACAATTAAGATTGTTTTTGTGTTCAGGGAACAAAAAATTATGATCGATTGTGAAAAATGATAAAGATATTAAGAAAATATCAAACTAAATGCCCCTCAGTGTGAAGTGCCAACTGCCGTTTCTGGTAGTTGTATGCCTAGAAATTCTGAAAGTTTGATATTTTGCAAGTTGAGTCACACGTAACTTAAATGATACACAAAGCCTCCTCGTTGAACAGTTATTGCAGGTTTCACTTGGGGGTTTGAATTGGTTCAACAGAGCTGAAAGCATTAAATACTGTCAGCAATATTCTAGCTACATTAAATCAGTGTCCTTCAGTATATATATTTTATACAATGTATTCAGCAGTAAACACATAATTTCATACGCTGGTTTAGTTGGTTTGCTGACAATATCAGCACCCAAACACACTTACGATACAAGGAATTAAGATGCCTTTTCATTTGGATGCGCAATTCAACGTTTTTTTCATATCAGTGAGCATCTGCCAGGAGAGAGAGGAGGTTCGATCCCCGGGAGCATCACAGCAAAAGAAGCTCCCGGCAGACACAGGGCCATATTCTCTCATACTTCATATTACCACAGGAGAAAAATGTATTCTTGAAAGAATGCAATCTTTAAGATGTGGTATGCTCATATACAGCTTATTTCTTGGTTAGAAACGGTTCATTCACATGCTCTCTCACTCAATATTATCTGAATATAAATATTTAAATGAGAAAATGTGATTGAATGCATCAGACGTATGTCAATGATTTAAACAATTCTTAAAGTGAAGGGCGCACATCTAAACAAAATCCACAGAAGGTTTCTCACATAGCTTACATCCATTGTTCAAACGCACCCAACCCATCTGGAGCTAAAAATGATATGGTATATCAAAGAGTTGCATGAAATACAGAAAGGACCAGAATGCAGCATCAACAGGACAGAACCATGCCTGTGACAAACTGAAACTAAAAAAATTGATCAAATTCAAGCGAGTCACAATTTTTCTTAGTCCAAAAATGAGACATGGTTTCTTCCAGCATGAAATTTCCAGCCTCCGGTTCCGTCATCTTCAGGACTATTTGAAGCACCAAGACCCCTGACGATGGCAGCTGCCCCCGCAGTGGTGCTAGTGTCAGTGGTTGGAGTTGGTGATGGAGGGAGTCACATCCCCGTGGAACACGGTTTCCACTTTCAGCTCTGTTAGGTCACTGTTAACTGTCGTCTGCTGCGTGTCTAGGTCTCTGACTGGAACTGTGAACAACCCTGTCTTTCCCATCAGCCAGAAGGTGCACAGTCTGCCTTTACCCTGTCAGGGGAAAAACGCACAGCTTTAAAATGGTAATCTTTGTTAAAATGTCAATTCTGATTTCTGTATTCACTGTCAAATGCAGAACAATTGTACTGCATGGTATTACGGTACACCAGGACACTGCAATACGCTTTTCAAACAATTTTCTTTCTGTCTTCCGGTATACTGGGTAAAAAATATATAACTAGTTTCATTATTATTTGAAGACAGAGATTCATTCACAGATGTTACCCTTCAAAGTTGTTTGACAAAACGGTGGAAACAAAAAGGAGATCTTTCTTCCACATTGTTATCTCCCCTGTATCCATGACTACAAAATGGAGACTACTGACCATCCTGGGTAATACTGACTTTAGTATGTTGAACTAGAATCTGCATGTACAATCAATGTCAAACACATTAGCTCCTATATATTGCAGATATTGCAATACAATGTTTTTGCCAACACACAGCCCTAAAAGGATCTGTGTTTGATTCACAAAATACAATTTTCATAGGATTTGAAAATGAATGGTATAGATATAGATGCATACACATCATCTCTACACTGCAAAGATATGCGTTCATGTTTTCCTGACCTGTGAAGATCCGGGGTAGAATAGTTCTTCAACAACCCGTGCTTGCCGTAAGTGGCGACTAACGGGATTAGGTGGTCAGGCTCGCTGACTTGGTGGATGCATGTCATCGTATCCCAATTGTGTGGATCAATGCTCATGATGTCAGTCACTGGATTGACTTGTTTATTTACAGACCACCGTCATATAGCTGGATTATTGCTGAGTGCGGTGTTAAACAACTAACCAACCAACCAATCATGTTTTCCTTATCCAGAGGAATGTATTTTCAGGCATATTTACCTTGATCTCTACGTTTCCCCTGTCAACCACGTGATAGAGTGGGTTCTTCTTCAGCAAGGCAGCAGACGACCCACTCATGTGTATCATCAGGGCTAACACCATAGAAAGTATTAGATACACATATTTATCATGGCAAAAATACACAAAGCAGAACATCTTTCGTAATTTTTCAAGGTACCAAAACAAAAGTTTTATTGTTCCTCGTCCCACATGACTGAAACCAACATACATCTACGATGGATGAGATGTCAGTTAGTACCCAGTACCTTTCTGAATAATTTATTACAGTTTTCATTTTTAAATTTAATGATGTAGTTCACATCTGAGAACATATTGAAATTCTTTCGGATGGAAGAAAATATCAGTGTGCATTTACATGAAACTGGCACCATGTGCAGTTTGATATGTAATCATAGCAAGTCATGACCTATACATATTGATTTGTGGGAACTACAAAATCCTTTTCTCATTCATGTTTAAAATGAGTGATGTTTTGTGCAATAGTTGTTCTGCGTACGAGAAATAAAGTGAACGTCACAAGGAAACTTACGCATTCCATTGGACTCCATTCTGGAGGCTGTATTGACTGTATCTCCAAACAGGCAGTACCTTGGCATCGTCTGCCCAACGACCCCCGCCACCACCGGCCCCGTGTGAATACCTAGAGAAACACAGCCCTAACTGTATCTGGGTAACTACCCGAGCCTAAAGGTCTAAAAGAGTGAGTGAGTGAGTTGGTTTTATGACGCTTTTAGTAATATTCCAGCAGTATCACGGCAGGGGGACACCAGAAATGGGCTTCACACATTGTACCCATGTTGGGATTCGAACCCGGGTCTTCGGCGTGACAAGCGAATGCTTTAACCACTAGGCTACCCGACTGCCCCTGATTTTAAAAGATGGATAAGAGTATTGTTGTGGGAAGTGAGTGAGTGAGTAAGTATGGTTTTACGCCGCCTTAGCAATATTCCAGCAATATCACGTCAGGGGACACCAGAAATGGACTTCACACATTGTACCCATGTCGGGAATCTAACTCAGGCCTTTGGCGTGAAGAGCAACTGCTTTAACCACTAGGCTACCCGACCGCCCCGGTGTGGGAAGCGAGCGAGTCAGTGAGTGAAATAGGCTTGACTGTATTTCACAATATTACAGCTTGTTGGTCAAGTGTGAGAGTAAACCCAAAGTGAAGCAGGTCATAAATGCTTGTGTAAAAGTTAACAGCACGGTATAATGGCAACAGGTATGGTGCTGATAAACAAAGGAATGTCATCAGGGTAAATCTGGCACCTTAAACAAATTGTGGCACCTTAGACAACTGCGCCACCTGTGTCCCCTAACGTGATGCTTCCTGCTGTTTGAGTGTGTACCTATTCTGATCTTGAGTTGGCGCTCTGGTCTGTGTGGAATGACATAGCTAAGAACCGCCTTCAGCAGGCTGAGGGAAGCATCTGCCATCTCCATGATATGTTGGTCCCCATTTTGTATTGGCACTCCGCTTGCCATCATGTAGGCATCACCTATTGTCTCAACCTAAAAAGAAAACAAATCACAAATGTGTCAACTATTACCAGATTTGTTTCATCAGCAACAAAAATACGATCACCTAAGTGACTCCCCGTTAAGATTTATTACAACCATATCATCACTGTATCAATCAACTACTTTGGGTATGATGCTACGCTAAGTCAGCCTGTTGTAGCCATTGTTCGGGGACAGGTTCAGTTACAGGTACAGTTCACACACACATTGCCGGTGTGACCATGATATGGATTCAAGTCACTTGTGGCTATTCATAGGCTGAAATGGTGAAGTCAATGTGCACGGGTATGGTGCTGTTAGACCAAGGAACGTAAGCAGGGCAAATATTGGAACTGAACACACGACCAGCAGATCTTGGCACATCTTCCCAAGGCAAGAGTGTCCATTAGTCTGTATCAAAGTCTAGTTTTCACCGTTCAGTTCATATTCCGAATGGCTTTGCAAGCATGACGACTTCCAGGTAGACAACCTGGTCGATCCGATAATGAAATCTTGGAAAGACTTAAAAAATATTTGTCCTTGCATTATTGTTGGATAAATTTCAGAGCAAGTATGACACGCGATGGATGTAGCCATAGCAGCAGCCATGCTTTTACAACCCAGAATTTCAATTTGTAAAATCTTCCCTGACCATCCCTGACCATTGATATGTGTGATAGTCCTCTCCTGAGCTTGTCTGTTTTAGCACAGAAAAGTAGGCTTGAAAAGCAAAGGATGTAAACTCGACTTTGATACAGGATACCGTATCCGACGTAATAAAGGCCTCACTTTAAAAGCTCCCACGGCGATATTTGCTAATATATTGGCTAGTGAACAATCACAATTAGCACCCCTTCCGATTGATCAATGTACTCAAGACCTAATATGCACTCATGTGTTATATGAACCCTTATGGGCAATTAAATTCTGGAAAATATATCTGTCGTATATAAACATTTCAGGCTGTCAGCGTAAACCGAAATTTATCTTTCTACTCTGTTTTTTTCACCAAAATAATATTCTAATAAGAGCCCCCAATTTCTAATTTTGAGAGCGCCCTGGGCGCTTATTACGTCAAAGGTAGTTGTCACTCTTGCCTCCGGAAGATGCTATGGAGGGCTAAGGAACTGCACATATGTCCTACAACCTTCCCTTGAACATAATTTTGAATGACTTTGCTTGACTTGGGAGTTGTACGTACCTTGTAAACATCAAAATTCTTTATGGTGTCATCAAACAGCGTGTATAGTGTATTCAGCAGCTCTATGATCTAGGCAAACAAAGAATCATAACATAACAGTGGGTGAGAGTGTACCACACTACTGGAATGAGAGTGATTAGTCAGTCCCCACTGTATTTCGCGATTCGGGGGCTGCAGAATATTTTGCAGAAATGCCCACTCGGTGCAGAAATGTACCTATCTTGCTGTAAATCACATTTTGTGCAGAACTTGTGCAGAATTTAGGATTTATCTGCTGCAAAAATCGTCAAATACACTGCAGACTTTTAACATGTGAGTTGAAAGCTGGTTTTAAATGTGTAACGTAAATTGATTTCTTTTGAAGTGGACTTGACTTTTGTATTATTGCTTACTGAAAGTGCATGTCTGTATTTTTACACTAGTAACCTACAGATTCAGAATTTTACAAGGCTTGGACTTCGGACTAGTGGCTGAAGTCTAACACTGTGCTGGTTGTCGGTTTTTCTAACTTTCAGTTATGGTTGATTCGTTAGGGAATTAAAGTTTGTGTAAGCTTACACGCTGCACTGAAGTATCTAGAAGTAGACCTTCAGGTCTACAATTCAGGCTCTCCATGAAATCCCAGGTGCTTCACATATTAGCCAACAGCCAACAGGTGAATGCAAGGTCATCATTTCCTCTTGCACTGCGATAGTGCATAGGAAAGACAAGTACCAGGGACCTACCTATCCTGCGGGAACTCCACAAGGGGATACAAGGATTGGGGGGTTTTGGGGGGAGAATGGCATTATTTGTTACTCAGGATAAATATTTCTGCTTTAATTTCTGCCAGAGACATTATTGCATGCTGGGGACCTATGTCTTGGTGTGGCCTACACAAAGCAATAGCAGCTGACCTCCATGGGTGTGCTCTCACTGGCGAGGTCGGTGAAGCTGACGATGTCGGAGAAGTAGATAGTGACAGATTCGAATGCTTCAGCTTGGACCAAATTCCCAGTCTTGAGGTTGTCTGCCACCTTCCTGAAAGTCACAGTTATAATACTGATGCATTGTAAGGCAAGGCAAGTGTGTGCATCTCTTTGTAAATTGGCATAATTTGATAATGTTCTTCCGACGAGATAGAGTCTGAGGGTTGTAAGCCGCTTTTAGCAATATTCCAGCAATATCACTTTGAGGGAACAAAAAAAGGGTTTCACACACTATACCCATGTAGTGACACAAACCCAAGTGTTTGGTGATCCACACTTAACTACAAGGCTACCTAACAGCCTTTGACAAGAGAACATATGGCTAAAAATGAAATAATGCTGCAGTATGCTGCACGTGGCTATTGTGGACAAAATGGCTACTTATTGTAGCAGTATGCTGCATGTGTCTATTGTGGACAAAATGGCTACTTACTGTAGCAGTATGCTGCATGTGGCTACTGTGGACAAAATGGCTGCATATTATGGCAGCATGCTGCAGGTGTCTATTGTATACCTACTGTGGCAGCATGCTGTATAGCAGGGCGTCCGTCTTTCTCTTCTCTTCCTCCAGCTGAGCCGTTCTTTCTGCCACCAGTTCCTCCAAGTGGTTTGAGTAGCGTTCCATCATCATCAACATGTTGTCCAGCATGCTAGTTGACCTGCCCACACATCATACATATAACTGCACTACCACCACTCCAGATGAAATGTACTACCACCACCACCACCACCACCAGTAACTAGTACCCTAGCTGCAGATTGAAAATGGGTGCCAGACTGCTGAGCTAAGCCCCATTTCAGCTGACACCCACAGCTTCCATTTCCCACCTGGTACCCAGTTACACAACCAAAATGTCACATGGCCTCACCTGTAAGGGTTGAGATGGTTGAGTCTCTTCAGCACCCTCTTGATAGCCCCCTTTAAGCTGACACCCACAGCTTCCATTTCCCACCTGGTACCCAGTTTTACAACCACAATGTCACATGGCCTCACCTGTAAGGGTTGAGATGGTTGAGTCTCTTCAGCACCCTCCTGATAGCCCCCTTTAAGCTGACATTCATATTCCATTTCCCACCTGGTACCCAGTTACACAACCTCAATGTCACATGGCCTCACCAGTAAGGGTTGAGACGGTTGAGTCTCTTCAACACCCTTTTGATAGCCCCCTTTAAGCTGACACCCACAGCTTCCATTTCCCACCTGGTACCCAGTTATACAACCACAATGTCACATGGCCTCACCTGTAAGGGTTGAGGCGTTTGAGTCTCTTCAGCACCCTCCTGACTGTTGGCCTGCACTGTGGGTCCTCTTCCCAACATGAGTGTATCAGTTTCACGAAGGGCAGCCTCAGTGACACATACTCGTCATGCGTCTCCACCACAGTGGGTCTCATCAGCTGGTCCGTGGGGTGGGCCACCTGCTTGATGATCTCTAAGAAGAAGAATGCACATAAACATATCACAGTTACAACTGTAGTCAGTGCTCCAGATACCTTTTTCAGCAATTCAGTTTTTACTCTAGGGTTTCTATCTTAATTACAGTAAACTACATTTATAACGAACACGCTTATAACGAACTGGCGGATATAACAAACTGGTTTTTAGGTCCCTGCCATTTGCTGTATCTATGCTGTATATATGAGTAACTAACTACGGTTATAACGACAACTAAAATTTGTGGTCCCTTTGAGTTTGCTATAACCGTAATTTACTGTAGGTTATTACATTTTTCATTGGGTAACCAATATTTTTTCACTCATCTATTCATCACTCAATTGGGTTTTTCCCAAAATTAGTGAACTTTTTAAGATTTAAAAAAAAAGAAATAATGTTTAAGATGTATACAACTGTTCTGAACATATAGGCTTGACTCGGAAAGTAAATGAGCTCATAATTGTGTTTTGGAAATCAGCTCCTTTGTACGCATGCTGAAAAAGCTTCACCGGGAATTTACACAAGCTGTTTTTATACATTTGAGTTTTTCGTTTAATGCATGCATTTCTGTACGCAAGGCTCATAAGGGCAAACACTGATCTCAGAACATGTGCACATGGTATCGTTCTGAACAGTGTTGTGTGGATGGCAAAGTGTCCGTCATACCATAATCCATGAAATTTAACAAGGATTCACATACCTAAAGCAATATAGTAATAGGGACTTTGACCACATATTTATACGGTCTAACATTGAGGTGGTCAGGGGATGGTATAGCTAAACGCAAAAGGTGTATTAAGCCAAACAAGTTTAAGTGGTTATATAGCATTGGAGTGACCATAGTAAGGCTGAAGTGGTTATACAGCATTGTAGTGACCATAGTAAGGCTGAAGTGGCTATACAGCATTGGAGCGACCATAGTAAGGCTGAAGTGGCTATATAGCATTGGAGCGACCATAGTAAGGCTGAAGTGGTTATATAGCATTGGAGTGACCATAGTAAGGCTGAAGTGGTTATACAGCATTGGAGCGACCATAGTAAGGCTGAAGTGGCTATATAGCATTGGAGTGACCATAGTAAGGCTGAAGTGGTTATATAGCATTGGAGCGACCATAGTAAGGCTGAAGTGGTCATACAGCATTGGAGCGACCATAGTAAGGCTGAAGTGGTCATACAGCATTGGAGCGACCATAATAAGGCTGAAGTGGTTATATAGCATTGGAGCGACCATAGTAAGGCTGAAGTGGTCATACAGCATTTGAGCGACCATAGTAAGGCTGAAGTGGTCATACAGCATTGGAGTGACCATAGTAAGGCTGAAGTGGTCATACAGCATTGGAGCGACCATAGTAAGGTGGAAGTGGTTATATAGCATTGGAGTGACCATAGTAAGGCTGAAGTGGTCATACAGCATTGGAGCGACCATAGTAAGGTGGAAGTGGTTATATAGCATTGGAGTGACCATAGTAAGGCTGAAGTGGTCATACAGCATTGGAGCGACCATAGTAAGGTGGAAGTGGTTATATAGCATCGGAGCGACCATAGTAAGGTGGAAGTGCTTATATAGCATTGTAGTGACCATAGTAATGCTGAAGTGGTTATACAGCATTGGACAACCATAGTAATGCTGAAGTGGTTATATAGCATTGGAGCGACCATAGTAAGGCTGAAGTGGTCATACAGCATTGGAGTGACCATAGTAAGGCTGAAGTGGTCATACAGCATTGGAGCGACCATAGTAAGGCTGAAGTGGTCATACAGCATTGGAGCGACCATAGTAAGGCTGAAGTGGTCATACAGCATTGGAGTGACCATAGTAAGGCTGAAGTGGTCATACAGCATTGGAGCGACCATAGTAAGGCTGAAGTGGTCATACAGCATTGGAGCGACCATAGTAAGGCTGAAGTGGTCATACAGCATTGGAGCGACCATAGTAAGGTGGAAGTGGTTATATAGCATTGTAGTGACCATAGTAATGCTGAAGTGGTCATACAGCATTGGAGCGACCATAGTAAGGTGGAAGTGGTTATATAGCATCAGAGCGACCATAGTAAGGTGGAAGTGCTTATATAGCATTGGAGCGACCATAGTAAGGCTGAAGTGGTCATACAGCATTGGAGCGACCATAGTAAGGTGGAAGTGGTTATATAGCATCAGAGCGACCATAGTAAGGTGGAAGTGCTTATATAGCATTGTAGTGACCATAGTAATGCTGAAGTGGTCATACAGCATTGGACAACCATAGTAAGGCTGAAGTGGTTATATAGCATTGGAGTGACCATATTAAGGCTGAAGTGGCTATTCAGCATTGTAGCGATCATAGTAAGGTTGAAGTGGTCATACAGCATTGGAGCGACCATAGTAAGGCTGAAGCGGTTATATAGCATTGGAGTGACCATAGTAAGGCTGAAGTGGTTATACAGCATTGGAGTGACCATAGTAAGGCTGAAGTGGTTATACAGCATTGGAGTGACCATAGTAAGGTTGAAGTGGTTATATAGCATTGTAGTGACCATAGTAAGGCTGAAGTGGTCATATAGCATTGGAGCGACCATAGTAAGGCTGAAGTTGCTATATAGCATCGGAGCGACCATAGTAAGGTGGAAGTGGTTTTATAGCATTATAGTCACCATAGTAAGGTGGAAATGGTTAAATAGCACTTTAGGCAACCAAGTAAAGTTGAGTTGGTGGTTAGGGATGTCTCAATTTGAGATCACAGCAAGGAGTGATGGGTTTAATGCCACTTTTAACAGTATTCCAGTTATTTCACAGCGTGTCAGGTTAATGTGGGAGGAAAGCCCAAAGAGATGCAGGTCTCAGACGTTTACCACTTCGGTGAAACCCATGAGCACGGGTATGGTGCTGACAAACCTAGAAACATAAACGGGGCAAACCGAGATTCGAACCCACAATCATAGGTTTCTGGCATGCCCAAGGGACGCAACTCTGCACAGCGAATCGCAGCGCCTTGGGAGGAAAGCCCGAAGGGGTTGATCACAGCAAGGACGAAGTGGTGGTAATAAATGAAATACATAAGAGAGTTACCTTTTGGTGTCAGCCTAACCTCCTCGGCATACGGCTTTGTGAGACAAAGGATCTCCTTGAGGATGATGCCGACAGCGAAGACGTCCCCCTGCTGCGTGGGCGTGAACCTCTTCTCAGACAGCGAAGTTCTCAGCAGTTCCGGGGCAAGCCAAAATAACTCTGTGGATGAAGGATGAGATGAGGAGATGTCCTACAGTATGTGACCCTATACTGAGAAGAAACCTTCCAGATGAAAGCAATTAATCCTAATGTATGTAGCTTCATCAAAAAACTTTTGTTTTCACTACACAATAGAGTTTGTATGGACTAAGAGAGATATTTACAGAATTAATGCTTTCATGAACAGTGTTGAGCATTTGCAGCAAAATAGCTGCTAGAAAGTGTCAGATTAGTGACCTCTAAACGCCACTTTGGGACAAATGGCTCACAGACACCAAACATCGTTCACTGATACCAGTTTCACTTCACAGATACCCACATTGCCTCACAGATACCTACAATACTTCACAGATACCAAACATCGTTCACTGATACCAGTTTCGCTTCACAGATACCCGCAATACAAGATACCCACAATACTTCAGATACCCGCAATACTTCACAGATACCCGCAATACTTCACAGATACCCACAAAACTTCACAGATACCCACAACACTTCACAGATACCCGCAATACTTCACAGATACCTGCAATACTTCACATATACCCACAATACTTCACAGATACACGCAATACTTCACAGATACCCACAAAACTTCACAGATACCCACAACACTTCACAGATACACGCAATACTTCACAAATACCCACCATACTTCACAGATACCCACAATACTTCACAGATACCCACCATACTTCACAGATACCCACAATACTTCACAGATACCCACATTGCTTCATGGATACCTGCATTGCTTCACAGAAATCCACCATACTTTACCAATACAAACAATACTTCACTGATACCCGCAATACTTCACAGATACCCACAATACTTCACAGATACCCACATTGCTACACAGATACCCACATTGTTTCACAGATACCAACAATACTTCACAGATACCCACAATACGTCACAGATACCCACATTGCTTCACAGATACCGGAATACTTCACAGATACCCACAATACTTCACAGATACCCACAACACTTCACAGATACCCACAATACTTCACTGATACCCACAACACTTCACTGATACACGCAATACTTCACTGATACCCACAACACTTCACAGATACCCACAATACTTCACTGATACCCGCAATACTTCACAGATACCCACAATACTTCACTGATACTCGCAATACTTCACAGATACCCACAATTCTTCACAGATTCCCACAATACTTCATAGATACCCACAACACTTCACAGATACCTGCAATACTTCACTGATACACACATTGCTTCACAAATACCCACATTGCCTCAGATACCCACAATACTTCACAGATACCCACATTGCTTCACAGATACCAACATTGCTTCACAGATACCTACATTGCCTCACAGATACCCACAATACTTCACAGATACCCACAATACTTCACAGATACCCACATTGCCTCACAGATACCCACAATACTTCACTGATACTCGCATTGCTTCACAGATACCCGCAATGCTTCACAGATACACGCAATGCTTCACAGATACCCACAATACTTCACAGATACCCACAATACTTCACTGATACCCGCAATGCTTCACCTACTTTCACACATGTCGTCCTCGGACTCCTGGTCATACGTATCTTTCTCTCCCTTTCTGATTGGTCGCAAACCAAAGTCCGTGAGTTTACAAACCCAGCGGCTGTCAATCAGGCAGTTGGATGACTTCAGGTTGCCATGGTATTTCAGGGAGCTCATGTGGAGGTACTCAAGACCCTGCGTTGAAGAGAACGTTTTGTTTGTTTGTATAACAACACACTCAACATGTCAGCTATATGATGGTGGCCTGTATATAATCCTGTCAGGAGTGAGTGAGTATGATTTTACGCCGCTTTTAGCAATATTCCAGCAATATCCCGGAGGGGGACACCAGAAATGGGCTTCACACATTGTACCCATGTCGGGAATGGAACCCAGGTCTTCGGCGTCACGAGCGAAAGCTTTAACCACTGGGCTACCCGATTGCCCTCATCCTGTCAGGAAGAGACAACCCATGTTTTGTATGTTTGATTTTTATTTAACACCCCACTCAGCTATATTCTAGCTATATGATGGCGTTCTGTAAATAATCAAATCTTGAACAAATATGATTGATACCGTACCGATGACTTGCCGGACTACCTGATTACATTAGTCGCCTCTTATGACAAGCATTGCACATTTAACAGAAAGCATGGGTTGCTGAAGACCTATTCTACCCCGGGTTTGTGATATAATGAGGAGCATCCTTTGCCGTTGGGGTATGATGACACACTGTCAACCAAGTCACCCAGTCTGACCACCTGATACATTTAGTAGCCACAAGGGAACAAGACTGAGTGACAGTATTCCAGTTATATCATGGCGTGTCAGCTTAATGTGGGAGGAAAGCCCCAAGTGATGCAGGTTTCTGACGTTTATCACTTCGGTGAAACCCACGAGCACGGGTGTGGTGCTGACAAACCTAGAAACATAATCGGGGCGAACCGGGAATCGAACCCACAATCATAGGTTTCTGGCATGCCAAAGGGACGCAACTCTGCACAGCGAATTGCGGCGCCTTAGACGTCTGGGCCACCCGTGCCCCAAGGGAACAAGAAGAGTGATCTTCACAAAACATATATCAAGATTTGAACCTGAACCTCTTGACTGATCACTAATGTAAGGCTGATCATGCCATTTTGCATAAGAACCACTGTAAAATGGGGATATCACAAACCATATCACAAGTCCAAATACGACAACAGGAAATCATTGTTCTTCCCGAGGCAAGGAAGTTAACTGACTACAAAAGGTGCAGTTTCAACCCTTGCCAAACTATAGGCTGCTATTTTGGAGTCTAGCGAGTCTAGCGAGTCTATGCATAGTCCAATCAAAATCACGTAAGGAAATCGCCATCCGGTTCGTAAACTGCTGTGCAGATTTCGGTTGATTGTAGGATATGCAAACATGTGTAGCGTCAACTCAGGGTTGACAAATATTTTTCAAAACTTTTCATGTTTTTACCACCGTGCTCAAGTAATTTGATGCACTTTGCGAGGTAAGACCAGTTGTTTTACAAAATATATCTTAATTATTGATCAAATTGTCTTGACTGGGCGCCACCATTTTGTTTGGAGGATATACAAGTAATATGATAGGTGGAATCTGATTTGGCAATAGGAGGGACATAAAAGGGATATAGATGGGACATTACTCGTAATAGCCTCTGGTGGCGCTATGATCGAGCCACGAAATTCCAGCCTAGTGTGGCAAGGGTGGAAACTTGACTTTTACAGGCAGTTAACTCCCTTAGTCAATGTTAAGCAATGGAAATCATGACAGCCACAGGACCGATATGAATTACTGAAACAAGGATATATATATTTTTAGTAGTAACTACAACACAACTTTACCGTGCAGATGTCGATGGCGATAGAGAACTGAAACATACTGTCAAGCTTCATGTCGGAGTTGTCCAGGATGTCCTGAAGGAAGAGCCCACAAAAACTATGTCAGAAATATCAGCATTCCCCAAGTATTATGTCTCCAGTTTAACATAAAAAACACCCATTTGCCGCAATAGCTTTGTTTCAAAAGCGATGTCTCAGAGTATTACGAGACGCAAATGTGCATCCTGTATGCACAAATGTAGAAAATGGTCGCAGAAAAACAATTAACTGCGTCCCTGGGGGGCACTAAATATTCATTGTGCATCAAGAGCAGTTACGAGTGTGTGCTATTTCATCAATCAATCATGATCGTGACCACTTATAATAGGGTCTTTGACGTGACTGCCAAAGTTAATTGTGGTCCTTTTTTGGTAATTTATTCATACAAAGATTCAGCTTTCATGGCTTTTGTGAAAATCCTGTTTCCGATGAGTTGAGCTGGATGAACTTACAGTGAGGCTTCCCTTGCTGCAGTACTCCCACAGGATGCAGATGTTGGGAGACTCGGGACAGATTCCCACAAACGATGTCAGGTTGCTGTGTTTCAGCATCATCATCTGAAAGAACAATCGGCGTATAAGGTGACATTGTTTCACAATATATGGAAATAAATTATGATTAATTTTAGATCAATATGTACAGGTCATGATCAATGTGGTCCACTTCTGAGAATGCACTGGGGAATGCACTGGATCAGTTGGCACTATCAAGGTCAAAGCTTAAAATATCACAGAAAAAACTACACAGTCGCCAAATGGCATTACATTTCGAACCAAAATGGCTGAGTAATGAGTATGAGTGAGTGAGTGAGTTGGGTTTAATGCCGCTTTTAACATTATTCCAGTTATATCGCAGCGTGTCAGCTTAATGTGGGAAGAAAGCCCGAAGTGATGCAGGTCTCTGACGTTTATCACTTCAGTGAAACCCACGAGCATGGGTATGGTGCTGCCAAACCTAGAAACATAATCGGGGCGAACCGGGATTCGAACCCACAATCATAGGTTTCTGGCGTGCCCAAGGGACGCAACTCTGCACAGCGAAATCCGGGCGCCTTAGACAACTGGGCCACCCGTGCCCCCAGTAATTGGTATGAGGTTTTTCAATATGACTGTCATGGTGGCTATATTGAAAATCAGATTTCAACTTTGTGAACAAATTCAGGTGACACCTTTGGTGAGAACAAGGACATGTATGTATCAAGTTTCAACTTCATTCGACCAGTGGTCTCTGGGGAGCATATGTTTATGACAGAACAAACAATCAGGTCATGACACAAGCTCTCTTGATATTTAGTCAGGTGAGATAAAATTCCACTTCCAGGAATGTAAATCTTATATAGAAATGTTGTACCCCACTCTACCTCTTTAATATGCTTCATTAACTTCCTATCAGTATGAATACGCTGTTTCCTGATTTCCTTCACGGCAACAATGTTGTCTTTATATTTCGCTGTAGTGGTATACTGGTGAAAGGTGACACTGCCATCCATCATTGAATCTAGTGATGCATGTGCAGAGCTGGTCATCATTCCGCCGGTGTCGGAACCCTCACTTTGGAGGCTGTCTCCGTCTACTTGGTTGTCTACTTGGTTGTCTACTTGGTTGTCTATTTGGCGGACTGCTAGCCTGCTGCCATGCTAGAAACATAGAGGTTCTACACATGATGCTAGCATCATATTGGGGGCTGGGGAGGGGTAGTCTTGTGGTTAAAGGGACTTGACTTCAATAGCCAACATGAATACATTGTGCAAAGTTGCTTCATGGAGTCCCAAGCCATTACATTTCTGGAATAATTCTAAATATGACCCAAAACCATAAATATGAAATGACTACTACTACTACTACTACTACTACTACTACTACTGAGAACAATAATATCAATATTACTCGCTTATTATGCAGTGTTAGAATCCACAAAGAATTAAGATCAAGCTTAATAAAGTCATAAAATAACCCTGGGCCCTGTTCCACAAAGTCACCTTAGCACAACGACTAATGCAGAGACCAAGAAATCTATTTTTACGGTCTCTGGTTAAAGTATGGGAGTTACGATCCCATTAACGTTAAGATCACTTTGTTGGATCCAGGTCAATGAATCACTGTGCACTCATATTACATTCTCTGGACCCTGGGGACCCTTGTGCCACCAAAGTTGCCAGACAGAGGATGGTGTGTTTCCACATTGTCCAGCAAATGCAGGGGGGACAGAGAGACATTTCAAACATCAATGGATATAACATGAAAAGATCCATATATGATTAAGAAAAAAGATTTATTCACATGGCACTACCTTTTTCCCAAAATATATTTTGTCTTATTTCAGATTACTGTTTGTTTGTTTGTAGTTTAATGTAGCACTCAGCAATATTCAAGCTATATAATGGCGGTCCGTGAATAATCCAGTCTGGACCAGACAATCCATTGATTGACATCATGAGCATCGATCCACGCAATTGGGATACGATGACATGCATCAATCAGGTCAGTGAACATGACCACCCAAAACGGTTAGTAGCCTTTTACGACAAGCACAGTTACCTTTTACGGCAAGCATGGATTGCTGAAAACCTATTCTATCCCTGATCTTCGCGGGTATTGAGATTAATGAGGTTGATGCCCTACCATTGCCTTCCGTTTGCGCCTCCATCCGCGGAAGTTGAAGTTGAGATCGGGGAAGTGGACTTTCCAGTTCAAGTTGTTTAAATCTCGCTCGTGTCGCCACCATCTGGGAAGAAACACATTCATAAAATATCACACATATCATTAATCCCATCAGTATTGATGGACTCTCTATAGACCAAAACCGGATACAAAAATAAGGATGCCATCTTAAAACATATACATATTAGGTTATCCAGGTGACATAGAGGAGGCCCATTCAGCAGGTGTATTAACTATACTGAAAACAAAAGCACCGAATTGAAATACTTCTTGGCTTTAGCGCACGTTCAGACACCTATACGTCTGGTCTCATTAAATAACTTCCGGTCTTCTGAAAAACAAGCTTACTCATTACATGTGGCAACCAGTCTAAGAAACAGCTCTTTTTCAAAGAAATTTTGGACCATGTCACTACAGGTTTCGGAAAAATCAACCATTCTTACTGCATTTCAATATAAAACCAGAGAATAAAACGGTGTTAGTTTAAATTATTGGTACTTCTAGTTTTGGTTATGTCACTTCCGGTTTCAGAAAACACTCTTGCTGCAATGAAATTTACACCAAAATGTCACACATTCTAGCTCCTTTTGTAACTAAAAGAATTAGTACATCCGATTTCGATTACCTAACTTCCAGTTTCAGAGAACACACTCTTCCTGCACTGAACACATGGTTCTGCCACCAATAACAAAGTTGTTGGTGCTTGTAGGTTGAATTGTGGTACTTTCAGTTTCGGAAAACACATGTTTACTTCATTAGATTGGTTTGTTGGTTTGTTGTTTTACGCTACACTCAGCAATATTCCAGCTATATGACGGCTGTCTGTAAATATTCGAGTCTGGACCAGACAATCAAGTGATTGACGTCATGAACATCGATCCACGCAACTGACCACCCGATCAAGCCAGTCGCCTTTTACGACAATAATTCAAACAAATTCAAATTTCGATTGAGCAGAGGTTAATATGTGCTACGTCACGTGACTTTCATTGACTCGGAAAAGGCGTGCGGCCTTTAGCTTCGAAACGGGATATTAGGGATTTATTCCCCCGCTCAGAAATCCACGTGAAGCCTGTTTTCTTCGTGGCGGGGTGTAAGGGACATATGACAGAAATGTATTTCCCTCACAGGCGGAATACATTATTAGTTGTCAAGCGATCCCTCGGGGCATGTACTACTCGCCTCGTACCAGCATTACGAGAGGCACATGTGGTTTTATGGCTCCAGCGTTTGGTTTTATACCACAAGCCGGAGTGGAGCCGGAGTGGAGTGGTATAAAACGTAATGAGGGACGCATAAAACCACATGTACCCCGAGTGATACTGCTACAATGAAATGATCTTACCGACATGTTTTCATCTGCCTTGGCAAATGAATTAAAATAAATAAAAAATTGATAGAAAAAGCTGTTCGATTGAGCTGAGATTAACTGGTGTTATGTCACGTGATTTCAAAGCGGGGTATCAGGGTTATATTTTCCCGCTCAGAAATCCACGTGCATCCTGTCTTCTACGTTTCAGGGTATATGGGATATATTCTCCCACGCGGGTTTTTCGGAGTAGAGATATGTTTTTTTCTTCTTTATTTTTAGGGGCTGAGATTTTTTTTACGGTGCACTTCAAATTCAACCTCTGGAAAGAATGTTAAAAGGTTTCTCACTGTTCGCTAAAACATAATAACTCTACAGATGTAGGTGGTTTTTTAAACAGAACAATGAAAATAGCGGTATAATAAAGTATTTTTATATAATAAAAGACAATACGTAAGATCCAGCGACCTAAGGTGTTCATTGTTTTTTTTTAGATAACCCTTGGGATTAGGGTTTACGCTGAATGTTTGCTGTATACATTAAACAGAAAAAGGAGATAGAATATCTGTGCACTTAGCAAACACATTGAAACAATTATGTTAGAAGCCAAAATCATTCAGCCCAGCTCTTCTGAATGGCACTCTCCTGTTGTTATGGTTAAAAAAACCGAGAAAGCTCTTGTCACTTTGCCGTAGATCGTAGACGCCTCAATGCAGTTACCAAACCTATATACTTTCCCCTCTGTCACGTATTGAAGATGTCGTTGATGCCACACATATTCGACAGCCATGCCAACATTTTTAGTGTCCTTGATTGTGCTAGTGGCCTTTTGCAAATACCATTCCATCCAGATACAAAACACAAGTCGGTCTTCATTACGGGGTGTTTTTGAATGGAATCGCCGCATTTAAAAAAAACATTTCTGGCACTAAAAGAAATTAATTATCTTAACATATTAATATATGAAGATGACATAAGATTCTCTAAAACGTTTTCAGAACAGTTGAATCACCTCAAGGCAGTATTCCAAAAGATAAAAGAAGCAGGACTCACTCTGAAACCCAACTTATGAAAATTCGCGACAAAACAAGTCACCTACTTAGGGCATATATCGTCAGCAAAGATGTCATCCAGATCCCACCCACCTACAAATGTTCATGACATGCGTCATTTCTTAGGTTTGGCCTCGCATTACCGCAATTTTTTAGCAAACTTTTCTGGCATCGCCTGTATACAACCTTCCGAAAAAAGATGCGTCTTTCGAATGGTCCAACAATTGCCAACAGGCAATCGAAAAGCTAGCCCTTACATCCTTGCATACCCGACCAAAACAAACCCTTCATCCTGACAACTGATGCATCTCAAACTGCAATAGGGTACATTTAAGGCCAAGTTGATTCCAATGGCGTAAATTGTAATTATGTTGTTAATTCATGTCTTTTGACCATACAAGTATCTTCCTGTTCTGCTTTTAGAAACAATGTTGATTGGTAACATTCATTTTTCTCGTAAGTTTAGGTTATTGCAATAAACTATTTTTATTAATATATATGTTTACATAGTATTTTTTTTCCAAATAAGGGTATATGATACTTAATGGTCATTTCCCATTACAGCCCTTGAAACGGAAGATTTGAAATGATTATTAGTATATAAGGGTTACAGGTATTCTGTCTCTCGTGGTCATGTCTCTCTGTCACGTGTATGGCTTTGCTCACGAAATACTCGTATAAATCCTGTGTTGATGATGATGGCCATATTGTGGACGAGACTTGGAGACTTTTTATTGAAGCTGTGGTTTTTTCAAGCAGATGGAGGCTGACGTTTTTTATTTACACAGAATTATGAGCTGTGTTTTGGTTTTTTAAAGAAAATCAGCAATTACAAACAGCAACTTGTTTCTGCATCTGACAAATCTTACACTCAACCTTCAGTTCGTTTTTCATATAACAACAGACCCCTGAAGATCCGGGTTAGAATACGTCTTCAGCAACCCGTGCTTGTAAGAGGTGACTTACAGGATCGGGTGGTCAGGCTCGCCTACTTGCTTGATGCATGTCATCGTATCCCAATTGTTAAGATCGATGCTCATGATATCATCAATAACTGGATTGTCGATTAATAGCAGACCGCCGTTATATAGCTGGAGGGGGCACGGGTGGCCCAGTCGTCTAAGGCGCCGCGATTCGCTGTGCAGAGTTGCGTCCCTTGGGCACGCCAGAAACCTATGATTGTGGGTTCGAATCCCGGTTCGCCCAAATTATGTTTCTAGGTTTGTCAGCACAATACCCGTGCTCGTGGGTTTCACCGAAGTGGTAAACGTCTGAAACCTGCATCACTTCGGTCTTTCCTCCCACATTAAGCTGACACACCGTGATATAACTGGAATACTGTTAAAAGCGGCGTTAAACCCAACTCACTCACTATATAGCTGGAATACGGCTTATTGCGGCGTTAAACCACAAAATCACCCCCCCCCCCCACACCCACACACCACACACATCTTTGCTAACAACGATATCTGCTTTCAAATCCGTTTTTACTAAAATACGCCGATTAAGTGAATGTAGACGTTGCGTATCTTATGACAATAAGTATATGGTGTGACCTACCTGTAGAAGATGAGGGCCCCGACTGCAAACGCTAGCATGATGCTGATCAAGGCTGACACCAAGGCCACCTGGAGATCTGATTCTTCAACAGCAAAGTCAACAGGGAATATTATTTGTCTTGGCTGAAAGCCAACCATTGTATTTTTAGGAACATGCAGTTTTAATACAGAATGATTTGATTTTATATCGCACGATCCACTTAAGATGTTTGTTTATCGTCAGTACTGTACGGGTATGCATGGATAAACGGACACTGTGGACAACCCGTGAAGTACCGGCGATGCATGTTTACTGGAATGTGCTATTTGTATTTCTAAGATGGTGAGGTGAAATGGGGTTTAACGTCGCGTCCAAGATTATATAGCGACGTGTGTGTGGAGCTGCTTGTACTAGTACGGACTGATGCCGATTTATAGTGCTAGCCCACTGAGATACATGCCGCAGTTTTATAACATGGATACCCCATTCAGACAGTATATTGACTCCGAGCCGACCAGTCCTTGTTTTAACCCCTTAATGCCAGACAGGGTAACAACAAGTACCATCTTTTAACGTCTTTTGGTATGACGCGGCTGGGGATCGAACCCCGGACCTTCCGCTCTCCGGGCGGACGCTCTACCTCTAGACCACGGAAGCGGTCTTGTATTTCTTTAAAAAAATTAACACTAATGTGCACAAATACATAAAAGTTGTCGGTTTTTAATTGCATAGTCTAAGAAATTCTTATAAAGATACTTGAATATATAAATTGGTCCAAGTATACGTACCAACAGGTCGTGGCTTAATGTATCACAATCTGCCATTACTATTCAATAGTTGTTCAATACAGACCCGTGAAGATCCGGGTTAGAATAGGTCTTTAGCAACCAATGCTTGCCGTAAAAGGCGACTACGCTTGTCGGAAGAGGCGACTAACGGGATCGGGTGGCCAGGCTCGTTGATGCATGTCATCGACCTCAATTGCGTGGATCGATGTTCGTTGTGTCAATCACTGGATTGTCAGGATTGTCTGGTCCAGACTCGATTATTTAGAGACCGCCGTCATATAGCTGGAATATTGCTGAGTGTGGCGTTAAAAAACAAACAAACAAAACAAACAAAACAGCAGCTACAATCAGATTATCGCTATTGAAGCCTTGAAAAGAACCTTAGTTTTCATAGAATGGATCTTAAAGAATAGATGCTATACTTTGACTCGCTAGAAGTCATATTTCTTGTAGTTTGACCATACATGTACACATAAATATTCATTTCGAAAGAGCAAGTCAGCGGGAAGTTTCAACCGGTGACTCATCAAACAGCTCTATGCCTAAACTATCCCTATTGTCAAACTGCTACCCTAATGGTTCCCATTATTCTAAATATAGTAAAAGCTGCAATTAAAATACCACGATATTGAAATATATTATTATTTCTGAGAAAAAATAGTTTCAGATACATTTTACATAAAAATCCTATTTAAAAATATTTTCTGTGTATTTACCGGTAGATCGGGGAGGGGGTGAGGGAGTGTTCAAAGCTGTAATTTCCTGCTAAGTTTACGAAACAAATACACAAGGGTAGGTAATCTTAATCTCTGCATATACAACAATGCCAAGTAGTACAGGAAATCCAAGTGAAATGTTTGTCCGTTGTTTAACGCCACACTGATGGCGGTCTGTAAATAACCTGGCTATATGGCTGAAATAATGCCGATGCGACGTTAAATTTTAACTAACTCACTCACTGTAAATAATCGACCAGACAATTCAGTGATTGACATCATGAGCATCGATCCACGCAATTGGGTATGATGACATGCATCAACCAAGCGGATTTGACATTAATCGTGAAAAGAGCCATCGTGATGGTCAGATACACATTACCCAATTTATAGAATTAATGTACCAGGAAACATATTTGACCAAATATTGGAAAACGAGGGATCGGATGATTAGGCTCGGTTTATTGCGAGTATTTTGGTTTTGGTTTGTTTTTTAACGCTGCACTCAGCAATAGTCCAAGTATATGACGGCGGTCTGTAAATAATCGAGTCTGGACCAGACAATGTGACTGACGTCATTAGCGAGTAATCGTGCCGGGGACGTTGATAGTTGCTCATGCTTTCAGTCACTGGTTTGCCTGGTTCGAGCAAGATTAAGCACAGAACACCGTGATGTAGTGCGTAGGTGAGTGAACTTTCATTTAACGCCGCTATAAACAGTATTTTTGTTACGTCACGGCATGTCACTTTGAGATGGGAGAAAATCCTTCATCCTCCTAGATGTTAGTGAGTGAGTGAGTTTGGTTTTACGCCGCTTTTAGCAATATTCCAGCAATTTCACGGCGGGAGACACCAGAAATGGGCTTCACACATTGTACCCATGTCGAGAATCGGACCCGGGTCTTCGGCGTGACGAGCGAACGCTTTAACCACTAGGCTACCCGACCGCTCTCCTAGATGTTAACCGCATTGGTGAAACCCACAAGCACGGGTGTGGTGCTGACAAACCCAGAAGCATAATCAGACCGAAACGGGATTCGAACTCGCCGTGAAATAGCGGGACAACTGCGGCTTTATTATATTCACTCATCTGCAGCAGTTCCCGGGCTCCTGGGAACGACATTGTTGGCGCATTTCATGTTCATGCTTGTTATTGAAGAGAACTATATAGGATGAAACAAAATACTCCGATTCGAAATGCAGCTTGTCGACATTAGGGTCAAATACAAATTTAATGTTCCGATAAATGCCGTCATTTAGTTTCCCCCGAGAATCGTAAGACTCAAGCTGACCTTTATAATGCATACAATCGGTAATCACCATGCAGTACGCATGCATTTTCAAGAACGCAATGTGATCCATAGAACAGGCTACGCGGACTCCATCCAATAGGCTCCAGGCTCTCCCGGACGAGCGTCGTCCCATCCCAATTAAATTACACACGGATTAATCGTATAGCGTCCTCCAGAGTCTGCAAAGGGATAGAGTGTGTCTATAGGAAAGAGGCATGTTATAGTGCCTACCCTATAGGTAACTTACCTTACAGGTAAAACTGCAGATGCTTCTCGAACCGGGTGGACAATGTTTTCATTTTATGTCGCCATTTTGAATTTCCACGTGTATGACGGGTGACCAGCTGTATCGATTCTCCATGGCATCGGAGACGCCATACCTGGATGATAGGTCATGTGACACGGAGACCGCGCTCAGTGATCAATTATGAATAACGCTGATGGGAAATCGACGGTTTGAGCAAGTTAACAATGTCGCGTTGCAAATATGATATTTCATTGCTAATAACCGGAGTGATTTGCCCTACGGTCAAGGTGTCAATCAGCAATACGTGATAGAAACACCTGTTCACACCTGAATGTTTTTATAAATTGATATCAAACGTGCAACTTCGATTTGATTTGATACTCTGTGCAGCGAAATCCGTTTACCAGACGAAATCGGTCTTTGGGGACATCGCCAAGATTAAGGAATAACCGTTTTTAATGTGTTATGGATGGTAATGATCTTTAATCACAAGAAGACATTCCTCTCATTCCATAAAATGAAGCCCATTTCTGGTGTCCCCCGCCGTAATATTGCTTGAATATTGCTAAAAGCGGCGTAAAACCGTACTCACTCATTCATTCCATAAAGACTTTACTCTAAATCATGTAAACGTTCTCGAAAGTAGTAGAACAGAAGCGAGGATTCGGTTGTCTTGTTCATTTGATTTGGGGTTTGAAAGATATACCTATAGCATTTACCAAGGTGAGGCGACCAGCGGGATCGAGTGGTCAGGCTCGCTGTCTTGGTTGATGCAATGGGCTTCAGACATTGTACCAATGTCGGGAATCGAACCCGGGTCTTCGGCTACCCGACCGCCCCGATCCTAGGATGAGGTCACTCTTAGAGTGATTCTATCCTGGGACAGGATCATTCTCGAGTGAAATTTATGGGGAGTGATTTTAATCCTGCCACACCAGACAATACCATTCAGGATTAAAGACTTTCGGATTAACGATTCTCTGGTCTGTATGGATTTACTAAGCATACAAAAGTGAGAAAGTGAGTAAGATGGGTTTAACGCCGCTTTGAACAGTATTCTAGTTATACCACGGCGTGTCAAGCTTGATGTGGGAGAAAAGCCCGAACTGATGTAGGTCTTCGGGACGTCAACGACACTGTCTGGAATAATGGGGTTTCGCTGTTACACTTTAAAAGAAAATCATGGTTCTCCCGTCACTATCCATATGACGTACCTTTCGGGCACAGTTCGTTGAAGAAGCCACAGGGTGGAGAATCTGGAGGAGTATAGTATTTACTGCTACGTCCATCGCCCCACAGAATTGGAGCATAATTCTCTAGTGTCTGAAATATGATTGTACGTATTCATCCCTAAATACAGCGATGTAGCATATCATATGTCAGAGTTCTAAATATATTGAAATGCAAAAAACATATTTTTCAAGAGTTAAGTCTTGACGGTGTAAAATGCTCTTAAATCATTGGTATATACTAGAATACTTACAGGCCGTTGTGATATAGCTGGAAAATACTGCTGACTACGGCGATAAACATCACAAACTACCTCATTATTATAAGTCAAATATACTCTCTTTTAGGAGAAACGTGAAGATCCGAGTTAGATGGTCTTCAGCAACCCATGCTTGACCAGACAATTCAGTGATTGACATCATGAACATCGACCCGCGCAATTGGGATACGATGACACGTATCAACCAAGTCAGCGAGCCTGACCACCCGATCCCGATAGTCGCCTCTTACAACAAGCATAGTCGCCTCTCACGGCAAGCATGGGTTGCTGAAGATCTATTCTACCCCGGATCTTCAAGGGTCCGTTATTTGTAGCATACCCGGCGACACCATGTGGTCACTTAACATCACTCTGTTAACACCAGCAGCGGGTGTTATTTGTTACCACCAACAAGTGACAAAGTGCAATTATCAATACCGGATTAATGTTTGGTCCTTTTACATCTGTTTTGGACTAAAAAATACAATTATTTTTATTATCATCATAAACATACTAATTAGGATAAATGTCGAGACCTTATGTACTATTGCGAAATGGTTTAGCAATATAATCTAAATATTATAGTGTTGATATAATTTAGCACTAAGCCAAAAAATTATACTGTTGCTTTAGTTTAGCACTATAGTCCAAAAAATATAGTATTGATATAGCACTCTTGTCTAGAAATTATAGTTCTGCGACAGGTTTAGTCTAAGTAATATAGTATTGCGATAACAGTATATTCTAAATGTACCATGTTTACACCAGTTAGTGAAATATTTCGATACATTTACACATACTATGTGTACAACAGTTGGTGAAATGCTAGACACATTTATCACACACACCACGTTAACACCAGTTGGTGAATTATTGGACACATGTATCACAAATACAGCATTCTAACACCAGTTGATGAAATACTAGACACATTTATCACACATTCCATATGTTAACACCAGTTGATGAAATACTAGAAGCATTGATCACACACACCACGTTAACACGAGTTGGTGAAATACTAGACACATTTATCACACTCATAACATGTTAACACCAGTTGATGAAATACTAGACACATTTATCACACACATACCAAGTTAACACCAGTTGATGAAATACTAGACACAATACTAGACACATTTATCACACACATACCATGTTAACACCAGCTGATGAAATACTAGACACATATATCACACACATACCACGTTAACACCAGTTGATGAAATACTAGACACATTTATCACACACACACACACCACGTTAACACCAGTTCGTGAAATAGTAGACACATTTATCATACACACACCACGTTAACACCAGATTGTGTAATAGTAGACACATTTATCACACACATACCATTTTAACACCAGTTGGTGAAATATTAGACAAATTTATCACACACACACACACCACGTTAACATCAGTTCGTGAAATAGTAGACACATTTATCACACACATACCATGTTAACACCAGTTCGTGAAATAGTAGACACATTTATCACACACACACACCACGTTAACACCAGTTCGTGAAATACTAGACACATTTATCACACACATACCATGTTAACACCAGTCGGTGACATCCGGTACACGATGCTGAATGCCGATCTGAAGCGATCATTCGGCCCCATGTCCCACACCACAAAACTGGGTAGTCTGTCTCCATCGTAGTCAATGTACACTTCACCGGTCAACCCTGTAACCAACGGATATAGATGGAGTGAGTGAGTGAGTGAGTGAGTGAGTGAGTGAGTGAGTGAGTGAGTGAGTGAGTATGGTTTTACGCCGCTCTTAGCAATATTCCAGCAATATGGGCTTTACACATTGTACCCTTTCAGGAATCGAACCCGGGTCTTCGGCGTGACGAGCTAACGCTTTAACCATTAGGCTACCCAACCGCACGGATATATATGAAAGTAGCCTCTATGTGAGTTGTGTTTAACGCTACTTTAAACAGTATTTCAGTTACTGGTATATAAGGGAGTATGATGGTTTGTTTGTATGGTGTTTAACGCCGCGCTCAGTAATATTCCAGCTATATGACGGCGAAACAATCGGTAAACAATCGACTCTGGACCAGACAATCCAGTGATTGACATCATGAGCATCGATCCACGCAATTGGGATACGATGACATGCATCAACCAAGTCAGCGAGCCAGACCACCCGATCCTGTTAGTCGCCTCTTACCACAAGCATAGTCGCCTGTTACGGCAAACATTGGCTGCTGAAGACCCTTTCTAACCCGGATCTTTACGGGGCATTACGGCGTATGATGGACGTTTCCCCATGGCAGCAAAACCAACGAGCAAGGTTGTGGTATAACGACAAACCAAGGATTTTATCTGGGCGATTCCGGTAAAAACAAGTCCTGACAGCAAAGGAGGGCGTTTAGTAAACCACTGGGCCAACCACGCAGCCACGAATACACAGACAATGGTGAATGTCCCGATAGGTTATAGATACCTTTAGTTTACGTTCATTTCAACAGTATTAAAGTTAAAACATGGCGTGTTAGCTTGATGTGGGAGGTCGCAGGTGAGGTGAAATGGCACTTATATGGCGATGTGCATGCTCTTGTGTGTGGCTGCTTGTACTAGTCCGGAATAATGTCGATTTATAGTGCTAGCTCACTGAGATTCCATGCCGAAGTTTAACAAGAGCCGATCAGTCCTTGTTTGAGATCCTTAATGCCGTGCACCAGGCAGGGTAGCAAGAAGTACCATCTCGTAGCGTCTCTTAGGATCGAACCACCGGGCTTTCGCTCTCCGGGCAGACGCTCTACCACTAGACCACAGAGGCAGTCTTGCAGATCTAAGACGTTGACCACTTTGTTGAAACCCACGAACACAGCTATTTTGCTGACAAATCAAGAAACATAATTAGGGTGTATCTGGGATTCGACCACACGATGTTTGGCACAGCCAAGATTAAAACTCTGCACAGCGAATTGAGGAGCCTTGGACCACCGTACCCCACCCTATTTACCTGTTAAAAGAAGGGAATACAGAAGTGTTCTGGGATTTCTACCTTCAAATGTGATTCCCGGCCGTGAGAGGGCGTTGTATATATCGGTGCCACTGCTACTGTTTTTTGTCGCCAAAGTCTCGTTGAGAGCCCAGAAGTACAAATGTACAGCGTCAAAGAGAAATGATGAATATCTGTCTCGCTGTGAATAACGAATAATATACGTTATAATATACTAGTATTAGACATAAGTCTGGCAATTAAACATATCTGGAAACAATACTCCTCCTCGTAACATGTTTAAAGTCGATTGATTCTCTGAGGATCACATTGTTATATTGGTATTTTGCAAACATAAACGAGGCAAAAAATATAAAAAAATATGAATGAACTCCACCGATTTGTGCATAAAAGTACCAATGTTTGTTTTTAGAAAACAAAAAATGAATCGATCGGATTAGGAAAACGTCATCATACACCATCGTATTTTCCTATGAAGATTTACACGAACGTGCATCAGCATAAGGTTCAATATATGAAATGGGGTATGGATCCTTTTTTATGAAGATCGTTAATGTATGCTATTGTTTTGTAATAAATACAATGTTGATGATAATTCAGCATTGTCTGGATTATAACAGAATAATTAAATTTTCTTGCTCAGACCAAATATTCTTTTTTTCATGGCCTTGTGTAATTTATATGATTATTATTGTATTGTTTGTTGTTTAACGCCGCACTCAGCAATATACCAGCTGTATGACGTCGGTCTGTAAATAATCGAGTCTTGGCCAGACATTCCAGTGATTGATATCATGACCATCGATCCACGCGGTTGGGATACGATGACATGCATTAACAAAGTCAGCGAGCCTGACCACCCTATCCCGCTAGTCGCCTCTTACGACAGGCAGAGTCACCTTTTACGGCAAGCACGGGTTCCTGAAGACCTATTTTACCGGATCTTCACTATTTTACCGGATCTTCACGGGCCTCTACCAGATGTAACATATTCGACTTCTTGTAGTCCTGCATTGGTATGGCATGATTGTGAGAGGTTTATTGTACATCTAAAGTTTAGTGAAGACATCTCGCATCTAACAGTAATGTAAAACAAAGGTCACATGGTCGCCATTTACGGCAAGCATGGGTTGCTGAAGACCTATTCTTCCCCGGATCTTGTAATGTATATGCAGCAATGGGGTAGAAGGAAACGTTCAAAGGCAGCAATTAGAGAACAACAGTTCCTCATAGAATCTCTTTTTTAAGAACACACCTTTTCGGAGTACCGTGGCATGTCGTCTCTCCCGTGAAAGATCTTGTCATAGGCATCAGCTGTCCTGGTCTTAATCACCTCCAGCTCAAGGATACTGGCGAACGTGAACTGTGATGTAAAGAGATTCAGAGGAGGAGGTCTATACGTGAAGGATAAAACACGTTCGGTTTTATTAAATCTCATAAAAAAACGACGGAAAGATTTAGTGTTTTAGGCAACTCATAAACCGACGTTTGGACTTTATATTCTTTATAATGATCAGTATATATGTACACATTTTCGTGAATGGGAAACCGTCGACCAAACACAATGTACGAACAGCATGCACTGGTCGAGAGTTGATTGTCCCCCATACAGAAATGGACCAGATCGGTGCCTTGTCAATTTCGCGCGTGCAACACAACTTTTTCGTGACAACAACTCACTCTCAGCCATTGCTTCAAAAAAAAAAAAACGTAAAGGGAAAGCGCATCATTGTTCAGAAGCTATTGCACATATACATTTATGAGAAATAAGGACAAAACCTACTTTATCTCAAACTGCCAATAATATTCTTTAACACTAAAATTATGACAATTATTTTCCAACCGTTCATAAGTCCACAGTGGCCAAGGTGGCAGCGATTATATATATTAGCGAAATGTCCTATAGGGTGTGCAGGCCTGGGATTTGGTTATTGAGACTATATATTTTATAAGCCACTTATGCAAAACCACATATATTTATGATCAAATCTTTGAACCTAAATATATATTTAAAATAAACACCTTACAGCAATGAATTTTTTGTCAACTTCGCTTTTTTTTCAAGTCTGAAGCATAATTAGGTTTTTGAAACATGTTTTTGGATGATTTATTTGTTTGGACGAAACCCCATTTTTTCAACAGGAGGAATGCGTCTACAACTTAAGGCTGACAAAACGGGCTGATTTACATTTCGTTTGAAAACAAACTATAAAGGTAGTCCATCCAAATCGGCTTCAGCCTTGTGATCAATTAACTGACTGACTCACTCGCACTTAACTTACAAAGAGGAGGTTTCTGAAGGCCTGTTTAGCTTCCTCGTCCCGACCGTCTCCCGTCTTCCATGTCCTCTCTCCCTGGAGAAGCTCCAGCTCGAACCTGTCCGGAATCGTCTGCTCCGTGAACAGGAACTGGTAGTCTCCCCCAGTCATGCGCAGACTGTGTGCAACCAGTAAGTATCGTCTCAGGTGGACTCGTGGGATCACCAGGAATATCACTGTAACGATAACGATTGAGTGTGAAGGATAATTATTTTGTCAATGACCAGAGTCCGGTGACATGGATACCGGTACAATCTGAATTATGACGTGGCCACCATTTTGGGCATGGTCAAGCGATGCGATTCCTATCACGAACCTCTCATGACTACCTGTGGGTAGTAATTGTTGTATTCCTGTCCTCAAGCGTACTGATGGGACGCGGCGCAGTTGCGTCCCTTGGGCAAGTCAGAAACCTATCATCGTGGGTTCGAATCCCGGTTCGACACGATTTTGTTTCTTGGTTTATCAGCACTATTCCCGTGCTCGTCCGTTCACCAAAGTGGTAAACGTCTAAGACTTGCATCACTTCGAGGTGTCCTCCAACAGACACGCCGTCATACAACTGGAATCCTGTATCTTATCCTGAGAATAAAACTGTGCTTGGTCAGCATGTCGGTCACTTTCGCTCACGTAACGCAACAACTGAATATGTAAACTAACATGAAAATCAGCGTTATCCCGAATCAACCCAGTAGATCAAAGAGCCAAAATTGTTCGTGGAACAGTTCATGGTGTTATTTTGCCTCCATAGTTCGTCAATAACATGTCGGGTATGCTCTGTAAGGACGTTGTGCGTTCGAACGCTGGATTGGATCCTTGTTTCGTATGTACCCGTGTGATACACCAAACTGTTTCATGATCAAATTGGACTCTCCCCTATGTTAAGCTGACATACATTGTATAACTGAAATACTTTTCAAAATGGCATTGAACCCAACACGCTCACTATCATTGCATTTACACATTCTTTCCCGTCGCATCATACCTCTGGCCTCTGTTTTAATCTTTCTGAAGTGTTTGACCAGAAGAGCGTCACTTGCGGATAATGGGATATTGTAGTAATGTCGCACAAGGCTGAAGTCGGTGTTGTTTTCGCTGTTGAAGGTGTACAACATTGACTCTGCCAACTGTCGCGTATACAGCCCTTCCGTGGACATCATCACGACGTTCAGCCACCCCAAGTTCCTGCAGAAGGACACGAAGATGCTTCCTGGCAACACAGAGACACGCGTAATAAAAACCTTGTGGTTTGTGATTTACTTACCCTCTCTGTTGTAGTTTATTTGATTGCTGGAATTAATAATTTTGTTATACTACAGAGCTCCAGATAAGTTTTTGGTGTTGTCGGTATTTTACCCATGCATTTTCAAATCATTGGGTATCAGTAATTCTATCTGGGTATTCAAATTTCTGTAACCCACTAGTTTTTACACATGTGGGTATTTAAGTTAAATATTTAACAAAACTATTCATTTTGTCCTTGCAAACTGATGTCATTTGGGTAAGAGAGCTTTATAGGACTCACAAATACCACGATACTTCCACAAGAAAGTGTGATGGCAAATGGTCATGATGTAACTGTTGGCAAGGTTGACAGAATGCCCGTTTATAATTTCAAAATAAGGTGCTGATTCGCTAATCGAATACGCAGGGTTACTTCACAATATCTTGATGATACGCACAAGTTTTATTTTTGTAGCGTATCTGTAATGTTCGTTGCGTATTTGGTACGCTTGGATTTTCTTTTACTGCGTATTTCTGCATTTCTGATGCGTATTTTACGCAGATACGCAGCTTATCTGGAGCTCTGTACTATCAACTCCTTTTTTATCGAGTATCTGAACCTGGTCTGTCTGTAACTTGACGTGACCTTGACATTGAATAAAGTTATTGTTGTTGTTTGTTTTGTAACGGCGCACTCAGCAATATTCCAGCTTTATGACGGCGGTATGTAAATAATTGAGTCTGGACCAGACAATACAGTGATTGATATCATGAGCATCATTTAATTAGTACCAACCAAGAGATGATAATGGCGGCAACACCCTGATGAGTGTGGAGAACCTGTCCTTGTTGTCCAGGCCGATGGTGCTTGACACCCAGCCGAACACTGGGATGTCGCGGTATGACGCCAGATCAGCAACAGTAGCCATGGCTGAAAGTAGTTTCGAGTGTAGGATGATAATGGAGGTAGATAAAACAAAAATTGTTTTTTACGCTAACGATAACAATATTTATAAGATGAACACTGCTGCGTAAGATTTTTTCTCTGAAATAAACAAAAGCAGAATAAATATTCATAAAACACGAATACGATCTTATGGAAATTTTTCATCAAGATATGCAAACTAAACTGTACGCTTGGGGATTTCTTCTACAACTGCTATCCAACAAAACTCACCACAGGGCATGATGCTTGAATATTCCCTACCGAGGACACAGGGCAGTAAGAATGTTTACTGGGGACATCACGGGGCAGTAAGAATGTTAACTGGGGACATCACGGGGCAGTAAGAATGTTACCGGGGACATCACGGGGCAGTAAGAATATTTACCGGGGACATCACGGGGCATTAAGAATGTTACCGGGGACATCACGGGGCAGTAAGAATGTTAACCGGGGACATCACGGGACAGTAAGAATGTTACCGGGGACATCATGGGGCAGTAAGAATGTTTACCGGGGATATCACGGGACAGTAAGAATATTACCGGGGACATCGCGGGGCATTAAGAATGTTTACCGGGGACATCATGGGACAGTGAGAATGTTTATCGGGGACATCACGGGGCATAATAATATTTACCGGGGACATCAGGGGGCAGTAAGAATGTTTACCGGGGACCTGTCGAGGACAAGGGTGTATAAGAAGGACCTGTCGAGGACAGGCGTGTATAAGAAGGAGCTGCCTAGGACAAAGGTGTATAAGAAGGACCCGCGGTGGAGAGGGTTGTATTAGAAGGACACGCAGGGGACAGGGGTGTACATGAAGGACCTATCGACGACAGGAGTGTATAGGAATGACCTATCGACGACAGGAGTGTATAGGAAGGACCTATCGAAGCCAGGGGTGTATAAGAAGGACCCTCGGAGGACAGGGGTGTATAAGAAGGACCCTCGGAGGACAGGGGTGTTTAAGAAAGACCTGTCGGGGACAAGGGTGTACATGAAGGACCTGCCGACGAAAGTGAAAGACACGACGAAAGTGAAAGACACGACGACTGAGTGAACAGGGTACATGGATCTTCTATCCAGAACAAAGGCGACTGTGCAGCTAGCTACCTTCTGTACAGGGCGGCCCTATGATGACATCAACAGGCTGCTGAAACAGTAGATCCACGAGGCGCCCAATACTCTGCTTGCTGTTGCAGGCTGTATCGATCCACGTCACACTGGAACAAAGACAGCATCAGCCTCTACCGGTAGTTCCAGTAATAACGGACCAAGCACATTCAGGATAACTTCGGTATATCCTTAAGTTGGATTCTTTTTAAAATCCAGAAATAAACGGAAATCAAATACTGTCTGCTGGTTTTAACCTCAAAAACTAAATTGTACGCTGGATGTACTGGAAAAAATGTGTATCGTGAAAAAAATTAAACTGCTCGGTTCCTTTTTACACAAAAAGAAACTTCGTCTTTTGAAGTGAGGTAAGAGAACATGCTTTCTCAAACAAAAAAACCAACAAAAACATTTACAGATGATATTGATCACAAATAACATAGACAAAACGACTCTCGGTGAATACTAAATATTGTATATGGATAAACATAATTGTGTTTTCACAGTGTGGTACAAAATGCACTAGAACTGACCACTGTATCAAAAAGCTTTCAGTGACTGACCGCTGGCTCGCAGCATTGTGACAAGCCAGACACTAATCGCCTTTACTCGTACAATGATAACCGGGCCAAAGGAATTTTGTAGCGTGGGTAGAAAGTAACACAACTAATATATTCACACTGGAGTTAATTAAGCGCTTTCAGCTCCAACGAGCCACAATTTCTCTCTCTCGGATCGTTTGATACATGTAGCTGAACAGTTCTTGTCAGGGATGCGGTGAAACAATTCCCAATCAGACATTGTGTTCCCACATCTACGGTGGGTACCCGGGTAGGTTCGGGTACCCGGGTAGTAAAGTAAATTTGGACTCGTCCCAGCTCGTGTGTGTGTGTGTGCGTGCGCGTGCGTGTGTGCGTGCGTGCGTGCATGCGTGTGTGTGTGTGCGTGCGTGCGTGTGTGCGTGTGTGTGTGTGTGTGTGTGCGTGTGCGTGTTCTTCACTTACTTGATATTATAACCAGGCACCAGGTTACTATCTTGCACAGTCGACAGGGCATACGCGAGAGTTCCAACACTGGATGTAGCGTTCAGGAGATAATACTCTTCCGGCACTAACCACACCAAGTTGAGATCTTCACCCTGGCTCCGGCACGTCGGTAATAACACAGACACCACCGCAACCACCAACAACATCGCCGCGTACATGCCTTACACAGTGTGTCCCCGAGGTCAGTAAATCTCCAGCGCTTCTTTGATGACCATATACAGACTAGTTCTCTGTTTGTCGATAACGAATATACCGCACTGTTAAGTTACAGCCACTATCCGACCAGCTGATGCTGGTTGGCTGTGAAAAAAGACAGATGTGTCTGTCTTTAACACCTTCTGGACCCAGTCTGTTGGCACTCTCCAAAGCCATCCACAGTTACACCGCGACCCGTTACAACCATTGTGTTACGTCGTAACAACTGTCTGTCTCATTATGCCTTTATTTCATTAGGTGGCTGTGGGTTTATCATTCACTACCATGCTTATATATGCATCAATTTAACAATGCATGTTAATACTTCTATCTCAGTGATAGCAGTAATAGATACATTTATATAATGGGATTGGCAAATCTAAATGCGTGGCCAACCACCGGGGCCATCGTTAGGTACACATCACATGACATCGGTCCATGCCCACGATGGAGGAATAATCTTTATGTTGATTATCTTTCAATGAAGCATTGTTATTGGCTCCTTCTCGCTAAAGTAATAATCTGTGCAAAACATCGATTTCTTACGAGAATCTATGTCAATCTGGTGAGATAGCTATCGTCTAGGAAACAAGTACTGGATAATAAATAATAGACGAAGTTGACACCAATGCTTAAAAAACCCAAAACTATAGCTTTGTTCGTCTTTATTGAATTTCTACATCATTGAACACCATACGAAAATATTTTATTACGCTTAGAATTACCACATGTTATCAATCTCATTAAAATCAGATCTTAGTTCTCGCTGCCGCTAAACAAGGATCTGAGGACTTCCCATTTCGGGTCACGTCAGGCCGACCTTTCGCGAATTCTGACCGACCAATGGAATTACTGACAAGAAGTCGGCATTAGCCAATCAGAAGGCAGCTTACTCGTGCTTTACGGCACTAATTTCAAATTGGCGACTACGCTTCGAAACATATTTTGGCAAATTCTCGCTTAACAAATTGAAACCTGAACTAATTTCAAATTGGCGACTACGCTTCGAAACATATTTTGGCAAATTCTCGCTTAACAAATTGAAACCTGAACAAAAGAACATTCTGGAATGGCTAATATATGGTCCAGATTATATAGATTCAGTCGTTAAGCCCGTAATTATCTTTCGGAATACCCCGTTTAAAGGTTTTCGAGGTTGCATGATGAGAAATCACATTCCGACTGTCACTTTCATGATCTGGTAAGCGACGCTCTGATTGGTCGGATGAAAGGTCGTTCTGACGTGACCCCTAGTGGGATGTCCTCAGATCTTTGTTTAGCGGTAGCGAGAACTGGGGTCTGATTTAAATAAGATTGCACATATTATAGATAACTCCAAGAACAAACATTGTTTACCTGTAGTTGATCGACACTGACATGTAGGTAGGAGAGACGTCATGGACCATTATAAAACATCACCATGTGAAAAAATAAATATATACAGAGAAGGTAGAGAAGCTATACCTCTCAGTTGATTTTATCATGTTTGATTTTCAATTGATAATATTATAAGTTAGCGATATTATATCCAAAACATGAACTGTAGTGGCGCTTAGTAGCACTCAAAGAATCCTCCTACTTGGTTTTATTTTTATAATATAATTTGATTTCATTTAAAAAAAATTATTTTTCGCATAATACACAACTGCTGATGGGTATCATTGACATCTTATGTTTGAAAATCAATAATTTTCCTTTTTTTTGGCTCAAATTTACAACATTTAAAACATGGGGTCATGTTAATTTACCAAGTTAATTTCTTACCCCAGTCTAAATTGAACCAATATTTTTTACACAAAATCACCCAGCCACAGATTACTTTTTACAAACGGTTGCAGGAATGGGTGATGGTTAAATAGACAGTTCTTTCACTCTTCAAATGCTGCAAAAAACTTATAGTCTCTTTTGCCCCTGAGTTTATGAATATACATATTAAACCAATTTCACGTCACATTGTGTCAATTTGGCATTAACCACAGAGAGCGATGCATCCTCACTGAGGATGCGGGAACATGGTCTGCAAACACCGTCCACGTCACTGCTCCAAATCGTTATCTGTCTCTTAAAGTTTGAAGTCGATTATCAATACGCCGACACTTCCTTCGTTTACAAGCCCTTGTTAGTGAGTCGTTCTTTCTGCATGCATACAGTAGAAGTACTGGTACAAACTGTCATGGATCTTAGATATCGGATTACGGAGGAGTTCCAGCCTTCCAAATAGTTGTTGGTTCTTGGTCCATCGTCCTCATGGTGACTCTAGTCCTCCAGGTGGAGTTCACCCTCTAGCCGACCCGTGAAGATCCGGGGTAGAATAGGTCTTCAGCAACCCATGCTTGCCGACCCGTGAAGATCCGGGGTAGAATAGGTCTTCAGCAACCCATGCTTGCCGACCCGTGAAGATCCGGGGTAGAATAGGTCTTCAGCAACCCATGCTTGCCGACCCGTGAAGATCCGGGGTAGAATAGGTCTTCAGCAACCCATGCTTGCCGACCCGTGAAGATCCGGGGTAGAATAGGTCTTCAGCAACCCATGCTTGCCGACCCGTGAAGATCCGGGGTAGAATAGGTCTTCAGCAACCCATGCTTGCCGACCCGTGAAGATCCGGGGTAGAATAGGTCTTCAGCAACCC